GCTTTTCCAGCGTCAAGTCAGTGTAAGGGCTACATCCTGTCCTGTAAATGATTATGTGTGTGCGATAACGAGGTTCAGTCCTGGTAATCTGGATCCACTGGTGATGCGTGCTTAAAAATATCGTAAACCCCCCCCCCCCCAAAAAAAAAAAAAAAAACATTATGCAAGCAGTAGCCTATCCAAATCAGGGAGCCAATTGAACGGCTTTCACAGATGCGATTCGGTTCTTCATCCACTAGCTCTGAGTGAATGTCAATGAGTAAGGTATGTAGCCTACACACTTATTATTAAATGGGACATTTTGTATGTTTGATTGTTTTGATTAATTTGATCAAGACAATTGTAAATACATTGACTCCTCGAATTTATGTTAGGCTACATTGATAAAAAGCGTCTGTTGCTCACAACTACCTTATTACGTTTAAACTCTGTTATTATAGTTAACGGTGTTTCCTCATAGTTAACTTCATTTGGAAATAAAGCGCTCGTATGATTGCTGCACTAGTAGTGAAAACATTCCGTTGATGCGTATCCCATCGAAAAAAGCCTAATTTGGAAAATGTGATTTTTTTTAATGTGGATGTTGCGGTGTTAGAATATTCTCATCCGAGTCTGCAAATAAAAAACAAGGACAAAGTTGCATTGGTTAGCTACTGTATTTAAAAAAGGGCACTTAATAAACGATGTCTATCCCCAATAGGTCTGGTCTGGAATCACAGTGCTGGATTTTGATGGACATAGCCTACAGTATGCTGAAATTGAAGTTTGGTCTTCTAATATTCTTTGCTGTGGTATATTTATATTGGACATGGTCCATATATATCAAATCAAATACAAACAAATACCCTGGAAAAACACATTGGCAAATTCTCATAAGTGAGAAAACAATAACTCAGATAAAAGACACAAAGCATTTAATGGTGTCTGCCTACAAAGACCACAGAGTGCATGGAGCAATCCGCATCATTAGTATAATCAGAAGAGATGATCTCCAGCCACTTCATTGTTTTTTCTGTGGTGGACATGGCTGCTTTCCTGCCTCAGTGACACAGGTAGAGATGCACAGCGACCATTTTGGATTCCCCTTTGTGACCACAGATGTGCTGTGCCAGAGTCCATCTATGTATAATGTGACACATGTCACTATATCAATACATTCAGATATCAATGCCACCCAAAACCAGCACTTCCTGTCCATACAAAACAAAGAGCTGAGAGAGAAGATATTTCCATACAACTTTACAGTGTGCATCTCCAACCTTTTCGGGGGCTACAACAATGTCCTGCAGTTTGTCCAAACTATGGAGATGTACAAACTCCTTGGGGTGCAGAGAGTGGTGATCTATAACACCAGCTGTGGTCAGGACTTGGAACCAGTGTTAGTTCACTACAGGGAAGAGGGCATACTGGAGATAGTAGAATGGCCGATTGACCAGTTCCTCAACCCATCCAAAGGCTGGAGGTTTGAGGAGCACAAAGGAGATCTCCACTACTATGGGCAGCTGACCACTCTGAATGAATGCATCTATAGATACATGTACCAGTCGAAGTATGTACTTCTTCATGACATTGATGAGATCGTCATGCCTTACCAACATGCCAATTTGCATCTACTGCTGGGGGACCTTCAACACCAGCACCCCAGAGTAGGAGTCTTCCTCATCGAGAACCACATATTCCCCAAAAACCATTACGAAGACAGTGGCAAGTTCAAACTGCCACAATGGAGGGAAATTCCAGGGATCAATATCCTGGAGCATATTTACAGAGAACCCTCGAGAAAAGCTGTTATCAACCCAACCAAACTGATTGTCAACCCTAGACATGTGGTACAGACATCTGTTCACTCTGTACTGAAGACTTTAGGGGAGACCTTCTGGGTACCTCCTGATGTGTGTCGGCTAATACACGTCAGAGTTCCCCTGCAAGGGAGCCTGACTAAAGATCAGCTGCTTGTGGACAAAAAGCTGTGGGAATTTGAAAAGGATCTGGTTCAAAATGTTGACAACACTTTAATAAAATCTGGACTGTTGCTTTGATGATGCAAATCTGATTTTGACATTCCTTTGTCATTTTTGTTTCTTGGCCTATTTCATATGAATAACAGTCTGTTTTGCTCTAGCCAAGCCGTGAGGACTCGTTAGAAGGTAAAGGTCAGCCACATCCCAACTCAGCAGAAAATGACTGTGCGATAAAATGAGAAGGGAACGGACGATTATTGCATTATGATCATCGCTGATGTTTTCCTGAGCTTTCCAATATCTATCTGATGCATTTCACACTACAAACCATACTTCCTTCTGATTTATTTTTGGCCTATCTTTTTTGCCATGTATTTGTGTGTTATTCAGTGTGTTGCTATGGGTTAATAGCATTAAGGCCAAATTCAATGTTTCATAAAAATAAAAATAAAAATTTGTTTATTATACCCCCAGGGGTCCTAAAATAAAACAGCTAGATGGTCCATGTAACTACTATCTTAAAACAATTCCATATGCTAGGTTAGTAAATATCATACAAAAATGGCATAGATTCTCAGTTTTGCCACTTTTGTTAACTCTGTTTATGTCATTTATTTGACAAACCTGTCTTTAACTTGTCCCAAGGACCTCCCCTCGTGTATAAAAAAGGTGGCGTTACATTAGAGTATGTAACGTTTTCAGCCAATTATTCAGCAATTATCAATAATTTACTGAATAATTAATAACATTAATAACATTAATTTCCATTTGACATTTGCGTGTATGGGTGTGTACTATTACTGTCTGTGAGTGTGTATCATTATTTAGATTACATATTAGTTCCAGGTCCTGTGGGTGTTGTAGATGTTGGAATCAGCTTTCCCAGACACAATCACATATTATTTCATCTTTATTTATCTAGGTAAATCACTGTGTATGCATTGTGATTTTCAATAAACCTTAAAGTGTTCACATGCCACATCAAAATACTACTGTTATTAACATGATATTACAGTAGGCAACGATTTTGAACATTGACCCTGAGTAAAAGGTTATTTTCAGGTCACGTGCAAGTTTGTGTGAACAAGTTGGCAAATTGCCATGCATTTGCTGAGGCCACAGATTTGTGTATTTCATTCCTTTCAGACAATTTGTTCTCTCAGTCTCTAGTCCATTTAATGCATAGTGGTAGAGCTGTGAAATCATAGTACTAGATTTTTTCTCTATCCTTTCTATCTTTCTAGAGCTTCACATGCCATTTCCACAAGTAGTTTCCTGTGCAGGAAGCCTGAACCTATGATATCCTGTGAGAAAAGACAAACATAATTATGTTGAGATACTGTACTAGAGTCATGAATTAAAATGAGTCTTCCAGTTAATATGTACTAAAAGTGGCCAATAGCCATGGGTCTGCAATTTAAATAATCACGTTTATGAAGGTAGAAAATACTGTAATATTGTAAGTTGTCAAGTATCTTTCAATTGCACACTTTCAAATGAAAGTCTTTGAACTGAAGTGAAAAACCTTGACAATATGTGCACCTGCTTCCTCTCTTCCTGTTTCACAAACACCCGCTTCCTCTCTTCCTGTTTCACAAACATCCAGGGCTGGACTGGCCAACGCCTTTCGTCCTCAAGGAAAGAAATTATTTACCAGCAAACAAAAACTGCTAATGTGTATTCACCGTCAGTTATACCCACATGCATTTATACCTGTCACTTTAGTGTTAGTTTCCATACATTCTGCATCATTCCATTCCATTGTTTACCTTTCTTTCCTCTGTCACGTTCGTGTGATTGTTCCTTAGGTTCGCTAGCAATAGTGGGTCATATGGCTAACAGATTACAATTTGGGCAATAATTTTTGGGCAAATGCCAGATGGGCTGGTCCATTTTTAGCCCACTGGGCCGGTCTAACTTCTTTTTTTTTGTGTGCAAAATGACTATTATCTGGCTAATACTGGGGGCCGATGTGGGGGCCTCGAGGAAAAAAATGGGCCGGTGAGTTTTTTTTAGAGATGGGCCGGTGTGTTAGAAATGCCAGGCCCGATTTCTTGTCGCAGTCCGCCCCTGCAAACACCCACTGAATGTGGTCCTCCACTTCCAACTTCTCTTTGATTTTGGGGTGTGTTTTCATGTATACTAGTCATTGAGTATGCTTTTGGTTTACAAATGAACAGTTGTAGTTCAGCACAATGTCTTTGCTACTTCCCCCCCTCCATGGTTTTTAACCCTGCACCTTTGAAACACATTTAGAAAGATGGATGGCTAAATCAGAATACTACAGCCTAGTGACTAAACTGGTTTAAGCAGAAAGGGACATTTTCTCTGATGTCCATATTATGGCCCTGCTACTTGAGGCCAACTCCATTCAGCACAGAGTCTGATAAGTGCAATCAATCTCAAACGGTCTTGTACTCCCTGCTTAAGATGGTTTAGTCCAGGCCAGGGGAAGAAATGCTTTCTTATCGGTTTGATCTTGCAATGCAAACACCATTTGCCTCACTGCTTCGACGAAGCTAAAGTCAAGTACCTTCAGAATAGCACCTTATAGCTGGTTCATGTGACAACAATGACTTAAAAAATGATAGAAAAACTGAGATAAGATAATATTGCCACACCTGTAACATTATCACAATATAAATAGCTACACGCCATTCTAATGCTATAGGACCACCTGTGGAGTGTTCATTGTAATGAATCCAACCAATCATATAAAAAGGTCAATATTCTTTACAAGAACAGATTTTGGCAAAACTGTGTCCCCACAGTTTAAGATCCATTTCAATCCAGTTTACTTACTGCACCACAGATACGTGTCCAAATATGCATGAAATCCTTAGTGATAATAATGTTTGCCTTGTCTCATGATTAGTGCTTTCTTGGCTTGGTTGGCACGCTCTGTCTCACAGACCTCCAGGCTGAGGGCCTGATTCTACAGTGGTTGGTGAAGGAGGGGTCAGTGGCCTCTCAGGGGCACACACAGTCAGTTCCAGCCTTCAGCTGGGGGGGGGGGGGGGGGGGGGGGGGGGGTTCAGCTCAGTAGGGGTATCTAGAGATGGAGATGTAGATTATGAAGATGCTCTGGTATGTGATGCGGCCCTGTGTGGAGAGGGTAGTGGCCTGCACCCTCAGACGCACCAGGCCTGACCTCTGCAGGGGCCGCAGGGATAAGATGATGCCCCTGCCTGCCTGGTCCCTGATGCCAAACATCTGGCCCCCTGCCCCCACCTCTGGACCCCCCTCACTACCCTGTTCCAGGATGGTGAAGGATGTTCTCTCCTGCAACACCCCCCCCTCCGAGAAGGCAGACAGGCGCACCACGTTGTGATTGGCTGGGATGCCCAGGGGGAGGGTCAACAGCTTGTACTGCAGTAGCAGAGGGGAACCCCCAGAGCCACAGTCCCGAGAGCAGGGTCCGTAGCACGTCCTGCCATGGAGAGAGAAGAGTCAACTGTTACACTTTCAGAGGTACTGACACCGTCTGTTATCAGCTACAGTAGGTCCAAAGATCGGTGATAAATACTGTTAACTACTGTACAAAGCAACCACTTATTGGTTTTGTGGCACCAATGGTCGTGACTAGATAACTGCACAACAATTACTTTATGGTGGTGTGATAGGTAACTATGGTAACTACAACATTACAAAAATACCCAGGAAACCTTCTGTCTAACCACACATTGCAAACACACAGTGGCGTTTTATTGAAGCTCCATACCCTGGGCTCTCTCCTTTCTGATAGGATGCAGGGCAGGGCGTGTCCAGACACTGATATCCTCCACGAGTGTTGAAGCACATCTGGTTGTGTCCACATTGGATGCCTTGTACTGCACACTCATCAATGTCTGCAATCATCAGAAAGGAAACTTAGTACCTGTGTGTGTTGTTGGCAATGCAAACCCAGTCGTGATGGGTGGTTTATGTAGTGTTTATGTGTATTGTTTGTTTTCTCCATACCTTTGCAGCTCCTGCCGTTGGGTAACAGCTGGTAGCCTGTAGGACAGAGGCACTGGAAACTGCCTATGGTATTCTGGCACTCATGTTGGCATGGGTTCCTCAGCAAGCACTCATCCACATCTGTACAGAGACCGATGACATGATGAGGTGAGCAAGACATACCAGACTCAACTCCCTTGTTTGTGGCCTTTGCTTCCTGTGGACACACACACACACACACACACACACACACACTCACTCACCGACACATGTGCCATCTCTGTTGGTGTAGCCTATGGGGCAGCTCTGTCTGGTGATGCGGGATACCCCATGATGCCGAGAGAGGAGGGGCCTACCCAGTGATGACACCAGCTGTGGGCGCAGTCTTGCCCTGACGCGGCTACCGTTGGAAAATACCTGTCCTCTCTCTAGACCAGCACAAGAGCGCCCATCCCCCAGTAACACAGTGCCTGGTGGGCAGAGGCACCGGAAGCTGCCTGGCACGTTACGGCACTGGTGGGCACAGGGGCTCAGCGTCTGTAGGCACTCATCAATGTCTAAAAGGCAAAACAAGACTCAGACACTACTTATAACAATATTTTATTGAACAGTAGCATATTGTTTTGTGCGGTAATACATGTCTATGCCAAAATGTGTCTTACCCAGGCATGGACGGCCCACCCCCTGGGACTGGTAACCTCTGGGGCAGACACAGCCGTACCCTCCCATGGTGTTCTGACAGATCTGGCTGTAGCGGCACAAGTGGCTTCCATTCTGGCATTCGTCCACATCTGTGAATCACAATGTTGGTAAACACAGGGCATACTGTAATGGTAGGATCAGCATTCTCACACCACAAACCTGTACCTGCATGCAACAACATTCAAAGTAAAAGATGGCTGAAGTATAAATGGCATCATACCCATGCAGGCCCCATTCTCTCCCATTCTCATGCCAGCTGGGCAGCTGTCAAAACACTGGTAGCCTCCCTCTGTGTTGCGGCACTGCTGGTGAGCTGGGCACACATTCCGGCTGCACTCATTGATGTCTGTATACAAACAAACATAAAGGGTTAGATATTCCACAAGTTAACTCACTGCTTCCATATGATACTGGTATGAAAGATTTGATTCTGTTTAAAATATCATCAGTGAGTCACAGGTGACACTGACCCAGACAGCGCTGGCCAGAGAGCTGGTAGCCAGGGTTGCAGGCACAGCGGAAGGAGCCCAGGGTGTTCAGACACTGCTGCTGGCACGGGGAGAGAGACGACTCCTGGCACTCATCCACATCTGAAACCCACACCACAGGTCAAACTCTGTTACTAATACACCTTATTATTATCACCCTATTATAGGATGGTCTAGAATGTATTCCATTCAGTTGATGAATGGCTGAAAGAACATCCCCCTCAAAAACATGTATTTGTTGTGAATAGACTTGCCTTCACAGCTGGTTCCCATGGCGCTGGGCTTGAACCCTGGGCCACATTTAGCCTGGCAGCGGTATGTGCCAACCGTGTTCACACACTGCTGGTTGTAGTGGCACATGTGGGAGCCCTGGGCACATTCATCAATATCTGTAGAGAGATATCATACCAAATGTGAGGTCAAACACAAGAACACTGTCTACAATACAGTAGTAGGATGTATACTTTCACAGCGATAATATCAGTCCAGATAATCTCGAAACTCCGGAACCAAATAGTGCGTGTGCTAGCTAACTGATTCTGTTTACATTAAAAAAAATTACCAACTTTCACAATAGATTACCTTCTGAATTTTGAATGGCGCCGGAGAAGATGGCTGCCATTTTACAGCCCTCTAACCAATTGTACTATTATGTGTGTTTTTCCGTGCATATTTGTAATTTGTAATCACTGTACATGTTTCTGCCATCGTCTCTTATAACCAAAAAGAGCTTCAGGATATCAGGACAGCGATTACTCATATCGTATTGGACGAAGATTTTGTCGGACGCGAAGGATATCCTACAGACACCCGACAAGGCCCAAATCCCCGTCATTCGCATGAGAAAGAGACGGAGATATCGTGGACGTAGGTCGGGGTGCCTTGTAAGGATCCAACGGCGAGCGAGTAAACTGCCTCTTCCATCAATCATATTAGCCAATGTTCAATCATTTTAGAATAAATTAGATTACCTAAGATTACGGTTATCCTACCAACGGGACATTAAAAACTGTAATATCTTATGTTTCACCGAGTCGTGGCTGAACGACGACATGGACAACATACAGCTGGCGGGCTATACGCTAAATCGGCAGGATAGAACGGCTGACTCCGGTAAGACAAGGGGTGGCGGTCTGTGTATATTGTAAACAACAGCTGGTGCACAAAATCAAATACTAAGGAAGTCTCGAGGTTTTGCTCGCCTGAGGTAGAGTATCTTATGATAAGCTGTAGACCACACTATTTACCAAGAGAGTTTTCATCTATATTTTTCATAGCTGTCTATTTACCACCACAAACCTATCTTTGACCTCATCTTTACTAGATGCTGCTCTTCTACTAATCTCACTGCAACTCCCCTCCATGTCTCCGACCACTACTTTGTGTCCTTTTCTCTCTCGATCTCCTCCAACACTACTCACTCTGCCCCTACACAGATGGTAATGCGCCGCCGCAACCTTCGCTCTCTCTCTCCCACTACTCTCTCCTCTTCCATCCTATCATCTCTTCCCTCTGCTCAATCCTTCTCCCTCCAATCTCCTGATTCTGCCTCCTCAACCCTCCTCTCCTCCCTTTCTGCATCCTTTGACTCTCTGTGTCCCCTATCCTCCCGGCCGGCTCGGTCCTCCCCTCCAGCTCCGTGGCTTGATGACTCATTGCGAGCTCACAGAACAGAGCTCCGGGCAGCGGAGCGGAAATGGAAGAAAACTAAACTCCCTGCCGACCTGGCATCTTTTCACTCCCTCCTCTCTACATTTTCTTCATCTGTTTCTGCTGCTAAGGCCACTTTCTACCACTCTAAATTCCAAGCATCTGCCTCTAACCCTAGGAAGCTCTTTGCCACATTCTCCTGCCTGCTGAATCCCCCCCCCCCCCCCCCCCCCCCCCTCTCTCTCTGTGGATGACTTCGTCAACCACTTTGAAAAGAAGGTTGACGACATCCGATCCTCGTTTGTTAAGTCTAATGACACTGCTGGTCCTACTCACACTGCCCTACCCTATGCTTTGACTTCTTTCTCCCCTCTCTCTCCAGATAAAATCCTGCGACTTGTGACTGCAGGCCGCCCAACAACCTGCCCGCTTGACCCCATCCCCTCCTCTCTTCTCCAGACCATCTCCGGTGACCTTCTCCCCTACCTCACCTCGCTGATCAACTCATCCTTGACCGCTGGCTATGTCCCTTCCGTCTTCAAGAGAGCGAGAGTTGCACCCCTTCTCAAAAAACCAACACTCGATCCCACTGATGTCAACAACTACAGACCAGTATCCCTTCTTTCTTTTCTTTCCAAAACTATTGAGCGTGCCGTCTTTAGCCAACTCTCTTGCTATCTCTCTCAGAATGACCTTCTTGATCCAAACCAGTCAGGTTTCAGGACTGGTCATTCAACTGAGACTGCTCTTCTCTGTGTCACGGAGGCTCTCCGCACTGCTAAAGCTAACTCTCTCTCCTCTGCTCTTGTCCTTCTAGACCTGTCTGCTGCCTTTGATACTGTGAACCATCAGATCCTCCTCTCCACCCTCTCCGAGCTGGGCATCTCCGGCGCGGCTCACTCCTGGATTGCGTCCTACCTGACCGGTCGCTCCTACCAAGTGGCGTGGCGAGAAGCTGTCTCCGCACCACGTGCTCTCACCACTGGTGTCCCCCAGGGCTCAGTTCTAGGCCCTCTCCTATTCTCCCTATACACCAAGTCACTTGGCTCTGTCATATCCTCACATGGCCTCTCCTATCATTGCTACGCTGACGATACACAACTAATCTTCTCCTTTCCCCCTTCTGATAACCAGGTGGCGAATCGCATCTCTGCATGTCTGGCAGACATATCAGTATGGATGACGGATCACCACCTCAAGCTGAACCCTGGCAAGACGGAGCTGCTCTTCCTCCCGGGGAAGGACTGCCCGTTCCATGATCTCGCCATCACGGTTGACAACTCTGTTGTGTCCTCCTCCAAGAGTGCGAAGAGCCTTGGCGTGACCCTGGACAACACCCTGTCGTTCTCCGCTAACATCATGGTGGTGACCCGATCCTGCAGGTTCATGCTCTACAACATTCGGAGAGTACGACCCTGCCTTACACAGGAAGCAGCACAGGTCCTAATCCAGGCACTTGTCATCTCCCGTCTGGATTACTGCAACTCGCTGTTGGCTGGGCTCCCTGCCTGTGCCATTAAACCCCTACAACTCATCCAGAATGCCGCAGCCCGTCTGGTGTTCAACCTTCCCAAGTTCTCTCACGTCACCCCCCCTCCTCCGCACACTCCACTGGCTTCCAGTTGAAGCTCGCATCCGTTACAAGACCATGGTGCTTGCCTATGGAGCAGTGAGGGGAACGGCACCTCCGTACCTTCAGGCTCTGATCAGTCCCTACACCCAATCGAGGGCATTGCGTTCATCCACCTCTGGCCTGCTGGCTCCCCTTCCTCTGCGGAAGCATAGCTCCCGCTCAGCCCAGTCAAAACTGTTCGCTGCTCTGGCACCCCAATGGTGGAACAAGCTCCCTCACGACGCCAGGACAGCGGAGTCACTCACCACCTTCCGGAGACATTTGAAACCCCACCTCTTTAAGGAATACCTGGGATAGGATAAAGTAATCCTTCTAAATAAAAATAAAAAATAAATTGTAAAGTGGTTATCCCACTGGCTATAGGGTGAATGCACCAATTTGTAAGTCGCTCTGGATAAGAGTGTCTGCTAAATGACGTAAATGTGCCCTTGAGCAAGGCACTTAACCCTAATTGCTCCTGTAAGTCGCTCTGGATAAGAGCGTCTGCTAAATGACTAAAATGTAAATGTAATTACGATTGCACTGAATGAGCTGTATAAGGCCATAAGTAAACAGGAAAACGCTCATCCAGAGGCAGCGCTCCTAGTGGCCGGGGACTTTAATGCAGGGAAACTTAAATCCGTTCTACCTAATTTCTACCAGCATGTTAAATGTGCAACCAGAGGAAAAAAAACTCTAGACCACCTTTACTCCACACACAGAGATGCATACAAAGCTCTCCCTCGCCCTCCATTTGGCAAATCTGACCATAACTCTATCCTCCTGATTCCTGCTTATAAGCAAAAACTAAAGCAGGAAGCACCAGTGACTCGGATAATAAAAAAGTGGTCAGATGACGCAGATGCTAAGCTACAGGACTGTTTTGCTAGCACAAACTGGAACATGTTCCGGGATTCTTCAGATAGCATTGAGGAGTACACCACATCAGTCACTGGCTTCATCAATAAGTGCATCGATGACGTCGTCCCACAGTGACCGTACGTACATACCCCAACCAGAAGCCATGGATTACAGGAAACATCCGCACTGAGCTAAAGGGTAGAGCTGCCGCTTTCAAGGAGCGGGACTCTAACCCAGACGCTTATAAGAAATCCCGCTATGCCCTCCGACAAACCATCAAACAGGCAAAGAGTCAATACAGGACTAAGATTGAATCATACTACAACGGCTCTGACGCTTGTCGGATGTGGCAGGGCTTGAAAAATATTACAGACTACAAAGGGAAGCACAGCCGCGAGCTGCCCAGTGACACAAGACTTCCAGACGAGCTAAATCACTTCTATGCTCGCTTCAAGGCAAGCAACGCTGAAGCATGCATAAGAGCACCAGCTGTTCCAGATGACTATGTGATCACACTCTCCGTAGCCAATGTGAGTAAGGCTTTTAAGCAGGTCAACATTCACAAGGCCGCAGGGCCAGACAGATTACCAGGGCGTGTACTCCGAGCATGTGCTGACCAACTGGCAAGTGTCTTCACTGACATTTTCAACATGTCCCTGACTGAGTCTGTAATACCAACATGTTTCAAGCAGACCACCATAGTCCCCGTACCCAAGGACACTAAGATAACCTGCCTAAATGAAAGTATGAAAAATGTATGCACTCACTAACTGTAAGTCGCTCTGGATAAGAGTGTCAGCTAAATGACTCAAATGTAAAATTTAAAAATTTAAATTGACTACCGACCTGTAGCACTGATGTCTGTAGCCATGAAGTGCTTTGAAAGGCTGGTCATGGCTCACATCAACACCATTATCCCAGAAACCCTAGACCCACTCCAATTTGCATACCGCCCCAACAGATCCACAGATGATGCAATCTCTATTGCACTCCACACTGCCCTTTCCCACCTTGACAAGAGGAACACATACGTGAGAATGCTATTCATTGACTACAGCTCAGCATTCAACACCATAGTGCCCTCAAAGCTCATCACTAAGCTAAGGATCCTGGGACTAAACACCTCCCTCTGCAACTGGATCCTGGACTTCCTGACGGGCCGCCCCCAGGTGGTAAGGGTAGGTAACAACACATCTGCCACACTGATCCTCAACACGGGGGCCCCTCAGGGGTGCATGCTCAGTCCCCTCCTGAACTCCCTGTTCACCCATGACTGCATGGTCAGGCACGACTCCAACACCATCATTAAGTTTGCCGACAACAGTGGTAGGCCTGATCACCGACAACGATGAGACAGCCTATAGGGAGGAGGTCAGAGACCTGGCCGTGTGGTGCCAGGATAACAACCTCTCCCTCAACGTGACCAAGACAAAGGAGATGATTGTGGACTACAGGAAAAAAAAAGAGGAATGAGCATGCCCCCATTCTCATCGACGGGGCTGTAGTGGAACAGGTTGAGAGCTTCAAGTTCCTTGGTGTCCACATCACCAACAAACTCATGGTCCAAACACACCAAGACAGTCGTTAAGAGGGCACGACAAAGCCTATTCCCCCTCAGGAGACTGAAAAGATTTGGCATGGGTCCTCAGATCCTCAACAAATTTTACAGCTGCACCATCGAGAGCATCCTGACTTTTTGCATCACCGCCTGGTATGGAAACTGCTCGGCCTCCGACCGCAAGGCACTACAGAGGGTAGTGCGTACGGCCCAGTACATCACTGGGGCCAAGTTTCCTGCCATCCAGGACCTCTATACCAGGCGGTGTCAGAGGAAGGCCCTCAAACTAACTGTAAGTCGCTCTGGATAAGAGCGTCTGCTAAATGACTAAAATGTAAATGTAAAATGTAAATGTAAAATTGCCAAAGACTCCAGCCACCCTAGTCATAGACTGTTCTCTCTGCTACCGCATGGCAAGCAGTACCAGAGTGCCAAGTCTAGGTCCATAAGACTCAACAGCTTCTACCCCCAAGCCATAAGAATCCTGAACAGCTAATCATGGCTACCCGGACTATTTGCACTTTAACCCCACCCCCACCCCCACCCCCACCCCCACCCCCACCCCATCCTTTTACGCTGCTGCATAGTCACTTTAACTCTACCCACATGTACATATTACCTCAACTACCTCAACTAGCCGGTGCCCCCGCACATTGACTCTGCACCGGTACCCCCCTGTATATATAGCCTCCCTACTGTTATTTTATTTTATTTCTGCTCTTTTTTTCTCAACACTTTTTTGTTGTTGTTTTATTTTACTTTTTTATAAAAAAATTAATGCATTGTTGGTTAAGGGCTGTAAGTAAGCATTTCACTGTAATGTCTACACCTGTTGTATTCGGCGCATGTGGCCAATAACATTTGATTTGATTTGATTAAATACAGCATACAAATCACCATGATACCAGATCCCTTTACAGACAAATCACTTACTGTAATGTTGTATCTAATTAGGAGATATAGTATACTGTATAACGGTGTGATAAAGTGTGCAGCATTCAGTTAGTGTCACGCCCTGGCTCTGGGGACTCTTAAATGTTGAGCCAGGGTGTGGATTTTCATTGTTTAGTTTTCTATGTTTTTGTTCTAGATCGTGTTGATCTATGTTGGCCAGGGTGGTTCCCAATCAGAGACAGCTGTAGCTCGTTGTCTCTGATTGGGGACCATACTTAGGCAGCCTGTTGGCACCAGTTAGTTTGTGGGATCTTGATCCGTAAAGGTTTGGTGTGTGTAACCTCAGGACTTCACGTATCGTTTCGTTTTGTTGTTTTGTTCGTGTGTGAAGTACTAATTAAAGATGTACGCTTATCACGCTGCGCCTTGGTTCCACGAGTCATCAGTCAACGTTCGTGACAGAAGATCCCACCTAAAGAGGACCAAGCAGCGTGTCCAGGAACAGACAGCCTGGACTTGGGAGGAGATCCTGGACGGGAAGGGATCCTGGACTTGGGAAGAGATTCAGGCCGGAATGGATCGCCGTCCTTGGGAGGAGACTGTGGAGGCGCGCTACAGAGAGGAGCAGCGGCCGAGGAGGAAGCCCGATAGACAGCCCCAAGAACATTTTTTTTGGGGGGGGGGCTAAAAGGGTGGTTGGCGGAGCCTAGAGTTAGAGCAGAGCCAACTCCCCGTACTCAGGCTAGGAAGTGTGAGTCTGGGCAGGCTCCGTGTTATGCGGTGCTAGCACCACGCACGTGTTGTGCTAAGATGGGCATGCAGCCAGGACGGGGTGTGCCGGCTCAACGCTCGTGGCCTCCAGTACGCCTCCTCGGTCCCGTATATCCTGCGCCAGTGCCACGTGCTGTAGCGCCAGTACGAGTGCACAGCCCTGTACGTCCTGTGCTGATGCCTCACACATATTGTGTGGAAATAGGCATTCAGCCAGGACGGGTTGTGTCAGCTCTCCGCTCCAGACCTCCAGTCCGCCTCCACAGTCCGGCCCGGCCCGTTCCGGCTCCCCGCACCAAGCCAGTGGTGCGTGTTCCCAGTCCAGCCCGGCCTGTTCCTTCTCCCCGCACCAAGCCAGTGGTGTGTGTTCACAGTCCGGTCCGGCCCGTTCCTGCTCCCTCACCAAGCCAGTGGTGCGCGTCGTCAGCCCGGTCCGGCCCGTTCCTGCTCCCCGCGCCAAGCCAGTGGTGCGTGTGTCCAGCCTGGTCCGGCACCGGTCAGCTGCTCCACTCCGGAGTCAGAGCAATCCGCTCCACCGGTGTCCAGTCCAGCTCCGGCCAGCGGCTCCAGTCCGGAGCCGGTAAGGTTTGGTCCACCGTCGTCGGGTCCAGCTCCAGTCAGCGGGGCCAGACCAGACCAGGGGCGCAACGGGGAGGTGGAGAAAAGGTGGTGGTCACGCCCGGAGCCGGATCCGCCTCCGAGGCGGAATGCCCACCCGGCCCCTACCCTCTTGTGTTTGTGTGGCGCGGTCGCAGTCCGCGCCTTTGGGGGGGGGGGGTACTGTCACGCCCTACCTCTGGGGACTCTTAAATGTTGAGCCAGGGTGTGGATTTTCATTGTTTAGTTTTCTATGTTTTTGTTCCAGATCGTGTTGATCTATGTTGGCCAGGGTGGTTCCCAATCAGAGACAGCTGTAGCTCGTTGTCTCTGATTAGGGACCATACTTAGGCAGCCTGTTGGCACCAGTTAGTTTGTGGGATCTTGATCCGTAAAGGTTTGGTGTGTGTAACCTCAGGACTTCACGTATCGTTTCGTTTTGTTGTTTTGTTCGTGTGTTAAGTACTAATTAAAGATGTACGCTTATCACGCTGCGCCTTGGTTCAACGAGTCATCAGTCAACGTTCGTGACAGTTAGAGTGTTTTCCGTGGCTGACCTTGGCATGTGTTGGTCTCTGGGGAGATGGTGAAGCCGGAGGGACAGGCACAGGAGAAGCCACCCATCACATTGTTGCAGGAATGAGAGCAAGGCGACTCGGCAGCACATTCATCCTCATCTAAGCATTCAGATACAGTTTATAAAGATCATATACATTAATGAGTTAATTGAGTTGTAAAATAGAAAATAATATTGGTCGATCTAACAAAGAAATTGAAGGAGGAAAAAGTATACAAAACGTACCAGTACAGTAAGAGGCTGTATCCAGGACAAAACCTTTCAGGACAAAACCTTTCGGGCACGTTTCTCCATCCCCATCTAAAGACAGGAGCACATTCAATCCATGAGCAGATGATGCTACTGTATCACAACTTTAAACAATGAAAATGACATCTTACAAATGAATGTGTTTGCTACAGTACATCAGTTAAAAGTCATGTGTCTGACTGACTGTCTGTTAGTCTGTATTGTGTAAGTCTGACTTGTGGTAATCTGTCTTGTATTTTCACTGACCTGGTAGGAGTAGGGAGGCTGTGATCTGGAAGTCCAGACTGAGAGTGAACATGCTGTAGACGCCACTCATATGGGACACCTTGAGGAGCTGCAGCAGTGGCCCCTGGCGCTCCTCTCGGCCCTCGTAGGTGATGGAGTGGTTACAGCGCAGCACCATGGGACCGCCTGCTCTCTGGTGGGCCTGGGACGACCACGAGTACAGCTGCCCTGGTCCCGTTTGCACGTACGACTCATCAAACTCCTGCAGGACACAAAGCAATCATATTAGATATTTAATTAAGAGATTCAATTAAGACTTTCATGGTTAGTAATGTTCAGGGACTTCAGCTGCCCTTAGAATGACAGTGTTAGTCATTACACACCTGCAGATTGAGATGGGATGTTGATAATGTCGGAGGAACAAAGCCATTGATAACAATATCTATTAGGAGAGTCCCCTCTGAGTCCAGACCTCTAGCTACATGCGTCAACCGAAGGATCTCCCCTGATTACAAACACAAACACAACATTCAAATACAGCTGGGATACATGATAAAACAGTCACTTGGGAGAGTTGTCTGTCATTGAAACCAGATCCTGGTCACTGTTGCCTAGGGTCTGGTTTCCGAGATTACTCTGAAGAACTGCAGTCATGGAGAACTATGCCCTCTGCTGGTTATTTTACAATGTACAGATTTAAAGGGACAATTCCGCTTCCTAGAGACAAACACTGTTGTAGGACTACATTTACAGTAGAGTAAACCTTAGTTCAGGTTATTTTACAGGATGTTATTGTATCTGTTCTTCAATGCTGACCTGTGTCAAACTCCAGCTGGGACTCCTGTCTGAACAGGCCCTGGGTCAGTGAGTAGCCGTTCCTGGCCGCTCCAGTCTGCAGCACTGTGGTCCAGTAGATGGGAGCAAACACAGACACCAACACCCGTAGCAATGGACCTGCAAAACATCAGTAGTAAGACCACACCATCTATGGAAATACCTCTGAGCAAAGTATGATAGGTCAGGATACAGCAACGATCAGTGGCTGAGTGATCTATGGAAAATAATACACCAAGTGCTTGATTATGGAAAATAACTTTACACCAAGTGCTTGATTACTGCATTTAGATGTGCTCCTGAGAGGATCCTACTGGTTACTGTAAGACATCTCTCCCACTCCCATACTCACCCACACTAGGGGGGATGTTGCCCAGGTGGGCCTGCAGGGTGCTGGTGCCCTCTTCTGTGTTCTCTGTGATGTTAGCCTCCAGGAACGACACCCCAAACTCCCTATCATTCACCATCCCTATCAGACTCCCCCTGGCCTTACGAGGGGCCTCCCCTTCAGTCAACAAACATAGAGAAAAAGAGAGAGAGAGAGCGAGGAATAAGTATTACGTTACACATTATTTAAGAGTAGCTGTAGTACTACACTTTCTATGTACACACATCATTCCATTGTTAAATTCAGCTGCATCCGTTTGGAGTGACAAGAGAACAGTTCAATCAGCCGTACCTGGACAGAGTCCAGTCTGACATCTCCTGGAGTCCATACTGGGATCGTCACATGATCGCCCCCCATTGACCGGCTCTGGATTGTTGCATAACCTGATTCGCTCCTGAACCCCTCGACCACAGGTGGTGCTGCATGGGCCCCACTCCTCCCAGTTAGAGTACCCTCCCTTAACTGTGGCAAGAGAGGGAGAGAGAGAGAGCAACCATTTAGATAATTAAATAAACAATCCATAATTACTATTGTGTGTTTTCTTATTAATTTGATCTAATGGATCTAGAGGATCTCATTTTAAGAATATTAGATGGATGTTGTGTGACTGTGTTCATGCTTTACATCACTCACTCTGTACTTTGAGAGAGATGGTCCTCTCAGCGACTCCAGCCTCACTCTCAGCGACACACTGGTACTCCCCTGCATCTTCTCTCTGACACAAATGGGGACAGATAGACATGTTAGGGCATAAACACTTTTAACACAAGCACATTATCATTGTTCGTCTGAAATATGAGGATTGATATGCTGTTTGGGACCCTCATCCTTTCACTCTTCCAAATAGCATCATGTCATTTAGTGACATTTCTCCAGTGGTAAACATATTTGCCTTACATTCCACAGAGTGCTTTTGTCATTTTTCTGTTGAAGAGGGCCAGTGCATATTTCAGATATTTAATGAAACTTTCATCCCTCATTGAGGCATTTAAAAACTGACATTTTCTAAAAGGGAATTCAAGGTTTTTCCATTAGCTTGTTTGAAATAAGTGTCATTATGACACCAGAGAGAGAGGAAGTATCACATTAGAACACTCTGTAAGAAGGGGAACCATTTGTCTTTGAGAAAGTTTTAGCTGCAGGGCGTACAATTACAGCATCAATTATGGAGTTAACAAAGTTAACAAAATTATAGACACAGAACATAACAGTGAGAGAGCCTGGGAACATCCATCTCTGATCTCCCTCTCCCTCCCTCTCCCTCCCTAGCTAATACTGTTAGGTTTTTCAACTGAACTCACTCCAATCTTAGGCCAGACTGGCACACTGCAGTTAGGTCACACAATGTACCATGACTCAGGACTGCAGATGGAGTGCAGATTGACTGCAGTCAGTGGTCCATCCTCTCGCTCTCATTTCTTGTGTAAGCCTACTCTCTTTTTGTTTTTCTAGCCATTTTTTACTCTCAATATATGAACTCTCAAATTAAACTAACACTGGATAAATAGATTTCTGAACGAGACTGATAAGAGAGGTGGGACAGGTGCAGGGCTGTGTTTACCGTGATGCTGTAGATGGCCAAGGAGCCATTATGGAGGGGTTGCAGGCGAAGGGAGCGGAGAAGGGGTCTGCCATCATGGAGCCAGCGGAGGACTGGACTGGGATCTCCATGGACAGGACAGTCCAGCATGGCAGTGGCATCCTGGGCCACAGTCTGAGAGGTGTGGGCCTCTCCCTTCAACACCGGTGGTTCTAAGGAGACATGACCATAACACATCCATTACGTACAATGTACTCCTACCAAAGAATATAAAACAATACTAATACAAATAGAAACAGTCTTAAGGTCATGAGGTGTTGAAAGTGCTCACCTCTGATGCGGACAAATGAGAGTGCTCTGATGGTGCCCACACTGTTCTCTGCTAGGCACACATAGGTTCCTGCATCCCTCATGGTCACATTCTCTATTACCAAGGAGCTTCTGCCTGCCTCATCCACACTGGAACCTGAGAGAGAGAGACATGTTTGGAGTAATCAAGATGATTATTACCATTACTATATACAGTACCTATGACTACATCATATCAATCATAACAGAACATGGGGCCAGTGGAGGGCAGTGTTGTACCTGGATAGGGGCTGTTGTTAGCGGTCCAGGAGATGACAGGGTTAGGGGTGCCCTGGGCGTGGCAAGACAAGCTGAGACTTTGACCTTTGTTCATGGTCACGTCAGCAGGTAACTCCTTGAAGGCGGGTCTCATGTTGACAGACAGGCGGGTATCCTGTCTCACAGAGCCTGCTGTGTTGGTGGCCACACAGGTGAACACACCACCATCATCTGGCTACAAGGGCGAAAACGTTGATCAGATCCTTCATCTAAATCACCTTGATTATAATGCAATTTAAAATAGAAATGTATCTCTGACCTCTGTCCTCTCAATGATCAGCTCTCCTGATCGCAGCACGGTGAATTTGCCAGGGAGGCTGGGAACAATGTTACCATCCTTCTTCCATGACACCCTGGGCTCTGGCATACCCTGAGCCGCACAGGGCAACATGGCCTGGAAGCCCTGGATGACGGACAACTCCGGCTGACCAACAGGAATCATTGGCGGGACTAGAAGAAAGACAGAGTCAGTTAATTACTGGCAGATCAGTAGCTCTGTTCCATGAGACACTGTTATTCCTAATGTCATGTTAAATCGAGGTTAAACCTAAGCATCATATTGACCTCATATCACACTCACTCATTATGACAAGCCTCATGTCATGGCTGGCCCTGCCAGCAAGGTTTTTGGCTGAGCACGTGTACAGGCCAGCATCACTGCGTTGTGTGGCCGCGATCCTCAGGGTGCCGTTGGCAAAGAGCTGTATGTGTGCTCCCTCTGTGATGGGCCTGCGCTCCCTGTGCCAGGACACCTCCGGCTGGGGCTGTCCATCTGCCACACACTCCAGGCTCACTGGCTGTCCCAGGACTGCTGTGTACTCCACACGAGGAACTCTCAGCACTGGGGGAACTGGATCAACACCAAGACACATAGTACCTTTCACTATTGAGGCCCACACATTCAACTAAGTATCAACAAGTGCCTCCACGCTGTTTCAACAACATGTCTATGCTCTGTAGAAATATAGTGTGTTACCTTGCAATACTAGCAGTGTCCTTCCCATTGCTGTGCCAGCTTCATTCTGTGCCAGACACTGGTAGGTGCCTGCATCACCCAGAGTGACCCGAGAGAACTTCAGAGCTCCGTTTGAGAGGAGAGACAGTCTGTGACCTGTAGAGCCATAGAAGGAAGACATTGCTATTGAGAAACAGCAGACTATAACTGACTACTGTGTTATATAATGGCTTGATTTCTGATCAAGTGTCCAAAGAGGGCATTCTCACCAGCTGATATGGGAACACCCTCTCGTTGCCAGGTGATGGAGGGTCGAGGGAAACCCTGCACCTCGCAAGGCAGAACCGTCCCATGATGCAACACTACTTGTACTTCCTCTGTCATGGGCCTGATCTCAGGGGGCTCTGAGCGGGAGAGGGCAAATCCATTAACATGGTTTATCACATACAGATTGTTAAATGGTAGAATTAAGACATTAGAGAGTTCCAAAGCAAAAACATGAACCATTACTGTATAACCTCAACAACAATCCACCTGAGGACCCACCTTGCACTGTGAGAGTGATGTGTTTGTGGGACACTCCTGCAGGGTTCCGGGCAGAGCAAGTGTACCTCCCTGCATGACTGGGGGTAGCAGCTGTGATCTCCAGAACACCTGGATCCAAACAGTACAGTAACACAACAATGAACACCAAAGAACTAACATGACAGGATCACTGACGGCAATTCAAGACTGGTCATTCAACTGAAACTTCTCTGTGTCACGGAGGCTCTCCGCACTGCTAAAGCTAATTCTCTCTCCTCTGCTCATATCCTTCTAGACCTATCCGCTGCCTTTGATACTGTGAACCATCAGATCCTCCTCTCCACCCTCTCCGAGTTGGGCATCTCTGGCGCTGCTCACTCTTGGATTGCGTCCTACCTGACAGGTCGCTCCTACCAGGAGGCGTGGCGAGAATCTGTCTCCGCACCACGTGCTCTCACCACTGGTGTCCCCCAGGGCTCAGTTCTAGGCCCTCTCCTATTCTCTCTATACACCAAGTCACTTGGCTCTGTCATATCCTCACATGGTCTCTCCTATCATTGCTACGCAGACAACACATAATTCATTTTCTCCTTTCCCCCTTCTGATAACCAGGTGGCGAATCGCATCTCTGCATGTCTGGCAGACATATCAGTGTGGATGACGGATCACCACCTCAAGCTGAACCTCGGCAAGACGGAGCTGCTCTTCCTCCCGGGGAAGGATTGCCCGCTCCATGATCTCGCCATCACGGTTGACAACTCCATTGTGTCCTCCTCCCAGAGTGCAAAGAACCTTGGCGTGACCCTGGACAACACCCTGTCGTTCTCCGCTAACATCAAAGCGGTGACCCGATCCTGCAGGTTCATGCTCTACAACATTCGCAGAGTACGACCCTACCTTACACAGAAAGCGGCACAGGTCCTAATCCAGGCACTTGTCATCTCCCGTCTGGATTACTGCAGCTCGCTGTTGGCTGGGCTCCCTGCCTTTGCCATTAAACCCCTACAACTTATCCAGAACCCCGCAGCCCATCTGGTGTTCGACCTTCCCAAGTTCTCTCATATCACCCCACTCCTCTGCACACTCCACTGGCTTCCAGTTGAGGCTCGCATCTACTACAAGACCATGGTGCTTGCCTACAGAGCTGTGAGGGGAACGGCACCTCCTTACCTTCAGGCTCTGATCAGACCCTACACCCAAACGAGGGCACTACGTTCATCCACCTCTGGCCTGCTAGCTCCCGTACCTCTACGGAAGCACAGTTCCCGCTCAGCCCAGTCAAAGCTATTTGCTGCTCTGGCACCCCAATGGTGGAACAAGCTCCCCCACGACGCCAGGACAGCGGAGTCACTGACCACCTTCCGGAGACACTTGAAACCCTACCTCTTTAAGGAATACCTGGAATAGTATAAAGTAATCCTTCTACCCACCCCATAAAACAAAAGAAAAAAAAGGGTTGTCCCACTGGCTATCATAAGTTGAATGCACCAATTTGTAAGTTGCTCTGGATAAGAGTGTCTGCTAAATGATGTAAATGTAAATGTAAATGTAATGTTACCCTCTGAGCAGCAAGTGTACCTACCTGTGGGCAGAACCCGGTAACTCCCTCCCCGGGAGCCCAGCTTGGCTCCACTCTTGGTCCAGCTGACAGTGGGCTCTGGGATGCCCTGGGCATGGCATGGCAGCACCACAGGGGCCATTTTGATAGCAGTGACTGTTGTGATGTCATCTTCAATGGTTGGTGCGACTGAGGGACAGAGAGGAGAAATCTCAGTCCGTTCTGCTGTATGTGAGATGAAATGGCAGTCTACAAACGTCTGAGTAGGACCTCAAAGCAACAATACCTTGTAGGATGATCTCAATGACCCGGCGCTCCTCTCCAACCTCATTGGCTGCTGTGCATTCAAAATATCCCTCATCCTGATTGGATGGAGAGGAAATTATCAGAGATCCAGAGGAGAGTAACCTTAAAAAAAAAAAAAAAGGCAATTTTACAGGCAATACTTCAAAATGAATCCGTTTGGATTTATGTCCATTGTGTTATAATTAACACAGGAGAGGTCATTCTGTTTCATGTACCTGTATGTGCCAGGCTGCTGGTTGGGGTCTAGTGGAGTGCCGTTCCTCTTCCAGGTGACTTTAGGGGCAGGTATACCTGTGGTCTCACAGCTCAGCACGGCTCTCACCCCTGTTGTCACTGTCACATTGAAAGGACCAGGGCTGATCGAGGGACCCACTACAGGGACACAACATGGAGTCATAAGGAATGACATATAGATATGTATGGCATACAAACAAATGTGACTGTAAGGCGCTGACTATAATAGAGTGGCTGAAAATCACTCTGGATAATGTCTGCTAAATGTCCAAAATGTTAATGTAAAAATGTAAATCTACTGTGTTATGATGTGATTCTTTATTTCTTTGAGTTGTATTTACCTAACACGCGTAAGTCCATCCCACTGTGATCTGATCCGGCCTGATTGGACACGGTGCAGTAGTAGCGGCCAGTGTCACTCAGCTGAACAGCCTTTACACGCAGAGAGCCTTCAGACAGTACGGTGTACCTTGGACATACACAATCAATCAGCTAACTGGACTATCTACCCATCTAACGTCATACAGAAGGTGACAAATTCTGCTATATGTATAAAGACAGTATCCCAATAACCTCTATAGCCTAAGTTAAGTGGCTGGAACAAAAAGCAGTAAGCCCTTACTTGTTGTTGTCAGGACCTACAGGAATGCCATCTTTCCTCCACATGACCGTAGGTGAGGTCTCCCCCTCTACTTCACAGGGCAGGAATGCATCCTGACTGATATGTGCAGTGACCACAGAGCTGCTCTCTCTGATGACTGGTGGCACTAAGGAAAAAAAAAATAAAAAATACACATTAAAATGTATTAAGGTTTACACTGCAGATCTATTATACAGTGAGGGAAAAAAGTATTTGATCCCCTGCTGATTTTGTACGTTTGCCCACTGACAAAGAAATGATCAGTCTATAATTTTAATGGTAGGTTTATTTGAACAGTGAGAGACAGAATAACAACGGAAAAACCCAGAAAAACGCATGTCAAAAATGTTATAAAATAATTTGCATTTTAATGAGGGAAATAAGTATTTGACCCCCTCTCAATCAGAAAGATTTCTGGCTCCCAGGTGTCTTTTATACAGGTAACGAGCTGAGATTAGGAGCACACTCTTAAAGGGAGTGCTCCTAATCTCAGTTTGATACCTATATAAAAGACACCTGTCCACAGAAGCAATCAATCAATCAGATTCCAAACTCTCCACCATGGCCAAGACCAAAGAGCTCTCCAAGGATGTCAGGAACAAGATTGTAGACCTACACAAAGCTGGAATGGGCTACAAGACCATCGCCAAGCAGTTTGGTGAGAAGGTGACAACAGTTGATGCGATTATTCGCAAATGGAAGAAACACAAAAGAACTGTCAATCTCCCTCGGCCTGGGGCTCCATGCAAGATTTCACCTCGTGGAGTTGCAATGATCATGAGAACGGTGAGGAATCAGCCCAGAACTACACGGGAGGATATTGTCAATGATCTCAAGGCAGCTGGGACCATAGTCACCAAGAAAACAATTGGTAACACACTACGCCGTGAAGGACTGAAATCCTGCAGTGCCCGCAAGGTCCCCCTGCTCAAGAAAGCACATATACAGGCCCGTCTGAAGTTTGCCAATGAACATCTGAATGATTCAGAGGAGAACTGGGTGAAAGTGTTGTGGTCAGATGAGACCAAAATCGAGCTCTTTGGCATCAACTCAACTCACCGTGTTTGGAGGAGGAGGAATGCTGCCTATGACCCCAAGAACACCATCCCCACCGTCAAACATGGAGGTGGAAACATTATGCTCTGGGGGTGTTTTTCTGCTAAGGGGACAGGAAAACTTCACCGCATCAAAGGGACGATGGACGGGGCAATGTACAGTCAAATCTTGGGTGAGAACCTCCTTCCCTCAGCCAGGGCATTGAAAATGAGTCGTGGATGGGTATTCTAGCATGACAATGACCCAAAACACACAGCCAAGGCAACAAAGGAGTGGCTCAAGAAGAAGCACATTAAGGTCCTGGAGTGGCCTAGCCAGTCTCCAGACCTTAATCCCATAGAAAATCTGTGGAGGGAGGTGAAGGTTCGAGTTGCCAAACATCAGCCTCGAAACCTTAATTACTTGGAGAAGATCTGCAAAGAGGAGTGGGACAAAATCCCTCCTGAGATGTGTGCAAACCTGGTGGCCAACTACAAGAAACGTCTGACCTCTGTCATTGCCAACAAGGGTTTTGCCACCAAGTACTAAGTCATGTTTTGCAGAGGGGTCAAATACTTATTTCCCTCATTAAAATGCAAATCAATTTATAACATTTTTGACATGCGTTTTTCTGGATTTTGTTGTTGTTATTCTGTCTCTCACTGTTCAAATAAACCTACCATTAAAATTATAGACTGATCATGTCTTTGTCAGTGGGCAAACGTACAAAATCAGCAGGGGATCAAATACTTTTTTCCCTAACTGTATATATCACATATTATCTCATTGTTAACCTTCAGACGTATAAGTTACCAAACCCAGACTCAGGGATAGCTAACCCTGGAGATCCCTTCAAACTCCACCAAGTTAGGTAAATCTGCTTATAGCATTTTTGTGCGTCGTGGAATGTTCTCCAAAAGTCCTTAAAGTTGGTGGAGTTGGTGCCTCTAGGGCAATTCAGGCGGATGTTAGAGGTCCTTTTTACTGAAGAATGTGTTTGTTACATATGATTGTGTTTTGCTTTTCGTGTTTGCTTTTCATGTATTGTGTAATTGATGTGTATATAGATATGTATAATGTAATTCTTGTTTATTGATGTGTTATTTATTGATGTGTTTGACAAGATGTTATTGTTAATAAGAAATTGTTCTTAATTAACTTAGTGGTGTGAATTAAGGTAAAATATATAGAGTATATATTAATGTATGTATATACACTACATGTCAAAAGTTTTAGAAGACCTACTCATTCAAGAGTTTTTCTTTATTTATACTATTTTCTACATTGTAGAATAATAGTGAAGACATCAAAACTATGAAATAACACATATGGAATCATGTAGTAGCTTTTTTGGTTACTATATGTGCTACTTCATAGTTTTGATGTCTTCACTATTATTCCTCAATGTAGAAAATAGTACAAATGAAGAAAAACCCTTGAATGAGTAGGTGTGTCCAAACTTTTGACTGGTACTGTATATGTATATATATAGTTGAAGTCGGAAGTTTACATACACTAGCCAAATACATTTAAACTCAGTTTTTCACAATTCCTGACATTTAATCGTAGTGAACATTCCCTGTCATAGGTCATTTAGGATCACCACTTTATTTTAAGAATGACAAATGTCAGAATAATAGTAGAGAGAATGATTTATTTAAGCTTTTATCTCTTTCATAACATTCCCAGTGGGTCAGAAGTTTGCATACACTCAATTAGTATTTGGTAGCATTGCCTTTAAATTGCTTAACCTGGGTCAAACATTTCGGGTAGCCTTCCACAAGCTTCTTGTAATAAGTTGGGTGAATTTTGGCCCATTCCTCCCGACAGAGCTGGTGTAACTGAGTCAGGTTTGTAGGCCTCCTTGCTTGCACATGCTTCTTCAGTTCTGCCCACAAATGTTCTATAGGTTTGAGGTCAGGGCTTTGTGATGGCCACTCCAATACCTTGACTTTGTTGTCCTTAAGCCATTTTGCCACAACTTTGGAAGTATGCTTGGGGTCATTGTCCATTTGGAAGACCAATTTGCGACCAAGCTTTAACTTCCTGACTGATGTCTTGAGATGTTGCTTCAATATTTCCACATAATTTCCCTTCCTCATGATGCCATCTATTTTGTGAAGTGCACCAGGCACTCCTGCAACAAAGCACCCCCACAGCATGATGCTGCCACCCCCGTGCTTCACGGTTGGGATGGTGTTCTTCGGCTTGCAAGCAACCCCCTTTTTCCTCCAAACATAACGCTGGTCATTATGGCCAAACAGTTATATTTTTGTTTCATCAGACCAGAGGACATTTCTCAAAAAAGTACGATCTTTGTCCCCATGTGCAGTTGCAAACCGTAGTCTGGCTTTTTTATGGCGGTTTTGGAGCAGTGGCTTCTTGCTGAGCAGCTTTTCAGGTTATGTCGATATAGGACTCGTTTTACTGTGGATAAAGATACTTTTGTACCTGTTTCCTCCAGCATCTTCACAAGATCCTTTGCTGTTGTTCTGGGATTGATTTGCACTTTTCGCACCAAAGTACGTTCATCTCTAGGAGACAGAACGCGTCTCCTTCCTGAGTAGTATGACAGCTGCATGGTCTCATGGTGTTTATACTTGCGTACTATTGTTTGTACAGATGAACGTGGTACCTTCAGGCGTTTGGAAATTGCTCCCAAGGATGACCCAGACTTGTGGAGGTCTACAATTCTTTTTCTGAGATCTTGGCTGATTTCTTTTGATTTTCCCATGATGTCAAGCAAAGAGGCACTGAGTTTGAAGGTAGGCCTTGAAATACATCCACAGGTACACCTCCAATTGACTCAAATTATGTCAATTAGCCTTTCAGAAGCTTCTAAAGCCTTGACATCAGTCAACTTAGTGTATGTAAACTTCTGATCCACTGGAATTGTGATACAGTGAATGATAAGTGAAATAATCTGTCTGTAAACAACTGTTGGAAAATTACTTGTGTCATGCATGTAGATGTCCTAACCAACTTGCCAAAACTATAGTTTGTTAACAAGAAATGTGTGGAGTGGTTGAAAAATTAGTTCTAATGTCTCCAACCTAGGTGTATGTAAACTTCCGACTTCAACTGTATATACTACATCACAAAAAGTATATGGAAACCTGCTCGTCGAACATCTCATTCCAATTCATCCAAAAGGTGTTCGATGTGGTTGAGGTCAGGGCTCTGTGCAGACCAGCAGAATTCTTCCACACCAATCTCAACAAACCATTTCTGTATGGATCTCACTTTGTGCGCAGGGGCATTGTAAAGGGCCTTCCCCAAACTGTTGCCATTAGTTGGAAGCAAAGAATCATCTAGAATGTAATTGTATGCTGTAGCGTTAAGATTTTCATTCACTGGAACTAAGGAGCCTGAGCCATGAAAAAAAGCCCCAGACTATTATTCCTCCTCCACCGAACTTTACAGTTGGCACTATGCATTAGGCCAGGTAGCATTCTCCTGGCATCCGCCGAACCAGATTCATCCGTCGGACTGCCAGATGGTGAAGCGTGATTCATCACTCCAGAGAACGTGTTTCCACTCCTCCAGAGTCCAATGGCGGCGAGCTTTACACCACTCCAGCCGATGCTTGGCATTGCGCATGGTGATCTTAGGCTTGTGTGCGGCTGCTTGGCCATGGAAACCCATTTCTTGAAGCTCCCGACAAACAGTTATTGTGCTGATGTTACTTCCAGAGGAAGTTTGACAGACGATTTTTACGTGCTACGCACTTCAGCACTCGAAGGTCCCGTTCTGTGCGCTTGTGTGGCCTACCACTTCGCGGCTGAGCCTTTGTTGCTCCTAGATGTTTTCACTTCACAGTAACAGCACTTCCAGTTGACCGGGACAGCTCTAGCAGGGCAGAAATTTGACGAACTGACTTGTTGGAAAGATGATGGTGCCACGTTAAAAGTCACTGAGCTCTTCAGTAAGGCCATTCTACTGCCAATGTTTGTCTATGGAGATTGCATGTATATACAGTACCAGTCAAAAGTTTGGACACACCTACTCATTAAAGGGTTTTTCTTTATTTTTACTATTTTCTACATTGTAGAATAATAGTGAAGACATCAAAACTATGAAATAACACATATGGAATCATGTATTAACCAATAAAGTGTTAAACAAATACAAATGTATTTTATATTTGAGATTCTTCAAATAGCCACCCTTTGCCTTGATGACAGCTTTGCACACTCTTGGCATTCTCTCAACCAGCTTCCCCTGGAATGCTTTTCCAACAGTCTTGAAGGAGTTCCCACCCATGCTGAGCACTTGTTGGCTGCTTTTCCTTCACTCTGCGGTCCGACTCATCCCAAACCATCTCAATTGGGTTGAGGTCGGGGGATTGTGGAGGCCAAGTCATCTGATGCAGCACTCCATCACTCTCCTTCTTGGTCAAATAGCCCTTACACAGCCTGGAGGTGTGTTGGGTCATTGTCCTGTTGAAAAACAAATGATAGTCCCACGAAGCCCAAACCAGAATGCTGTGTTAGCCATGCTGGTTAAGTGTGCCTTGAATTCTAAATAAATCACAGACAGTGTCACCAGCAAAGCACCCCCACACCATAACACCTCCTCCTCCATGCTTTACGGTGGGAACCACACATGCTGAGATCATCAGTTCACCCACACCGCGTCTCACAAAGACACGCGGTTGGAACCAAAAACCTCCAATTTCGACTCCAGACCAAAGGACAAATTTCCACTGGTCTAATGTCCATTGCTCATGTTTCTTGGCCCAAGCAGATCTCTTCTTCTTATTGGTGTCCTTTAGTAGTGGTTTCTTTGCAGCAATTCGACCATGAAGGCCTGATTCACACAGTCCCCTCTGAACAGTTGATGTTGAGATGTGTCTGTTACTTGAACTGTGTGAAGCATTTCTTTTGGCTGCAATTTCTGAGGCTGATAACTCGAATGAACTTATCCTCTGCAGCAGAGGTAACTCTGGGTCTTCCATTCCTGCGGCGGTCCTCATGAGAGTCAATTCTTTAAATGTTCCGTATTGACTGACCTTAATGACTTAAAGAAATGATGGACTGTTGTTTCTCTTTGCTTATTTGAGCTGTTCTTGCCTTAATATGGACTTGGTATTTTACCAAATAGGGCTATCTTCTGTATACCCCCACTACCTTGCCACAACACAACTGATTGGCTCAAACGCATTAAGAAATAAATAAATTCCACAAATTAACTTTTAAGAAGGCACACCTGTTAATTGAAATGCATTCCAGGTGACTACCTCATGAAGCTGGTTGAGAGAATGCCAAGAGTGTGCAACGCTATCATCAAGGCAAAGGGTGGCTATTTGAAGAATCTCAAATATAAAATATATTTTTATTTGTTTAACACTTTTTTGGTTATTAGATGATTCCATATGTGTTATTTCATAGTTTTGATGTCTTCACTATTATTCTACAATGTAAAAAAAAGTATAGAATAAAGAAAAACCCTTGAAAAACCCTTGAATGAGTAGTTGTGTCCAAACTTTTGACTGGTAGTGTATATCTATATATATTATACTGAATAAAAATATAAACGCAACATGTAAAGTGTCAGTCCCATGTTTCATGAGCTGAAATAAAAGATCCCAGAAATTTTCCATAGGCACAAAAAGCTTATTTATCTCAAATGTTGTGCACAAATGTGTTTACATCCCTGTTAGTGAGCATTTCTCCTTTGCCAAGATAATCCATCCACCTGGCAGGTGTGGCATACCTAAGAAGCTGATTAAACAGCATGATCATTACACAGGGGCACCTTGTGCTGGGGACAATAAAAGGCCACTCTAAAATGTGCACTTTTGTCACAAAAGACAATGCCACAGATGTCTCAAGGTTTGAGGGAGCGTGCAATTGGCATGCTGACTGCAGTAATGTCCACCAGAGCTGTTGCCAGATAATTGAATGTTCATTTCTCTAACATAAGCCACCTCCAACGTCGTTTTAGAGAATTTGGCAGTACGTCCAACCGGCCTCACAACCACAGACCACGTGTAACCAGCCCTCCACATCCGGCTTCTTCACCTGAGGGACCATCTGCGACCAGCCACACGGACAGCTGATGAAACTGTGGGTTTGCACAACCAAAGAATTTCTGCACAAACTGTCAGAAACCATCTCAGGGAAGCTCATCTGCATGCTCGTCGTCCTCATCAGGGTCTTGACCTGACTGTAGTTTGCCGTCGTAACCGACTTCAGTGGGCAAATGCTCACCTTCGATGGTTAATGGCATGCTGGAGAAGTGTGCTCTTCATGGATTAATCCCGGTTTCAACTGTACTGGGAAGATGGCAGACAGCGTGTATGGCGTCGTGTGGGCGAGCGGTTTGCTGATGTCAACATTGTGAACAGAGTGCCCCATGGTGCCGGTGGGTTTATGGAATGGGCAGGCATAAACTACAAACAAAGAACACAATTGCATTTTATCGATGGCAATTTAAATGCACAGAGGTACCGTGACGAGATCATGAGGCCCATTGTCGTGTCATTCATCTGACACCACCCCCTCATGTTTCAGCAAGATAATGCACAGCCACATGTTGCAAGGATCTGTACACAATTCATGAAAGCTGAAAATGTCCCAGTTCCTCCATAGCCTGCACACTCACCAGACATGTCACCCATTGAGCATGTTTGGGATGCTCTGGATCGACGTGAACGACAGCGTGTTCCAGTTCCCGCCAATATCCAGCTACTTCACACAGCCATTGAATAGGAGTGGGACAACATTCCACAGGCCACAATCAACATCCTGATCAACTCTATGCGATGGAGATATGTCATGCTGCATGAGGCAAATGGTGATCATACCAGATACTAACTGGTTTTCTTAAAGGTATCTGTGACCAGTCATGTGAAATCCATAGATTAGGGCCTAATGAATTTATTTAAATTGACTGGTTTCCTTATGAAGTGTAACTCAGTAAAATCCTTAAAATTGTTGCATGTTGCGTTTATATTTTTGTTCAGTGAAAATTAAATGAACTGAATGCATGATCTCAATCCTCTGTCTAACTCATCATGTTATCAACTCACAGAGGATCGCCACAGTGAAGAAGAGGCTGGTGCTTCCGGCCATGTTGGTGACCACGCAGCTGTACTGGCCACTGTCCTGAGGCCTGACGTTCTGGATCTCCAGGTACTGACCCCCGGCAAGCCTCTGGATGCGACCCCCCAGCTGGAACCAGGAGAGAACGGGAGAGAGAGGGAGACAGAAAGAGAGACAGAGTCAATAAGATTATACAACACCATATAGTGTGATTCCTGCCACCCTCTGTTTCCATGACATCCTGTCTGACCTGTAGTTTCACGTCGTCCTTGTACCACTCTATGTTAGGTGGAGGGTCACTGTCAGCCTGGCACTCCATAGTCAGGTGTCCTTTGGCTGGGACTGACAACAATCTGACATCATCAGAGCCAAGAAGAGTTGGGGGAACTGGAAGAGGGAGACACAACCGTCGATAATCAGAATCAGGATTCAGTACCTTGTCATCTTTTGGCAGGACCAACAAGTACGGCTAGGATCACCTTGAACACGGACCCAGTGGTTCCTTCCATCCTCGCCCGCTGGGCTGGTAGCCAGACAGGTATAGAGACCTGCATCCTCTACCTAACAACAGAGATATCACTGGTTGTTATCTGGTGTTTCTCATAATAAAGCAATGAGGTCTGAATGTCAACTAAATGCTGTGTCATTAGGTATGTGACTCACCTGCACTTTGTTAATCCTAAGAAAGTGTCCATCCTCCTGCACTATCTCACTATCTCCCCTTAAGGGGCGCCCATCCTTGAGCCAGCTGAGGGTAGGAGGGGGAACGCCCTCGGCAGTACACTCCAGCTCCAGAGCAGTCTTCACAGCTACCATCAACTCTTCTGGAGAACTGGAGATAGAGATCTTTGGAGGCTCTGTATCGGACAAAACGACACCATTGTTAAAACACAAAATAAATACTAACATGACATCCCTTTCCTATTGCTTCAGTTAAACTTTTTATCTCTTTGTAGGTTATGTTTGGGTAAATGGAGAATGTTTGTTCTGTCTTCTCACCCAACACAGTGAGGTTGAAGCTCTTGGTGCTGCTGCCAGCCTGGTTGCTGGCCACACAGCTGTAAAGGCCTCTATCAGAGAGCCCCACATCAGGCAGCTGCAGCCGTGTCTCCTGGCCGTCCAACAGCAGGTTACGGTGCAGGGACAGGGGCTGGCCGTCCTTCAGCCAGGTCAGGGAGGGAGGAGGGACACCCCGCGCCTCACAGGTCAGCGTCACCAAGGACCCCCTCACCACTGTGACTGACTCTACAGGCTCCACAACCGGAGGCACTGACACAGAGACAGATACACAGATATCAGTACACACAGATACAGCTCCTTCAGATCAGTAGTGTATGCATCAAAAGGAGATGGGGAGTTAGTACCTTGAACCTGTACATCAAAGTTGAGCTCGGCGAGGCCAGCGCGACTGCGTGCCACACACGTATAGATCCCAGAGTCTGACAGCTGCACTGGAGAAATCCTACACACACACACACACACAGGGCATATACACTCACTTTTCAAGCTCAAACACACTTTCTAAAACATTATCCTCTTCAGTCCTTCATTAAGGCAGTTTTGTGAGAGAGCAACCAAACTTGACATTTGAGGTGTAGAATCTTACCTGAGTACAGTGTCTGCTGAGAGGAGGCGTGTACGGGGAGACAGGAGGAGGGGGCGTCCATTCCTCAGCCAGCTGATCTGAGGTGGAGGGTTGCCCGCTGCCTGGCACTCCAGTGTCACCATACTGTCCTGGGTGGTCTGCACCTCTCTGGGGGCGCTAGTCTCGCCCGAGATAGAGGGGGGTACTGAGGGGATTACAAAATTATTGTTACTTAGAATCCAGATAGCTTCTGGGAAGATCAGTACCAATTTAGTTAGGACATATTTGGATCAACAGGTAGATAAAAGACAACTGACCCAGTACAAAGAGGGTGTAGATCTTGCTCTCCTGGCCAGCAGGGCTGACAGCCAGACAGGTGTAGGTCCCCGAGTCCTCAGGCCTCAGCCTTAGAAGGGTTAGAGTGCTCCCATTAGGGGCTATGCTGTAACACAGGAGACAAACATATCAGTGAGTACTAAGAGCATAACACTGGTACACAGACCTAGGCTGGAGGCTGTGCTGTAAGCGAGACGGACTCACTCTATTTGTTGGGGGTCTGAATCTTCCAGAGTGGCTCCGTTCTTCAGCCAGCTGAGGTGGGGTGCGGGTGTCCCTGTCACTCTGCACTCCAGAGTCAGCTCATCACCTACTGGGGCACTCAGGTCAGACGACTGGCCAGAGTCCAGGATCGAGGGCGACACTGAAATAAAAGGTCAGCACTATGACTCACAGCACTGACTCATAGTGGAACAAAGGCCATGCAGAGGGTTGTGATTCTCTTACAAAATGTGATTCTCTTGGGTGTAATCTAATTTGCAATGGTGGGAGATTGTGTAGAGGACAGCCTGTAGCCTACCTTGCACTGTGAGAGTGTAATCCTTCTGGGTCTGTCCCTCCCTGTTCTTGGCCACACAGGTATAGGTCCCAGCATGAGAGAGGGTGAGAGTACCCAGCTCCAACCTGTTGCCTCGTACCGACCACTGCCACTGCAGACTGCTCTCTGGGAAGGAAATAACCACACAGAGGTCAGGCTAAACCAACAGCTGGAGGTCTCATTCATTCAATTGCATTAATACAAGTGTCAAAATGTGATCTTGTCAAAACTACATTTTTCACAGTTCATTAACAAAACTTCAGCCTCTTACCAATAGGGGTGCCATCCTTCAGCCAGGTGATGCTGGGTACTGGGACCCCTGTAGCCTCACACAACAAGGTGACATGGGAGCCCAGGTTTTGAGTGAGAGACTCATGAAGAGGCCCATCCAGGACAGGGGGAACTGAGGAGAGGAACATCATAGAGAGAATTAGATTAATTATACTGACATGCCAGTATTACCATATGTAAGAAACATATCTAATTGGAGGTTACATGGGCGGCAAGTCTCACCATGGACAGTCAAGTGGAAGGTCCTGTCCACTTGTCCAGCCACATTGGACACCTTGCAGGTGTAGATTCCACCATCAGCCATCTATGGACCATGAACCATAGTCAGCATGAAACAGAACAACAGTGACTTTGATACTTAAAACAGGGTTAATCTCATGCCCTCAGTTATCAGTGCTAACGCTTCTGAGACAATTAGAGTCCACCAACTGAAGGTGATGACAGTGTGTTTACCTGCACTCCCATGATCTCCAGTGTCTGCTGGTCCACCTTCAGTCCATTCCCAGCTGCCAGCTGCAGCCCGTTCCTGTACCATGTGACCTCAGGCTCCGGAATCCCCAGAGCCTCACAGCGCAGAGTGACAGACGAGCCAATCTGAGGGGTCACGACCTCTGTCTCAGAGTCAAGGCGGGGCTTCAGTGTGGGCAGGACTGTAAACCACAGCAGGAATAAAATATTAATTGTAAGTGCTAATCCAGATATTGTAGCAGATGAAGTGTGACACTGATGAGGGAAGCACAATACTAGAGTAGAGTTTCTCACCATAGACACTGAGCAGGATGCTCTTCTGGTCCTGGCCTGCTGAGTTGGTGGCAGTGCACACGTACTGTCCTGCATCCTCTAGTCTGGCCCGGGGCAGCTGCAGCATCTGACCTCCTACAGTACAGACAATACATAGATTACAATGCATTGTTTATGTTCAGTGATTTCATCAGACATTTGAGTACACTGGGAGTTATGAAGTGTGTTATGGGCTCTGGGCAGTGTGTTTAGGAGCTAGCTCTGACCTGGCAGGATGTGGATTCCTGTGCTGAACTGGAGGATCTGTCCATCTCTGGTCCATGTGATCTCTGGAGGAGGGTACGCCTGGACATCACACAGCAGGGACACCATGTGTCCCTCGATCACACTCACCTCCTCCTCCTTGCCAGCCACCATCCTTGGGGGAACTGGAGAGGAACAGGAATCAACACATCACATGTCAAATTCATTCACAATAACACACATTCACAGGAAACCAGAAAGTACCCCTGTCCTTCCTATGTGAATTGAAAGAATCCTCTCAATGTGGTATTTGAATTATGTTTGTTTTCCACCTGACCTTGCACTGTTAGACTGAAGAGCTTTTCCACTGCTCCAACCTTGTTTTCAGCCACACAAAGGTAGCCAGCCATGTCTGACACCTGCACACTGAGGATCTGAAAGCCAGAATAACATAAGGCCACAAACTATCATGTGACAGCTGGTCCCTGTATTGAATTATATTATATTAGTGACACCAGCACAGGAGGGGGACCAGGGAGGCATTGACATTCAACCAAGTGAAGTCCTGGCACTGTACTATGCAGTGCATTGCTTTGTTCCAACTATATCATAATAGGATTCTGACCTGTAGTTGTCTCCCGTCCTTACTGATGCTGTGGTGTTGTCCGGAATGCAGTGGTGTGCCGTCCCTCAGCCAGGAGATTGCTGGTGCTGGATGACCCGTCACATCACAGTGGAGAGCCACGGTACTGTTCACTACCGCTCCTATCTCCTCCATGAACTCATCCAATTGGCCAGTTATCACTGGGGGAACTGGGCAAACAGTACGTCAACAGAGAGAAACATTAGGAAATGACTCCTTGGCCTTGCCATACATTTAATAGTTTTTAGGCTATCGCTGAATAATGAGTTGACAGAATGACAGGAAGTAGTAACAAAGCATGCGTACCCAGCACATCCAAGTCAAAGTGCATGCGGTCCTCCCCTGCCTCGTTCACCGCCTGACACGTATATTTTCCAGCATCCTCCTGCTGGACCCGAGGGATCTGGAGCACCTGCCCACCTAGAGGACAACAACATAACACAGCATCCCATCAGATCTCAGTGGAGCTGATGCTGCAGTAATGCCATACTGGTCGTTGTACTGGTTTGATATCCTAGACCTTAGACCTAGAGGGCATGGCCCCCCTCTCACCTGGCAGCAGTACCACTCCGTCAGCAGTGGAGAGCTTGCGTCCCTCTCTGTACCAGCTGAGACGGGGCGGGGGGATGGCGTTACTCTCACAGGACAGGCTGATGGGATGCCCCAGGACCACCTCCCTCTTCTCAGTTATCTCATCATCTCTGTCTCCTACCTCCTCTTCTTCCTCCTCTCCTCCCAGACCCCAGGCCGCTGCACCGTTACTCACCCGATGGAAGATGGGAGGAACTAGAGAGAGAGTTCAGTTAGTATCACAAGAGTGCTATGAGATTAGGTTGCATAGCGTGAATGAATGAATCTTGCCAAGGGCAGACAGTGTCAATTCCATGTGTGGACACACCCTGAATGGTGACTTGGAAAGTCTCTCTTGTCCTCTCCTGCAGTGTTGGTGACCACACAGGTGTATTGTCCCTCATGGGAGAGCATGGCATTGTCTATGTGAAGGAGGTGACCACTCTCACGGATTCCAGTGTGGGAGTTCCTAGTCAACAACTAGAAGCAGAAGGAACAACACCATCAAGTTTTCATATTAGCAGAAATAGACATTTATGGCGCTAAATGAAATGATGTGAAATAGCTAGACAGATAGAAACACAAACCAACCAGTCCATCTTTGAACCACTGGGTCTTGGGTTCAGGGAAGCCTTTAGCCAGACAGGACAGGGTTAATGAGCCGTTGATACGCACTTTCTCACCTCGGCCGCCGAAACTCAGAGATGTAGAGTCGCCTTCAATCTGGGGTGGAACTGATCAAATGAAACAGGCATTCAAAAATCCTCTCCTGTATTTACATGTAATTTTGTTGATGTTAGACTTCTCTTTATTCCATACACTAGAATCAACCCTCTCCCTGTCTGGTTCCCTTACCAAGCACACTGAGTGAGTAGTGTTTGAGAGTGGTGCCTGCAGGGTTGAAGGCTCGGCAGGTGTAGATACCAGCACTGTCTCCATGAGCTGCCCCCAGCCGCAGCGCCTGCCCACCCCGGGTGTAGGTGAGCTGGGCACTGGACACGATGGGCTGGTTGTCCTTCAGCCAGGTGATACTGGGCATGGGAGAACCTTCTACATCACAGGGCAGAACGGTGGGGAAACCCAACACCACAGACACCTCTGAGGTCTCACTGGGGCCCCTGATGGTGGGGGGAGCTAGAGAAACAGGGGGAGAGAGGGGAGAGTGAGGATAGAGAAAGAGACAGTGACTTTCTCAAAGTATACTGTAGTATAGAAGGTGAATGTGCTTCATTGATAAACATTGTGATTCTTAATGAGATTTTACGAAGTTTGTGTTGTATGTGTGAGGTCATTGAGAAGGAGACATGAGAGAGGATACCTTGCACTATGAGTCTAAACTGGCGCATCTGTGTCCCAGCGCTGTTACTGGCCAGACACTGGTACAAGCCCTGGTCCCTCAGTCTGACCACCTTCATCTTCATCACCTGGCCCTGCTCATGGAACTCCACATGGGGGTCCCCATCCTTGGACAGCACCCTGGAGAGGAGGGAGAGGGAGCAATATGCCAAAGCCTGATAGTGTACTGATTAATCCCCACACAAAATATGATATAAATCTCATACACCTATAATGGAATACTCACTCTCCATCCCGGCTCCATTCCACTTTGGGGGCTGGGCGCCCACCGACCCGACACTGGAACTCCACCTCCTGTCCTGCAACCACTGACAGGTCTTGCACCCTGGATGTCCCCGAGATTACTGGTGGGGCTGACACACACACACACACACGCACACATACACACACACACACACACACACACACACACAATTAGGCTTAAGAAAGGATACAACTCCACCTTGGACCTGTAATGCCTGCTTGTTTACTTTAACTAAACTTAAAATGTAAAATCAATGGGAGCAGTAGGACCACAACTTGATTTGAAGCACTATGAAGGCTCACCTTGTACTACAATGTTGTAGTCCCTTTGGGCCTGCCCGGCTGTGTTACTAGCTGTGCAGGTCAACTGGCCACCATGCTCTGTCTGGACCCGGTAGATTCTCAGAAGTCTCTTCCCATTCTGAAGGTACACTCCAAGGGAGTCCACCACCTATACACACCCAGACATAATTAGTGCTTGTTACTGTATGATCAATATGGGATTGTGATAAACTAAATGACCACTTGGTGTCACTGTGTTGCTAGATACAAATAACATGGTTGTCATTGACAGTTAGCAGTAGAAGTATCCCAGCTAACATCAAACATTCCAACAACTTTAGAAAATGTTCCCTTATGAGTCTCATTAGGTCATTAACTAATGTTTTCATAGGAATGTTCCTGTGATGTGCAAGGAATGTTTCCAAGAGACCTTTCCCTTAATGTCAAAGAGAACCTACCAAGAACGTGGTTACCATGTTCTCAGAACTTAAGATATTAATTTTCTAGACACGTTAAATGAGAATGTTGCAAGAACATTAATGTGTCCAGTTGTCTGTGGGTTAGGAGAATATTCCATCAACGTCACACCAAACATACACAGAACATGGTTGCCATGTTCTCAGAATATAAGATACTAATGTTCTAGACACATTTCATGGGAAGGTCGCAAGAACATTAATTTGTCCAGTTTTCTGAGGGTTAGGAGAATCAGAGTACCGTGAACCAAGAGGTTGTTCAAATCCTAGTTGATTACTGTATAAATTAACATGCACAATGTAATCATGTATTACAAAGTGTGTCAAACATGTAAGTTGAAAACACTGTATGTTAAAAACACTGTGTGAGTATCCTTGCCAACAGACAAAGAGATATGAATGACTAAGTGGTTCACCAATCAGGGCCTTGATTGGCTCTGCAAAAGTAACAACACGTCGTGTGTAATTATATTTTTAGAACATTAATATCTTACATTCTGAAAACATGGCAACCATGTTCTGTGTATGTTTGATGTGACGTTGATGGAATATTCTCCTAACCCACAGAAAATTGGACACATGAATGTTCTTGCAATGTCCCATAAAACGCGTCTAGAACATTAATTAAAACATGCTAAAAACGTTCTCAGAAGGTTTTTGTTAACATAGATAGAATGTTCCCCTAACTAATGGAAAACTGGACACTCAAACATTAGGGGGACATTACGGGTAACATTACAAAAACGTTCTCTCTCCCTAGAATTGTTAGCTGGGATGGTAACCTATACAACCTATAGGTTTTTTTGTAGTGTTTTTTAAGAAGCTTATTTGAATGACTGGTAGGTGACTCACATTCTGTCCGTCTTTAGTCCAGGTGATTGTGGGGGAGGGGATACCTAAGGCATCACAGCCGAGAGTGAGGGGCTGCTTCAAGGTGACAGTCAGGTTCAGGGGCTGTCCACCATCCTGGATCTCGGGGGGAACTGGAGGAGTACAGGAGACAGACATCATCTAGAAGTCCCCTTATTAACACATTTTATTGTGATCTGAACTGACATCAGATCTGTATAAAGATCGAGTTTATGAAGTCTCACCATTCACTTTCAGCCGGGTCTTCCGCTCAACAGAGCCTGCATCATTGCTGGCCACACACTTGAAGTCCCCGCTGTGACTGGCAGATGCTGAGCCAATCACAAGAGAGCCATCTTGTGCCACAGAGAGCTCTGATTGGTCAGGGTGTATCTCCAGGCCGTTCTTGAACCAGCGCACCTTTGGAAAGGGTGAGCCTGCGAGTGTAGAGAGGACAGAGATGTGGTGTGAGGAGTGGTGTGAGGAGCTCTGAGGAGGGCTTTATCGATCATAACTGACAGAAATAAAAGTTACTTCTGTCCCTGAGCTGCCCTATAAGAGGGCTGAATGGGAAAGTGTCCCAAACTGGAAAAAGCAGGCCCTATATTTATCTGTTGGACAGCAGGACAGCAGGGGAAACGTTGCCAAATAGTTACTGAGACTGAGAGCCCTATCGGTCCGTGGGCTGGGTTACTTCATGGCTAGAAAGTAGCACACAAACACCAAACACAATATATTGGTAGATGCCTGATTTAAAGTGCTGGTGTCATGATTTACTACCAAAATCAAAGGTGAGGATCCTGGGCAGTAAGAATAGTGGTTGGGCCAGTAGTTCAAAACCTTGATGGGATGTATTGGCGCCTGAAACAGATGTGTTTGGAGCTTTACAATTGGGAAAAGGGCCGGGAGCAGAGAAAGGAGTCTGGGATGGAGTTAGTGGTGGAGCAGGGGACTGAATGGGGTTAGGAGGGCACACCATTACCCCATATAACCCAGTCTGAGGTCTCTCTTACATAAGAAGGACAGGACATACATAGGTGTGTGGACATCCAGTCCAGCTTTTTGCATTAAGAGCAGAGAAGGAAGTAAATCCCTGTACCATCTCTATTTACAGAACATATCCAAAGACCAGAGAGAGAGGCTGTACTGGAAACAGGGGCGGCAGGTAGCTTAGTGGTTAAGAGTGTTGTGCCAGTAACCGAAAGGTCGGTTAAAAAAAAAATCTGTCGATGTCCCGTTGAGCAAGGCACTTAACCCTAATTGCTCCTGTAAGTCGCTCTGGATAAGAGCGTCTGCTAAATGACAAAAAAATAACTAAACACATATTTCATCCCCCATCCAAAAATACTAAACTCAGGGGACAGAGAGGAACCAAAGGTAATGGTCCCACACGGAGCACATGTTTACACTTTAGAACACTGACTCAATTGTATTATCTCATTGCTGTGAGGAAATGCGTACAGATGTTCTGTTTAAAAGTAAAAATATCTTATTAAAACCGGTTTCTTGTATTTATCTGCAGGGTCCACTACGTTTCCTTCGATTGTCTCTTCCATGTGTTTTTTAAACAAGTACTTGTTCTGTATCTATATTGTCCACTATTATGGGGCATGTAGTGTTCCTGTTGGTAAAACATAATAATTTCCTGATGGTAGAATCTCCTTTCATCTTCCCATCCAACATCCATGCAGACAGACACATTTCTATGAAACAATGGGTGATGAACAAGCTATTGTTTCCAAGTTTCCTTGGCTAGGCTCCTAGTGCTGCTGCCTGGAGCTGTGACCATCTCTGTGAGGGACCCTGGGTCCTACTAGTCACCCCAAACAACCCCAAACAGGTACCCAAAAGTACCTAAAATAACCACAAAGTACCCAAAACAACCACAAACAACCACAAGCAGGTACCCAAAACAACCCACAAGTACACAAAACAACCACAAACAGTTACCCAAAACAACCCAAAAGTACTCAAAACAATCCCCAAAGTACCCAAAACAACCAAAAAGTACCCAAAACCACCACAAATAACCCCAAACCACCAGAAACAGGGGTAACACTTAATTTGGATAGTCCATCTGTATTGTCCTATCTACAGACTATCAGTAACATTTCAACTAATTATCTACTAACCCTAACCCTGACCGTATCCCTAACCCTAACCTTAACTCTTATCCTAACCCTAAACTTAACTCTTACCCTAACCCTAACCCTAACCCTTACCCTAATAACCCTTACCCTAACCCTTATTCTAAACCTAACCGTAACCGTAACCTTTGTAAGCAGTTGCTTAACAACAGATAGTTTGTTGATAGTATAACCATCTGTAGAGCATCTATAAATGGACTTTACGGACTATCCAAATAAAGTGTGACCCCAAAAGTAACAAAAACAACCCAAAAGTACTCAAAACAACCCAAAACAACCACACACAACAACAAATAACCCCAAACAACTCCAAAACAGGTACCTTAAACAACCCAAAAGTCTCAGAAATAACCCCCCAAAGTACCCAAAACAACCACAAACAACCACAAACAGGTACTCAAAATAACCCAAGAGTACCCAACTGAACCCAAAAGTACCCAAAACAACCATAAACAGGTACCCAAAAGAACCCAAAAGTACTTAAAAGAACCACAAAATGGCAGCCAAAACAACACAAAACCACCCAAATGATCAGTTCAGGTTCATGTTTCAGTTTGGTATGTGATATATTGGGTTCAGGATTCTATATTGTCAGGATAGCAGAAATAATCAAAGCAAAGTATGAATGAAATGTGGACACCCCTTCAAATGAGTGGATTCAGCTACTTCAGCCACACCCGTTGCTGACAGGTGTATAAAATCGAGCACACAGCCATGCAATCTCCATAGACAAACATTGACAGTAGAATGGCCTTACTGAAGAGCTCAGTGACTTTCAATGTGGCACCGTCATAGGATGCCACCTTTCCAACAAGTCAGTACGTCAAATTTCTTCCCTCCATATTAATGCCCATGATTTTGGAATGAGATGTTCGACGAGCAGGTGTCAACATACTTTTGGTCATGTAGTGTATGTACGTGTGGATATAATTATGTGCCTACTCTGGTAAATGTGTATGTGGGTGTGTGCACATAGTCTGTGTGTGTGGGTCAGGGACAGGGTTGGGGTCAATTCGGTTTAAATTCAATCAATTTACCCTTCGCTAAGCCCAGACCCATAATTTTGGGCAACCAATCGCAGCTCTCCAATGGATAGCAACCATCGTTGAGTCCGACACCTCGGACAAGCTCCCGTTTCAAGCACATGAAAGCCAATGAGAGCTATGACAAAACAGAGTTTTCATAGAAAAAGTAGCTCAATTGATTAAATGGCTAAATAACAGTGAATGCACCAGGGGTACTTGCTACTGTGATTCCTGAAATGTAGAGGCTGTTGATGGAGTATTTTTCAAATCCAGAATTGACTACCAAACGTTGCTAATGCTAGCTAGCTATCTAGTTAATATAACTTGTTTTCTCAAAATGTATGTTAGCTAGCTAAATTAGCTATATTATGAATACAACTATCATCTGCTACGACATCAGGATACAACTTGAGCGAACTAGTTAGCTCCATAAGTAGTTAGTAGTAGCTTTGACTGCATGACAGTACATTCAGAGCCATCCCAGTGGCTAGCCACACTACAAACTTAATTGTACCAGGTTCCCGTGAAGCAATTGTAATGACAGTCCACCACAACATAACCGATAGTCTCCTGATTAGCAAGGGGTAGTCTGTGTTTAATTTTATTGTGTAAAAACACAGTTTGAGATCGTTGTGAGGGGTTTTCTCCAGTAGTTTGAATGCTCTGTGTATTACTCTGGGTACGAAATAGAGAAAATATTGCAATTTATAACAAATGTCATGCAATTCTACTCATTTTGCCATGGGGCAGAGATAATTTTAGTAAAGTTTTACAGCTAATTTCCTGCAATTCTACACATTTTGCCATAGGGTGGAGAGACATATTTGCAGTTTTAAAGCTAATTTCATTTCGTAATGACTTATGCCATGTTAATATGATATCCGAGTGAGAATGACTAACAAAGTCAATTGGGGCCCCCTGAAGGTCAGGGCCTCTGGGCACGTGCCCTGTGTGCCCGGTCGGTATTCGGCCATGATTACTACAAGTTTAGATAGCTGGCTAGACTAACTACCAATCAAAAAATTGTTAGCTGACATAGCTAATTGAGTGACTGTCAGTGACTGATATAACAAGAGAAAAACAGCTGATGCGCAACAACATTTTGAAATTGCACCTGGTATATTCTACTATTCTTACTCTCAATAGTTCCGAATTGTTTTTATTTTGATTAAAAACCCATTTTTGGTCGGGGGCCCCCTAGCGGCCAGGGGCCCTAAATGACCGCTTATGTCGTTTATGCGTGGAACCGTCCCTGAATATCAGTCAGTTAACTTTTTGAATGATCAAGCCTTTATGTGCTTGTATTGATCACATAAATGCTTAAAAATTCACAAACAGTGACGTTAGCTGATTAAGATTATCTCATAGAACAAAACGTATAAGATCTCCTAAACCTGTGTTTACCACAGGCCTTATTTTCGGCGTTTATCCAAAAACCCTCCCCCCCTCAAAAAAATTTCCCCATAGGCTTTGGCCAACGAGCAATGGCGGAGTTAGTGCCTACAAAAAGACGCCATTACTATTGCTCTCTATAGACCGCTCCGTTCATGGCAGGAGACCAGGATTGTGTCCCACGTCACAGTTTACAGGAAACACCACTGATGATGCTTGAGGGACCTGGATTATCTCTGAGTCTAATGTGTTATCAAATGTTTCCCTGTAGCCTGTAGAGGTGAACCAGCCCAATCAACCAAGCTATTGCTGATGTGTCTGAAACATGAACCTGAATTTATAATTTGGGTGGTTTTGTGTTGTTTTGGCTGCCCATTTGTAGTAATTTTGGGTACTTTTGGGTTGTTTTGGGTACCTGTTTGTGGTCGTTTGGGGTTGTTTGTGGTTGTTTTGGGTTGTTCTGGTTTGTTTTAGGTACTTTTAGGGTGTTTTGGGAAATTTGGATTGTTATGGGTACTTTGTGTTGTTTAGGGTACCTGTTTGTGGTTGTTTTGGGTACTTTTGGGCTGTTTTGAGTTCCTGTTTGGGGTTGTTTGTGGTTGTTTTGCATATTTTGGGGTTGTTTTGTGTACATTGGGGTTCTTTTGAGTACTTTTTGGGTGCTTGTGGGTTCTTTTGGGTTGTTTTGGGTTGTTTTGTGTACGTTGCGGTACTTTTGAGTACTTTTGGTTGGTTTGGGTACTTGTTTATGGTTGTTTGGGGTTGTTTGTGTCACGGTTTCGGCCGAGACTGCTCCTCCTCCTGGTTCGGGCAGGCTTCGGCGGTCGTCGTCCCCGGAGTACTAGCTGCCACCGATCTATGTTTCATGTTCGTTTGGTTTTGTCTGGATGTTGTACACCTGTGTCTTGTTAGTCCTCGTTAGTGTCCTATTTAGTTCTCGTTGTGTGTGCTTGTCGTTGTGTGTGATTGCGCTTCTGTTTCGTGTTTGGAGCGTCATTTGTTTTGTCGCCGGTGTGCGTCGTGTATTTTGCCTTCGGGCTTATTGTGCTTCTGTTGTATATATATATAATATATATTGCACTAAAGCCTTTGGACTGAGCCTCTGCGTCCTGCGCATGATTCCTACACCACACACACCTTCAGCACGCCTTGACAGAATCACACACCTTAATGGAATCAGCAGGATCGGCAGTGACGCCTGTGTCGCTCGAGGAGCATCTTCGTGGGCAAGAGGACCAGATCCGACAACTGGAGACCGCTCTACAGGAGGTAATCAACATCATGCACCGATGGGAGGCCAGCAGGGTACCCACACCTCCACCTACCCTGTCCATCCCATCGGTCGGTCCACCAGTCCCAGGTTCGGAACCCAGGGGGATTCGGCTCTTGCTCCCGAGGGCGTATGACGGAACAGCTGCCGGGTGTCAGGGGTTCCTCCTGCAGGTGGAGCTCTACCTGGCCACTGTACACCCGGTGCCCTCGGGATACGAGAGCGTTTCCGCCCTCATCTCCTGTCTCACGGGCAAGGCGTTGGAGTGGGCTAACGCCGAGTGGAGGAAGATGGACGCCAACACCATCACCTACGCCGAGTTCTCCCGCCGCTTCAAGGCCGTGTTCGACCATCCACCTGAGGGCAAAGCGGCGGGGGGAGCGTCTAGTCCATTTGAGACAGGGGAGGAGGAGCGCTCAGGTGTTCGCTCTAGAGTACCGGACTCTAGCGGCGGATGCAGGGTGGAGTGAACGGGCTCTCATCGACCATTTTCGATGTAGCCTACGAGAGGATGTTCAACGTGAGTTGGCCTGCAGGGATACCCATCTTACCTTCGACCAGTTGGTCGATATGTCCATCCGTCTGGACACCCTGCTGGCCACCCGTGGACGTCCCGAGGGGAGTCCGTCCATTCCGCCCTCCGGCACCTCCGAGCCGAGCCCTATGGAGCTCGGGGGTGCCGGCGCTAGAGAACGGAGTAGGAAGAGCCCGAGGGGGCCTGTCTCCTGCACCAAGTGCGGTCGTGGAGGGCACACTACGGCCAGGTGCTGGGGAGGGTTCTCCGGGAGTAACGACAACAGGCCACGCACTGGGGGGGCCTCCCAGGTGAGTAGACGTCCCACTTACCCAGAGCTTTCTGTTGCACACTTTTGTATACCTGTTTGTTTTCCACAGGTTGCACCTCATTCCCAGCATAAGGCGCTAGTAGATTCAGGCGCAGCTGGGAATTTTGTTGATCGTAAGTTTTGTTTTGAGTTAGGGATCCCTCTCCTACCTGTTGACAAACCTTTTCCCGTTCATGCCTTAGACAGCCGCCCGTTGGGGTCGGGGTTGATCAGGGAGATCACAGCGCCACTTCGGATGTGTGCGCAGGGGGGTCATGAGGAGACTATACAGTTGTATCTGATCGACTCTCCTGCGTACCCAGTGGTGCTGGGGATTCCCTGGTTAAGCACCCATAACCCTGCTATTTCGTGGCAACAGAGGGCTCTCGATGGGTGGTCTGCTCAGTGCGAGGTGCGATGTCTGGGTGTTTCCGTGGGGGCGACTTCGGTGGAAAGTCCAAACCAAGTGCCCGCACTGCACATTCAGCCTGAATATGGGGATTTAGCACTCGTGTTTAGCAAAACTAGGGCGACGCAGTTGCCTCCTCATAGACAGGGGGATTGTGCGATTGATCTCCAGGCAGGAGCAGCGCTCCCACGGAGCCATGTGTATCCTTTGTCTCAAGAGGAGAGAAAAGCTATGGAGACTTATATAGCCGAATCTTTGAGACAAGGATACATTCGGCCCTCCATTTCTCCCGCCTCCTCGAGCTTCTTTTTTGTGAAAAAGAAAGATGGAGGGTTGCGCCCGTGCATTGATTACCGTGGTCTCAATCAGATTACTGTGAAATACAGTTATCCACTCCCTCTGATTGCGACCATGACGGAGTCATTGCATGGAGCACGGTTTTTCACAAAACTGGATCTCAGGAGCGCGTATAACTTGGTGCGCATTAGGGAGGGTGACGAATGGAAGACAGCGTTTAGTACCACGTCAGGTCATTTCGAATATCTCGTCATGCCATATGGGTTGATGAATGCTCCATCAGTCTTCCAATCCTTCGTAGATAACATTTTCCGGGATATGCAGGGACAAGGGGTGGTCGTGTACATTGATGACATTCTGGTGTACTCATCAACCCGAGCCGAGCATATAACCCTGGTGCGTCGTGTATTGAGGAGGCTGTTGGAGCACGACCTATATGTCAAGGCAGAGAAATGTCTGTTTTTCCAGGAGTCGGTCTCCTTTTTGGGTTATCGGTTGTCCGCGTCAGGGGTGAGAATGGAGGTGGATCGTGTGTCCGCTGTGCGTAATTGGCAAACCCCAACTACTGTAAAAGAGGTGCAGCAGTTTTTGGGCTTTGCGAATTACTACCGGAGGTTTATCCGGGGTTTTGGACAGGTGGCAGCTCCCATCACGTCCCTTCTGAAGGGGGGTCCGGTGCGCCTGCAGTGGTCAGCCGATGCGGACAGGGCCTTTAGGAGACTGAAGGACCTGTTTACGTTGGCTCCGGTGCTAGCGCATCCGGATCCCGTATTACCTTTTCAGGTCGAGGTAGACGCGTCTGAGGCTGGTATAGGGGCCGTCCTCTCTCAACGGTCCGGCACGCCACCTAAACTCCGTCCCTGTGCCTTTTACTCTAAGAAGCTCAGCCCGGCGGAGCGTAACTATGACGTTGGGGACAGGGAGCTGTTAGCTGTAGTTCAAGCCCTTAAGGTGTGGAGGCATTGGCTTGAGGGGGCTCAACACCCTTTCCTCATTTTGACTGACCATCGGAACCTGGAGTACATCCGGGCAGCGAGGAGACTGAACCCTCGCCAGGCTCGATGGAGTATGTTTCTCACCAGGTTCGTATTTAAAATCACGTACATCCCTGGGTCCCAGAATGGTAAGGCAGATGCGCTGTCCCGGCGGTATGACACGGAGGAGAGGTCCGTTGAGCCCACTCCCATACTACCGGAGTCTTGCCTTGTGGCACCGGTGGTGTGGGAGGTCGATGCCGAAATCGAGCGAGCGTTGCGTACCGACCCCAGCCCTCCACAGTGTCCTGAGGGTCGGAAGTACGTTCCGTGCGAGATTCGGGATCGACTCATTTACTGGGCTCACACGTCACCCTCCTCTGGACATCCGGGTATCGGCCGGACGGTGCATTGCCTTAGCACTAAATACTGGTGGCCCACTTTGGCTAGGGATGTGAGGGTTTATGTCTCCTCCTGCTCGGTGTGTGCCCAGTGTAAGGCGCCCCGACATCTGCCCAGGGGTAAGTTACAACCCCTGCCCGTTCCACAACGACCATGGTCCCACCTCTCGGTGGATTTTGTGACAGACCTTCCCCTCTCGCAGGGGAATACCACCATCCTGGTCGTTGTGGACCGGTTCTCTAAGGCCTGTCATCTTCTCCCTATGTCGGGTCTTCCTACTGCCCTACAGACCGCTGAGGCCCTATTTACCCATGTCTTCCGGCATTACGGGGTACCCGAGGATATAGTGTCTGATCGAGGTCCCCAGATTACCTCTCGTGTTTGGAGAGCGTTCATGGAGCGTTTGGGGGTCTCGGTTAGCCTTACCTCAGGGTACCACCCGGAGAGTAACGGGCAGGTAGAACGTGTCAACCAGGATGTGGGTAGGTTTCTGAGGTCGTATTGCCAGGACCGGCCGGAGGAGTGGGCACGGTACATTCCCTGGGCCGAGATGGCCCAGAACTCTCTCCGCCACTCCTCTACTAACCTAACCCCCTTCCAATGTGTGTTAGGTTACCAGCCGGTTCTGGCACCTTGGCAGCAGAGCCAGATCGAGGCAATTGGGTGGATGATTGGATGAGGCGCTCGGAAGAGACGTGGAACGCTGCCCACGTCCACCTGCAGCGGGCCGTCCTTCGTCACAAGGCGAGCGCCGATCTCCACCGCAGTGAGGGGCCGGTGTACGCACCCGGAGATCGAGTCTGGCTCTCTACCAGAAACCTACCCCTCCGCCTGCCCTGCCGGAAGCTGGGTCGGCGGTTTGTGGGGCCCTTTAAAGTCCTGAGAAGATTGAACGAGGTGTGTTATAGATTACATCTACCTGTTGAGTATAAGAATATTAACCCCTCGTTCCATGTGTCTCTTCTCAGGCCGGTGGTAGCTGGTCCACTCCAGGACAATGAGATAGGGGAGACTCCTCCGCCCCCACTGGACATCGAGGGGGCTCCGGCGTACACCGTTCGGTCCATCTTGGACTCTAGACGCCGGATGGGGGGTCTCCAGTATCTCGTGGAGTGGGAGGGGTACGGCCCGGAGGAGCGGTGCTGGGTGCCGCGGAGGGACATCCTAGACCCATCTCTCCTGTCGGAGTTCCACCGGGACCATCCCGCGCGCCCTGCTCCGCGTCCTCCTGGTCGACCCCGTCCCCGAGGCCGGGGTCGGCGCACGGCTGGAGCCGCGCGTCAAGGGGGGGGTACTGTCACGGTTTCGGCCGAGACTGCTCCTCCTCCTGGTTCGGGCAGGCTTCGGCGGTCGTCGTCCCCGGAGTACTAGCTGCCACCGATCTATGTTTCATGTTCGTTTTGGTTTTGTCTGGATGTTGTACACCTGTGTCTTGTTAGTCCTCATTAGTGTCCTATTTAGTTCTCGTTGTGTGTGCTTGTCGTTGTGTGTGATTGCGCTTCTGTTTCGTGTTTGGAGCTACATTTTCCCTCCAGTGTTTTGGAGAGGGTTGTTTGCACATGTTTGTGCGTCATTTGTTTTGTCGCCGGTGTGCGTCGTGTATTTTGCCTTCGGGCTTATTGTGCTTCTGTTGTATATATATATAATATATATTGCACTAAAGCCTTTGGACTGAGCCTCTGCGTCCTGCGCATGATTCCTACACCACACCCACCTTCAGCACGCCTTGACAGTTTGTGGTTGTTTGTGGTTGTTTTGGGTTGTTTTGGGTACTTTTGGGTTGTTATGGGTACCTGTTTGTGATTGTTTGGGATTCTTTTTGGTTCTTTTTAGTTGTTTTGGGTTGATTTGGGTACTTTGGGGTTATTTTGGGTACTTTTAGGTTATTTTGGGTTCTTTCAGGTACCTGTTTGGGGTTGTTTGGTTTTTATTGGGGTTGTTTGGGGTTGTTTTGGGTTGTTTGGGGTGTCACCCTGTAATGGTAACAGTGTAGCTGCCTGTCTAAGCTCTACAAGGAGGGCCAGTGGAGCCTCCTCAGTGGAGGAGTACCCCAGATATCTCTGTCTATTATCTGCCAGCAGCAGTCTGTAATTAGAATTCCTCTCTCAGCAGGCCCCCTCGCAGAGCGGAGAGGAAAGCAGATGTGGCCCGCTGTTGCTATGTCCGCATTAGCCCACTCCTCACCTTCTCAAACATGCCCCGTTACCATGGCACGGCTCCATACAAACAACTCGGTACTGGTGCCCCGTGTATATAGCCAAGTTATCATTATTCGTTGTATTTTATTACTCGTTGTATGCTCACACAAACACACACACACACACTTTCTCAGCCATGCTGAATGCTACCTCCCCTTCCCCAATATGTTAAAATAGAGACAGAAACAGTATTCAATAGAATGAAAGCACACCATTAGGATAGCAGGGGTATTGAAACACACATTTGTTTCCACAGACAAATGAAGGCCTATGGAGAAAGCAGAGCAATGCTTTGAAGATAGCTAGATAAATCCACACTTTGTCTTACATTTAATATGGAGCTAGCTCTGGGAATGATGAAACAAAACAGTTCCATCCAAACATTACCTGAAAAAGATTCACCGGATCTGTTCACTTTGGTCAGGCTGTGTAAATTGTGTATTTTTTTGGACACCAGACGTATGTTTCCCTCTATCGCAAATCACCCCGGAAAACATAAATCTTATCCTACCTTTGGCGGGGCAGGGGATGGTGACCTTGTTGTTAGCCACTTTCTCCATGATGGCATCTCCAGGCTCAGCGAAGGATGGGGCCTCTGTGGAAAGGATAAAGGATATAGCATTAGGACAGCACAGGGAATAAGACAAAGGGTTTATTTAGCGTCATGGGTTATAAGGGCTACTGTAAATAATGTGTCAAAGTTAGGTTGAGATTTCTATAAGATATAGGCTTGATTTTAGTGTTACTGTTCAGCTAGAGTAGCATTAGGTACGACATGAGTGCTAGGGTTAATCCTAGCGGTGGGGTGAAGATGTTGTGCTACTGACCCTTACAATGTGAGTCATGTCTCCTTTGCCCCCTACTCACTCGTTAACCTCCAGCTCTGGCTTCCTCTAATCCTTCCCTCAGCTAAAGCTGACCTCTAAGGTCAAATATCACCTCAATCAACACCCACTAACAGACTGACCCATGCTCTTGTCAAATAGAATGGGGTTTATAGGGCTGCTTGTTTAAAGGACCTCACGCTGCTTGCTTAGCGAGTACCACTTCCTCTAGATTCAGCTCACACCAAGGCTCGAACCCAGGACCTCTGCCTTGTTAGCACACATGACCGCCTTTCTGAAGCATCTTACCAGTCGGATCCAAGTGAAAAGTTAGCTATCCACTGGAGCATGGGGGACACTTCAGGCTGAGGAGTAAGTTGCACACATCCCCAGAGGCGTCATGCCCATAGGGGGCAGAGGGGCACGTGCCCCATCAGATTTGTCTTGTTTAAAAAATATTATTTATTTTCTCTCTGTAATACTTATAGCCACCTAGCAATTTTATGAAGTTGGTTTTAACTAGCCCAGATAAGTTCCCATCTCCCAACTTCATAACTAGCTACCAAGAAGCTATTTCAGGCTATCAATCAAGTTAGAGTAGCTAGCTTGTCTAACTATCTTAGATCGCATGCCTGCTGGCTGTCACGCCCTGGCTCTGGGGACTCTCGTATGTTGAGCCAGGGTGTTAGGTTCTAGTTTTGTGTTTCTATGTTGGCCAGGGTGGCTCCCAATCAGAGACGGCTGTAGCTCGTTGTCTCTGATTGGGAGCCATACTTAGGTAGCCGTAAGGCATTCGTTTGGTGTGGTTTCTTGTTCCTTTTGATTTGTGTTTGTACCGTAGGACTTCACGTATCGTTTGTTGTTTTGTTCGCTGTGGTGTACTAAAAAATAAATATGTACGCATCTCACGCTGCGCCTTGGCCCGCTTCTTTTCAAGACGATCGTGACACTGGCACGGTTGTTCGACTTCAGAAAAGCGAGCAGTAATTAAATGTACTGAATAAGACTCACATTCCTTTCAATCTACTACACAGATTTTAGCAGAGATGCAGAGAAGCATATTTAATCTCTTTAAAAAAAGACAGCTCAAGAGGTATGCTTAGATATGCAGAAAAATAATAAGCATAATGATTATGGCTCTAGATTGCAGGAAAAAGCTGTTTCAGGTGTCCAATTTACAGACAGGGGGCGTAGCTCCACTCCAGACCACCACCGAGCCATAAAGCACTTTGTGCCCCCTCAGATTTTGGGTGTGCATGACGCCCCTGCACATCCCCATGAGCTACACTTACATTCTGACCATATGATGCTGCTTCTAGAGAAAACACCTCCAAAGACAAATGTAATTGTCTATTCTCTTTAACCATATCAGTCCCGAGACCCCAGCAAAAATCGGCTTTTCATTTATCTGCATGTCCAGCCCTTATATTCAGCCTCACAATAAAGTGTTTTACCATTTGACATAAACAGTTGCATTCATGAGTTTTATTGACAAATGTAAATAAAAAAAATAAGGTCCGCCAAAGCAAAAACCTGATAAAAATGTACACTGCTCAAAAAAATAAGTCAATCACACTTCTGTGAAATCAAACTGTCCACTTAGGAAGCAACACTGATTGACAATAGATTTCACATGCTGTTGTGCAAATGGAATAGACAACAGGTGGAAATTATAGGCAATTAGCAAGACAAACCCAATAAAGGACTGGTTTTGCAGGTGGTGACCACAGACCACTTCTCAGTTCCTACGCTTCCTGGCTGATGTTTTGGTCACTTTTGAATGCTGCCGGTGCTTTCACTCTAGTGGTAGCATGAGACGGAGTCTACAACCCACACAAGTGGCTCAGGTAGTGCAGCTCATCCAGGATGGCACATCAATGCGAGCTGTGGCAAGAAGATTTGCCGTGTCTGTCAGCGTAGTGTCCAGAGCATGGAGGCGCTACCAGGAGACAGGCCAGTACATCAGGAGACGTGGAGGAGGCCGTAGGAGGGCAACAACCCAGCAGCAGGACTGCTACCGCCGCCTTTGTGCAAGGAGGAGCAGGAGGAGCACTGCCAGAGCCCTGCAAAATGACCTCCAGCAGGCCACAAATGTGCATGTGTCTGCTCAAACGGTCAGAAACAGACTCCATGAGGGTGGTATGAGGGCACGACGTCCACAGGTGAGGGTTGTGCTTACAGCCCAACACCGTGCAGGACGTTTGGCATTTGTCAGAGAACACCAAGATTGGCAAATTCGCCACTGGCGCCCTGTGCTCTTCACAGATGAAAGCAGGTTCACACTGAGCACATGTGACAGACGTGACAGAGTCTGGAGACGCTGTGGAGAACGTTCTGCTGCCTGCAACATCCTCCAGCATGACCGGTTTGGAGGTGGGTCAGTCATGGTGTGGGGTGGCATTTCTTTGGGGGGCCGCACAGCCCTCCATGTGCTCGCCAGAGGTAGCCTGACTGCCATTAGGTACCGAGATGAGATCCTCAGACCCCTTGTGAGACCATATGCTGGTTCGGTTGGCCCTGGGTTCCTCCTAATGCAAGACAATGCTAGACCTCATGTGGCTGGAGTGTGTCAGCAGTTCCTGCAAGAGGAAGGCATTGATGCTATGGACTGGCCCGCCTGTTCCCCAGACCTGAATCCAATTGAGCACATCTGGGACATCATGTCTCGCTCCATCCACCAACGCCACGTTGCACAACAGACTGTCCAGGAGTTGGCGGATGCTTTAGTCCAGGTCTGGGAGGAGATCCCTCAGGAGACCATCCGCCACCTCATCAGGAGCATGCCCAGGCGTTGTAGGGAGGTCATACAGGCACGTGGAGGCCACACACACTACTGAGCCTCATTTTGACTTGTTTTAAGGACATTACATCAAAGTTGGATCAGCCTGTAGTGTGGTTTTCCACTTTAATTTTGAGGGTGACTCCAAATCCAGACCTCCATGGGTTGATAAATTTGATTTCCATTGATAATTTTTGTGTGATTTTGTTGTCAGCACATTCAACTATGTAAAGAAAAAATAATTTAATAAGATTATTTCATTCATTCAGATCTAGGATGTGTTGTTTAAGTGTTCCCTTTATTTTTTTGAGCAGTATATTTATATGAATGCTGTAAGTACAGAAATAGTTTGCTCACTGGGAAATGAATATGACAACTGTCTGGAGTTTGGAGTTTGTGACAGCAACTATGTGAGCTTATTACAGCATTATAGACATAATGTCCTGTGATTTCCTACGTAGAAGAACCCCTTAATGGCTCTTGTGTAGCTTGTGAGCATCATAGAGCAAAACATGTGCTTGTTCTTCTCAGCTTTTCATAGATAGCTTTTAAAAGTTTATAGCTCAAACCATTCGGACTCTACAGAAAAAAGAACCGTCCCCGGGCCGCTTCGGGATCCGCCCTTGTCTCACAAACACCACTCTAGCTCAGCCCCTGTTAATCACACAAACTTGGTATCTACAGATGCCGAAGAAATACTCAAATATAATGGTACAACCCAGAAGTCTTTAGCTCAAACTCACAATGTTTAAAAGGGGTTAGAAGTCCAAAACACACGTTACGGTGGGACAGTGTTTCCTTACATTTTACATTTTAGTCATTTAGCAGACGCTCTTATCCAGAGCGACTTACAGTTAGTAAGTGCATACATTTTCATACTGGCCCCCCGTGGGAAACGAACCCACAACCCTGGCATTGCAAGCGCCATGCTCTACCAACTGAGCTACAGGGGACTATGTAAAACTGGGAAATATCTGTTCTAGGTATACTGTTACAGTCAGTTCTGTGTGAACCTCTTTCGACACTATTGACAATGACACTATTGTGTATCAGTCTGTGGAAATGTTTAGTGGAGTGCATGGGCTGATCTGATTAATGGATAAATAGATTTACAGTATATTAGGAGAGAAAAGCTGCATTATTTATTAATCAGATCCCTCACCTAGCACCTCCAGTTTGACCTCCATGGTGTCCTGTCCAGCAGTGTTCTTGGCCACACAGCTGTAGGTGCCCTGGTCAGTGTGGCTGGCCCTGTGGATCCTGAGGGCTGCAGTGTCCCTCGCCCCGACAGGACGTCCGTTCTGGAACCAGCTGATCTCAGGGCTGGGCTCCCCCTGAACCACACACGGCAGAACCACCGTCTGGCCTATCAGCGCCTTCAGCAGGGACGGCGCTGCCTGGATCTTGGGCTTAACTGGGAAAGAAACAAACAAGGTTTGTGTCTCATGATATCTATTAGATGCATGTGAAGTGAAACAGGTTCTCAGATCTCAAGTTCACATAGCACCTACAAAGTGAGAATCCATAACGAGATACCTTGTATATGTAAATTGTAGTTGAGGGACACGTTGCCTGCTGGGTTTTCTGCAGAGCAGGTGTAAAGTTTACTATCAATCGGTCGGACATCAGTGATCTTCAGAGAGCCAGAAGGCAGCACGGTGAACCTGGTCATGGAGAGAGGTCAGAGGTCAGGCTGGGGATAACACTGTTACTCACAGTGGAGTCACACTGGAAATCTGCAACCCTGTTTGCGTTTCTGTGAATATGTGTGAGTGTGTGAGTGTGTGAGTGTGTGAGTGTGTGAGTGTGTGCATGCTGTACATGCCTGTGTAGTTCTGGCTTTTGTAATACCATTCATATTGCATAATAGTAACTGAACTTCTCAACTGAACTGAAATCATATGTAAAAATGTATGCACGCATGACTGTAAGTCGCTTTGGATAAAAGCGTTTGCTAAATGGCATAATATTATTATTATTATTATTATTATTATTATTATTATTATTAAATCCCCAGCAGAACTATACCCAGCTGCAGAAATTGATAATTTGCACAAATGTAAACAGTGCTCTGAGATGTATAAGTGTGTCTGCTAAGCAACTAAAATTATATCAATAACATGTTCGGAAATGATCTGGAACCACAAATAGCCCTATATTTCAACACTGCACATGTGCCTGTAACACTCTGCCTCCCTACTGCTTCAAACCCAACCAGTAGCATACATCATAGAAACTGAATGACTGGCTCAGCAGCGGTCAGTCTCTACTGAGACATAAAGCAGTTCTAAGTCACCTTAGTAGAGACCAGGGAGCTGAGCACAAACTGGAGACATGGACCCAACATACAGCCTCATCTGTATACACAGGCTGACAGGGACAAATTGGGCTTATCAGAGAGGCCTGAGTGCAGCTCCCTAGCCTCCCCGACTGACCCACTGTGGGCTAGCGCTCCTCTACTCTCCAGCTGTGCTAGCTCTCTCTCTCTCTCTCTCTCTCTCTCTCTCTCTCTCTCTCTCTCTCTCTCTCTCTTCTCTCCTCTCTTCTCTCTCTCTCTCTTCTTATCGTTCTTCTGCTTGCAGCACTGGGGCCTGTGGTCGGAGGTGGTGGAGAACGAAGAACAGGGCTACGGGCAGCAGACACTCAGAACACCCACTGACTGAGTTATTCCAACAATCAGTGCCTCCCTGCTCACACCGGCTGGGCCAAAACGAGGGGCGGCAGATAGGGATCTGGATGAGAGAATGCGTCTTGTCCGTCCAGTGGATAAGGTGTAAGGGGTTGTTTGGTGGAAGTGTGTTTTCTCCATCAGACAGCCAGGGCTGGGAAAGAGTAAGAGTCGACATTGCTTCTTTTATCGGCGGAGATCCACAGGGGACCCAAACGCCAAACAGGCTCGACTTTTTTCTCTTCTTCTGTCAGTGTTCTCCCTTCTTCCCGTCAGCACACCTCTCCCCCTCTCCTCCCTCCCCCTCTCCCTCTCCCCCTACTCCTCCCTCCCCCTGTCCTCTCTCCTTCCTGGCCCCACATGATCATCCTCATTCTACCACTATCACAGCTTTCAACACTGTCACACAGTTCCTTCAGAGACATAGGGACTGGTCATGGCCAGTGGGTTTCACTGTCATCCCTAGAGAGAGTCATGTGTAACTAGATGTTCTTCCTCAGAGAAGCTGTTCCATACGACTGCACACACACACACACTCTCACACACACACACACACACACACACACACACACAACAGCCCCGCGCCAGGCTGCTGCTTCTGCTGCTTCAAAAGGCACCACTAAATTAGCTCCAACCGTTAACATCTGCTTTGGAGAGCAGCCGGATTCAATCAGCGTCCCTTGTAAAAGGTTGGTCAGTTAAGTCAGAGGTAAGGTAATCACCTTGGTATGGTGAGAAACTTGTCCTTTATTGCCTATTTACCATTTCACTGCATTGTTGCTACATTCTTATGTTACCATTGCAGGAAGATGGGTCTTCCTCTTACCAGGCAGTGACTGGAGGGATGGGCTGGCCGTTCCTGCTCCATGTGACCAGAGGAGAGGGACTGCCCTGGACCTCACAAGGGAGGATGACCTCAGAGCCCACCTCGGCAGCCATATTCACCGTGTTCTCCTCACCGCTCACACCTACGATCTTAGGCTTGGCTAGGGGAAAGGGAAACATTATATTTTTACAGAGCCAGGTCTGCTCTTTAAGCATTCAACTTTTTTCTAATCTAAACATGTCAAATGCCTTATGATTTTCTTTTACACAGTACATCCTCTATCAATGAAACACTTTGGAGAGAGGCCATTGACATCACGCACTGGACAGTCTTTGCTGTAAGTTAATGTGCAGCCCTTACTGTTGACACTAAGCTGGATCTCACGGCTGGTGTAGCCCACTGCACTTGTGGCTGTGCAAATGTATATGCCTGCATCTTCTGCAGTGGGGTTGAGGATATGGAGGAAGCCATCAGGGTCTGACTGGGGAGAGGACCTGTCCCTGGGCAGGGGCTCCCTTCCCTGGGGGAAGAGCAGGCAGAGTGAGGCCCGGATACACACTCAACAGCACTGGGACATATAACTAGGCCAAAGGTTCAAAGCCCAAATTCACTTCTGATGCCTGCTATAATTACAGAGCCGAGCCCCCTTCCCAAACTAAACTCTCTCTCTCTCTCTCTCTCTCTCTCTCTCTCTCTCTCTCTCTCTCTCTCTCTCTCTCTCTCTCTCTATCTCTCTCTCTCTCTCTCTCTCTCTCTCTCTCTCTCTCTCTCTCTCTCTCTCTCTCTCTCTCTCTCTCTCTCTCTCTCAGACACACACACACACACAGTACTACTTTTGAACACAAGATGGCTTTTGCAGACTCACTATCATCTGACAAGTATATACATTTACTTGACTCTAGTGTATTAATCTGAGAATGTATGGAACGAGGCTATGAATAAACATTCCTTGACACAGGCAGCCTTATAATATATAGACAAGTGTTACATTAGTTTAAAGGTTATTTACATGATGTTAGTGGCCATTAATCTTAAAATGGATGGGCTGTGATTGCAATCCCCACTAGATTCCCTTGTGCTATATTATGCGATTTGTCAAAGGCCATTTGTCACACGTGAAATGAAGCCAAAACCATCATTAAATAAAAAACAGCTTCAGAGCAGAAAGCATAGCATCCTACCTTGGACCAGACAACAGTTGGCTTGGGAACGCCGCTGGACTCACATGACAGGGTGATGGCCATGCCCTCATTGGCTATGTAGTGGTATGGACCAGCGCTGATCTCTGGGGGCACTGGGAAAGTAGGTCACAAGTACAGCAGTCTACTGAGCATGGACAACAAGTGGAGCAGAATTATCACTGGACTCAAAGCATCAACCAGCTTCATTACAACTTGTTGATGAACCCTGATCTGGATGCCTGTCATTATTGTCTATGGACAAAATGACTTCATCAAAGCATGCAGTATATGAAACACTCTCTCAACTATAACACCGCAGGGTGCTCAAGTTACAAGTTGCTCAAGATGTTGTTTTCCCATACTAATAGTCAGCACATTCATAAGCTCATTAGATGGCCCATGACTATAGAGGATCTGCTATAGCCCTTTGACCATTCTGTAAAACGTATCTCCTCTCACCATGGACTTCCAGGCTGACTGATGTGTTGACCGACCCGGCTACGTTCACCGCAGTGCAAACATACGTCCCAGCATCCTCTTGGAGTGCCCTCTCTATGTACAGGCTGCCATCACTCCTCAGGAACTTCCTGCCACTCAGTTGCAGCTAGGGAACAGCAATGGATAATGTTAGGCAATGATAAACACACATTCAGAAAGGTAGTAATGTAGGATTATTCAGGACAGGTCATCCTCACTTGGTTTCCATTGTGTGTCCAGTGTCTCTCTGGCAGGGGTATTCCATCCAATAGCATGCAGGGTATGCTCAGGGACTGACCAATCCCAGTGGTGATGACTGGGGCACCATGTGCCAAAAGAGGGGGCTCTGTTGGACAAAACGGGGGGGGATATCATTACATGAGCAGACAGACCGAAATACAAAGCAGCAGCTGAAAAAAAAATGTAGGATCAAACTTAAACTATTATGGGGAGAGGCAGCAATGGATACTGGTGTTATCTGTCAGCAGAGAAAGGTAAGACTTAACACAAACACTAGTTCATACCCAGTCCACTGACACTGACTCTGGCCTCAGTCCTGATGGTTCCAAACTGATTCTTGGCCTCACAGACATACAGGCCTTCATCATCCAACCAGACATCTGTGGACAGACACAGTCACTCTGAGAATACTGTTATCATGATCAAATAAATACAGATTCCACTGTATAGGATGGCATCTCCATGCAAATCTCAGTATGAGACAGGTTACATGTGCAAGTACTGTATTAAGAATTGACAAGTGCATACTAGCTAAACATCATTTTCATTCTAAGTTTTCATCAACTATGTCTCAATCGTCTACTGGCATTCTCTTGGTTTATTTATAATGTCATTAGGGTTTATAAAACCTTTTTTCAATACAATTAGCCACAATGTAGTACAGCTGCCTATACAATATGTCCTAAACAGTATATTTTACTTAGACCACATGATGACAGATGAAAACATGATTCAATTGCCAGTGTCTAAATGGCTGATGTCAACTCATGTGAAGAGTAAACAGTGAAAATGAAGTTGTCCAATGACTGTACAATATGTAGCCTACATATCTGACACATTAATAAAGAGGCTACTGGACTCTCTTTAAACAACGCCACGTAAAGATAGAAACATCTGCTGCCATTTAAGCAAATCAGGTCAGTATGTACACACATATGGGCCCAGTGATGGAAGTCCACTTCTCCATGCAAATATTACTGTTTCTCCCTCCCCAACAAAAAATAACCCAGCCTATAAACATTTAGGATCTGAGCTGTGGATAGATATACCAACCACGCTCTCTCTTTCTCTTTCTCTCTCTCTCTCTTCTCTCTGTCTCCCTCCCTCCCTCCCTCCCTCTCTGGCCAAGGCTAAAGTCATGGTCCAAAATATGTTATATCCACATTATACAGTTGAACTTGACTCACCCCTGACTTGACATAAAAGTCTCTGTCAATTCTCTAAGGCCCTCCAAGCGCCTCAGTTCCCCTCACTGGGGGAGAAAGGGGAGATGCTCTGTTCATTCAGCAGTGCCAGCTGTATCCTGTTACGCTCACTCTCTGTCATGAACCCTGCGTCCTGAGTCTGTTCCTGCCTGTGTTGCCGTTTTTCTGCTCTGTATCTCCTGTTTCCCGAAGGTGCCTGAACGCACCCTGTCCGGTTGCCGGGCGACGTTGCTAGGCGGATGATCTCTCGATTACCCGCACCTGCTTCTCATCAGCTTCGGCACACCTGGTCCTGATCATCACCCCTTCATAAGCTCTGACCTGACATCCATTCCCTGCCGGATCGTTAGCCATAAACAGTATGTTTTGCCAGCGTATCAGCCTCTGAGTACTAGCGTTAGTTTTGTTGTTTTTTGCACCTTGTTGACCTGCCTTGTACTTACCTCTGTTTTTTTCTGTCTACAGTCATTCTCCCGGAACCTTCACCCAACCCCTGCCGTGCCATCAGTTCATCTGCCACTTCACCACCACCTACTCATCTCCGCCACCCGCTCCGTCTCCTGGACTATTCTGCATCTTTTATCTGTAAATAAACACTCACATTCGTTCAACTCACCTTGTCCTGGTCTGCTTCTGGGTTCGGTCTTAGAGAACCGTGACACTCTCTTAAGAAAACGTTTACTGAATCTGATCTGAGGGGCTCCACCTCTTATATATTTATGAACCCAAAGAATGTCAGCCATGCCAGTCACACACTTGGTGCCAATGGAGGGCTGTGGTCTCTTTGGTGCCTGCTGTTTTGGTAAGGAACTCATTATGGGGATAGTGTAATAGTGTAAAGAAGAATAGTGGGAAAGGGACATATGACTCACCCTGAATCAGGAGATGCCCTGTTTCTAGTTGCACCGTCCCACCGCTGCTGTCTGCTTTAGTGATGATCGGTCTCCCATCCTTTCGACGCCAGGTAACTGTAGGCGACGGGAAACCACGGGCGACACAGGGCAGCGTGACATTCTCCCCCACATCCACTGTCATGTCATCTGGGGGTTCTGAGAATAGAGGGGCCGCTGTGGGAGAAAGAGTGGGAGATCAGCATGAAGTTCTCTATAATCAAATACAGTGTTTAAAAAGGACATAGATCTACTCTGTTCAAAATATATAAATAGTCTATTACACCTACATGGTTTAGATAAAGGATGCAATGCCTTACCATTATTACTGGTTATCTGAAAGTGGCATTAATTCAGTAAGGCTCAAATGGCTGCCCTCACCTCCGACCTCCAGAATAACAGTAGCAGACGAGGTTCCAGCAGGGTTACTGGCCACACAGCTGTACTCCCCAGCATCCATCTCCTGCACCCCTCGGATCTGCAGCGTCCCACGATGCACGTCCTGCTCAGCAAAAGGAACTGAGCCCACCTGTAGATCACCTGAGAAATTACAAGAAAATGACACACAGACACAGTGATTCTTTGTTTAATGCAAATATCAACCTAATGAATGTCATTTATCATAACAGATTACACAAGTGATTAGACATAATCCTATCTAGTGTACTATTGACAACGTATCACACAAGTGATCAGTGTTTTACCTTTGGACCATTTGACCAGAGGTAGAGGAATGCCTGTGGCTCGGCACTCCAGAGTTGCATCACCTCCAACTGCCACCATCACAACCGGTTTCACCACCCAGATACTGGGTTCCTCTGTATGGAGGAAGGGTGAACCAAGATAAAACTTAAATAATAAACATGATCAAAACATTTGTATTATCTACCAAATCAGCAGACATGCTCACAATGCTATATGTGATCAGAATAGCAAATTAATGTGAATTTAATTCAGTCAATTGACTGGGCAGTGGCCCAGACAGGAGATAAAAATAGAAGTATCGCTGCCTGTCATTTCACACGCCTTGTACGTCTGCAGAGACGTGACAGAGACAGGCGCTACAGGAGCCGAGAGAAAGAGACAGTTGAAAGGATGAGATGATGCATCCTGCCAGAGCCAGGTTGATGGTGTCTTGACAGATCAGTGTTGTTAAAAATGACACTCCCAGACAGTGAGTATAATACAAGCACACCCCCGGGAGAAGCTGCCATGGTCCATCAGTGCTGTGCCCTCTGTCAAGCACTCAATGACAGCAAGGCTAAAAATACATCCTGAGGACTGTCAACCCTGCCAACACAGGGAAGCTATAACCCAGATATATGCCACTGTCAATCTAAACTCTCCTCACAGCTAGACAACATAGCCCAAACACGATGGATCAGGGAGACATTCATTCATAACAGCACTCAACAAAGTTTTCTCACAGAAACCATAAAAAAGTGACCCTACTCTGAACTCTGAAAATGTATGCCTGGGGTAAAAGTGGTAAAGAACTAGTCTTTAAATGGAAAGCCCACATCATAGCCTTTATAGCGCTGTCTCACTCAACCTAGAATAGGACTGGGACTGATAGACATCTCTACCCACCTGCATAATTGAGAGACACAGTCTGAGTGGCGGTTCCAGCCTCGTTGGTCGCCAGGCACGAGTAGTTCCCAGCATCCTCGGGGAGGGCATCTCTGATTGTTAGGCCTCCATGGTTGGATATAGTCATCCTGTATTATGTAAGACAGACATCAGTCATGGGAATTCATGTTTGTTGATTTAGATGATTACAAATAAAGATGTCTTGGTGAAATTCATCACTAGATGTCCAAGGAACATTTTGGATCGCTTGAGGCATATCGCTTTTGAAAATGTATTTATTGGCAGCCATATAATGTAAATGTCCCAAAAATCTGGAATAATATAGTTTTGTGGTTAGCTGTAACTGTAAAATGAAGCAAACAAGATGTGACATTTATATATTCATAGTAGGCTGTTAAAATAGAATCAAACAACTCTCTGTAGCTGCTGCCGTGTAGGTGTTGAGTGGGCTGAGAGTTCCTTTACCTTGGCCGATTAGTGAGGAACATGTTTCCATGACTCCAGAAGAGCTGGGGAGGGGGGGAGCCGGACGCTGTGCAGACGAGGCGGACCTCAGACCCCCTGGAGAAGGCTTGGCTCTGGGGGCTGACTACCACAGAAGGGGCCTCTGCAGAGAGACAGAGAGGGTCCATAGGAAAGATCTGATGACTCATGTCCAAGTCATGGCTGTATGAGTAATAATTTATTACATGCAGAGCTGATCATGGCTAAGCAGTGGCAACCTCTGCTAGTCTGGGGGCAGAGCATGATTAACCGGGAGGGCCTGACGTCATGATCACAGTGGATCACAGTCAGAGACATGTTTCAAATTTGTTCATCGTTTTCAAACACATTATAAGCCTCTGAGCCCATGTCCATCATAGAAGCCACAATTTTCAACTTGCATCAATTGGGCTGATTTGAAACATGTTGTGACTGGGAGCGTTTCTGGAGAAGTGGATAAGTCATGCTACTAAGGCAGTAATGGAAAGCAGATGCCAGAGGCCTGGAAAAGCTATGGAGGAGGCCCTTGTGTGTTAAGTGTTTAAGCAGATGATCGGTACGGTGTGGTTGGGGTGCGGTGAGCTACAGTACCTGGGACGAGCAGCCACACTGTGACTCGGCTGTCTCCGTTGGCATTGGTGGCCACACACTGGTACTGGCCAGCGTCCTGGGGCTGCACCCCACTGATCTCCAGGAAGGAGTTGGGCAGGACCCTGACCCTCCCGGAGGCGGCCAGGATAGTGAGGCCTGCCCGCTGCCAGGTCAGGTTGTGGCGCATGGAGCCCTCCACCTGGCAGGCCAGCACAGCCACAGCACCCACAGTAGAGCTCACGTTCACTGGGGCCTTCAGCACCGGAGGAGGCTCTGTCTCATGGGAAACACAGAGTCAACACAGTGTGACAAACAACACATTATCAGCAGGCACTAAACAGTTCAGTTAACTGTCAATGTAAACATTTGGAATTACATGTTTTGTATCAAAGTGGTATTTATATCAGCAATATATAAATAAGATAAGTATTTTGGAAAGCTTTGACAACATTAGCTAAGTGATCTGTGTGTGTGTGTGTGTGTGTGTGTGTGTGCGGGTGTGTGTGTGTTCTGACATACCTCTCACGGTCAGCTGTGTGAGTGCTCTTCCCAGTCCTGCGCTGCTCTGAGCGATGCACTCATACGGACCCTCATCCTTACCTGAGGCATGTGGAATTTCCCATGATGCTTTGCCAGAGAACCTGAGACACATGAACAGATAGTGAGTGATGATCGGAACAGGATACTGTCTTACACCACTGACAAATTAGCCTCTCTGGCACAGAGACACAGTGAATACCTCTCGTCAGAGGTCGGCATTATTTCATGTATGTAATTCAAAACAGAGTGTTAGAACAGTATAGTCCCGTGTAGCTCAGTTGGTAGAGCATGGCGTTTGCAACGCCAGGGTTGTGGGTTTGTTTCCCACGGGGGACCAGTATTAAGAAAATGTATGCACTCTCTAACTGTAAGTCGCTCTGGATAAGAGTGTCTGCTAAATGACAAAAAAAAAAAAAAACTGAGAGAAAAAATTTTTGCTTTGTTCATTTTCCAAGATGGACACAATCGAATGCGTAATGTACACAAAATCTACTGTGTATACCCGTCTCCTGATTGATGCACCAATAAAAGGCAACAGAGTCTAACGGCACTAATGTCTTGCAGAGCTGGTAACTGCAAACAGTGCACTTTGTCATACCCCATGACCTAATTAGCTGTTTTACAGCGGGTATTGAGTGCATATGGCTATTTCATCCAAAAGGAGGGCAAGTCAAGTGTTATAGTGTGTTCAACAAACAGAACAGACGAAGACTCACTGGAACAACTTCTCCTCCCCAATAGCCACTCCACTCCTGGTGAACCTCAGCCTATAGGGAATGTCGCTCTCTACCGAACAGCCAATCATAGCGGGTTGCATATAAAAGCCGTTCACCACCTTGGGCATGCTCACCGCTGGGCGATCTTTGTCATGACAAAAAAGAGAGGAGGGAAGAGGTCACACAAAGGACTAGGTATGTCTGTGAGACATTATGGTGGAGACTGAGGAGAGGGATCTCTTACCTGGGATGATGTTTGTGTAGGAGACACTGGACAACCTCTGGAAGCGGTATCCTTCCTTATCCTTCCCTGTCACCTTGAGGAAGAAGCTTTGGGAAGGAGTGCGAAATTCTGGGACATTCCAGAGTCCTAAGCTGCCCCTGTCAGAGGGCAGAGGCACGGGGAGGGTGCGTAAGGAGCGTCCTGAACCTGAAACTAACTCCATGTGACTCAGCTGACCTGGGGGCTTCAGTCCTGTACACTTCAGCAGCACATGGGCTGGAACTCCTTTGGAAGGGGAGGGGAGCCCAACGTTATTCAATGCAATCACGTATACATACAAATATATAAAATTGCATGTACACTTTACCTTTGATGGGTCTCTCCCTGGTATGGTTGAACTCAGACACTGGTATACTGGAGAACCCAGCCCGAAAGTCCAGATTGCTGACCCCTGTAACTCTCAGAGTGTGACGGCCACCGCAGCCCACCTGGACATAGACAGGACATTCAGTTGTTGTATTGTGCATCAGAGGTGACTAAAGCAGTTATCTCATTCTCAATGCAGGATGATCACGTCAGGAGGATCTACTGTAGAGTACCTTCAGAGTCCAGGCTCCAGGTCGGGGGAACTTCAGGTTGACAACACGGGCAGAATTTGGAATATTCAACAGCTCTGTGAGGCCCTGCTCCACTCTAACAATGTGACCTAAGCAATTGACACATAACAATATAATTTCAAAATGTTAAATAACGTCAATGTTCAGACAAATGGATATCACAGGAGGTTGGTGGCACCTTAATCGGGGAAAACACTCTTGGTAATGGCTGGAGCGGAATGAGTGGAATTGTATCAAATACATCAAACACATGGTTTCCATGTGTTTGATGCCATTCCATTCAATCCATTCCAGCCATTATTATGAGCCATCCTCCCTTCAGCAGCCTCCACTGATGAATATATAGTATTATTCTCAAGTAGTGACAAAGTTATTTGATATCTATACAACGAGAATACATAATGAAAGCATGGTGTACCAAGGGGATCCCTGAGCTCGATCTGAGGGGCTGGCCCACTAAGTGACACAGTGACCTCCTTCAGGCTGGGGTCAAAGGGCACCTCCCACTGGTTCTCCTGAGCACTGTCATGATTGGAGGAGAGCAGGTGAACCTTCAGGGCCTGCACTGTCTCCTCCACCCACTTCAAGACCTGGCAGGAGAGAAGACTTCATATCAGCAAGACAGCAGCACACCCCACACAGCTAGAGGACAGATTAGACAGGGGTGGTCTGGGACTTGTCACAATAGACTAGACTATATAGATAGACTTTCTAGCAAAGACCTCTACCAGAAACCCAATGAGAGGGAAAGGAAAGGAAGGATGTGCATGTGACCTCATGACCTCTCTCTGATTCTGAAACTGTCTGCTTTAACACTGCAAGCTGGTCTTTGTCTTTGAACCATCTTCCATCGCCAAAGTATGTCTCAAAGGGATCTTCCATAAACAAAAGGAAAGTGAAACAGCTCAACTGTCAAAAAGATAACATACAGTTTTCTGCACTCTTAAGCATGAATTCCCCAAAGGAGTTTCTCTCACAGTGGAAGGTAGCACACTTTCTGACAGAAAGGGCCATGCTTCTGCACACCGCCTTTAATGAATCATGGCATTGGTTCCCCTGTCCTGGCTTTACAAAAATCTGGGAGAGATCTATTCCAGATTATTAACAGGTCCAATGTGCAGGATCAATTTAGGCTAGAAATGGCTTACTCTGTGTTATCTGTCAAATTGGCAGGGTTGGGTACATTTACATTTTAGTCATTTAGCAGATGCTCTTATCCAGAGCGACTTACAGTTAGTGAGTGCATACATTATTTTTTTATTTTTCATACTGGCCCCCCGTGGGAATCGAACCTACAACCCTGGCGTTGCAAACGCCATGCTCTACCAACTGAGCTACATCCTTTCTGAATGTAATCCATTACAGTTACTAGTTACCTGTCCAAAAAATGTTAGCAGTAACGTAATTTTTGGATTACCAAACTCAGTCATACAATCTGATTACTTTCAGTTACTTTTAGATTACTTTCCCCTTAAGAGGCGCAGGTTAGTAGCTGACACAGCCACAAAGTCATAAAATCTGATTTTAACCCTAACCACACTGCTAACCCTAATGCCTAACCCTAACCGTAAATAACCCTAACCTCAACCACACTGCTAACCCTAATGCCTAAGCCTAACCTTAAATTATGGCCAAAAAACAAAATTTTGTTTTCATACATTTTTACAATATTGCAAATGTGTACTTTGCAGCTGGCCCTGAAATCACTCAGTTCTGCCTCAAGGACAAGACTCATCCCAATAAACGTCAACCTGCTTAAGAGGCATTAGAAGAAGACAAAAATGTATATTACCAATTCTACATCTATTGCAGTATAAATCAATGTTAGAGTTTACATAGCTGGCCATAAATGGATGTTGTATTTTACTTAATGGGTTGGTTATGTAGGCTTCACTGCCTTCTACTACAGATAATAATATGATTAGGCTATATCTTACCATAAACCTAAAAAAGTATGTCATATTTTCAGTCATTCCAATTAATTTAATACCCCTTGTCTTCAAAAATAGGATTTGGAAATATGGAAATATAGATTAGCCAAATTGTTTTACCTGAGTATAACCCAAAAACGAAGGACTAATTAGCCTACTCCGTTGTTTATGATGGACTGATAGGGCTCGTTGCTTCAAGTTGAAATATAAATGCTGCTCTCGGAATGGCATGCTTTGGGCACTACCGAAAGTGGTATTTGCATGTGAAAAATGTATTCCATAGGCGTATTGTTTACGTTTATGATGGTGACACTTTGATATATCGACTTCGACATTGCTCTTCCTAATATTTATATTTTTCTTAATTCCATTCTTTTACTTTTAGATTTGTGTGTATTGTTAGACATTACTGCACTGTCGGAGCTAGGAGCAAAAGCATTTAGCTACACCCGCAATAACATCTGCTAAATATGTGTATGTGACCAATACAATTTGATTTGATAATTTGCAGCCGATTCTTTTGCAAAACGTTTCTTAAATGGAAGCAAACGGGGAGGGACCTACCTGAATTTGTCCAATTTAAACTCTCGTTTTGCTCTGTTTGCAGTCGCACAATTGGAAGACATAGCTTGTACTGTAGTTTACAAAATCCTATTCCTGCTCTTTTCCTGCGATCCATCAAATGCATTATGTGTCATCATAGTGGTCTCTGATTTGTGGTCACACTCGCTCAGGCAGAACAATCTTAAACCTGGCATTTTATCAATGCTGATTTGAACGTCATTGAGAAAACAGAAAGGTGCTAGAGGTAAGCATCTACTTTTTCAAAAGTATCTGTAATCTGATTACAATATATTTGCTGGTAACGGATTACAGTTACAGTTTTTTTTTGGTAATCCATTAGGCTACATGTAGTCTGTTACTCCCCAACCCTGCAAATTGGTTGGGCTTTAAATAGCGGATGTTACCTGAGAGGACTGGTCTGGTCTGGGGTTGATGGAATTGTGGAGGCTTCACTCTGAAATGATGGTCATTATCTGGTTCTCAGAGAACAGATTAACCAATGCCTGGCTTCCGCTGAGTCTGAAATAAGCCTGGGTGGCTTTATTACATTCAATTCCAGGAGTAATCATCACTGAGTATACTTTTTTCCCTCGACTATTACTGTAGAATATTGGACAGGTCGAATTTCAACGTTTGATTATATACTCAACCCTCTAGGTGAAATCATGCTGGTGGTTAGGATTCAGAAGAAAAAACAATGTGTCCTTTCCAGGGGCGGTGTGTTCAATAGGGCGATATGGGCGACGCACTGCCAAACGGGAAAAGGAAGGGATTTTTTTTCTAATCAATTATATCACGGCAACAGTAGTTATCAGTGTTGTAATCTAGACGTCTGATCTGCCACAGTGCCACTAAATGTCCAATCAGGCTAAAGTCGTGCTTCAAATGCCCCCCCCCCCCCCTTTTGGGGCGATTTCAGTCAGGTTGAAAATCGCCCAGAAGTCTGTCATAGACTCCCATGTAAAATCTATTTTTTTCAAATATCAGAGCTTTCAATACAATCTCTATGGGTTTCTGAGGGCTTGCACTTACGCGCTTTCGTCATACGTAACATAACCATGAACGTAACTAAGAAAAGAGCGGGTAGCAGCATCAATCAATTCACTACTACTATCAAAATGGCTAGGCTTCAGTGCAACTCGATTGTGTCTTTGAAAGAAGTTCCTTTTTGTCGGCGAACAAATGAAGATAAATTGGCAACGAAACAATTAGGACCTCCCAGACCAAATTTAATAATTCAACAGGTTTCTACTAAAGGGGGGAAGTCCTACACCCGAGGATTTTCCAAAAATTGGTACGAACGAAAAACCTGGCTAGCAGGCTGCGATGTAGCTAATGCAGTCTTCTGCTACCCCCTGCTTACTCTTTCACCCTGAAGGCGGCACGGCAGACAGCACCGCTTGGACAGCGACTGGTGTGTAACGGACATGCACCATCTTTCAGGAAAGATTAAGAAACATGAGCTGTCAAAGACCCACATGGATAGCTGTTTGAGATTGTCTGCTTTGGGGAGAGTGAACATTCCCACTCAACTGGATGAGGGATACAGGCTAGCTGTCCGCCGCCACAACGATGAGGTTAGTGTTGATAATCACAAGTTTACTGGAGAACTGAAACTGACAAGGCTGACAAGATAGGACCCTTTTGTCCATTGTTATTGGATAGGAACAGAACTTATAACCAGCTCCTGACCTAAATAGATCTTAGCACAACATTTTACTCAACATATCATATTCCATATTCACTATAACAAATATATTTACTACGACATTAGCAAGAACCGCCACATCCTCAGCCGGCTATCGTGGTGAAGTTTTGCGGGTTTTGAGTTACTTGCGGCAAGATGAACTGAGGGCCCACACCCTGAGCCAACCTTTTGAGACATCAAATGCTTCGGTTGACTTATATGCTGCAGTCTTCATGTTGCACATCTTTTTTAAAATGGTGTAGGTCACCTAAATCATCAAAAAATTGCCCCCTTTTCAGGAGCCGCCATCTTCCCTTACAGGAAAGAAGAGAACCGTTGGATATGCGTCTAATTTCACTGACCGGACCATCCTTTTTCCCATCTTTCAAGTGCTAACGCAACGGTGGTCTTGTATTTGTTTTGACCCCATAATCCTGAGTGCAGACATTATGGTTGCATTGTGTCCGTAATAAAACAAACTGAAAACATTGCTTCAGTGGCCCCTCTGAGAAATGGGGCTTATTCAACAAATCTTAATATATTTAGTAATAATGGAGAAGATTGAAGTGAGCAAAGCCAGCCCACTGGGTGCTGACAGCAGCTGGTTCCTCTCGGAGTTTACAGCTGGAAACAGCTGTAATTTCTGCCACATGTGCAGCCATCCCCAGCAGAGCAGGACACTGCCATAGAGTGACCTACATCTGCCTCAAACCGCTGTCTATTTCATCTCAACCACCTAGTGAGACTCAGAGACATCCATCTCCCCACAGCCTTACACACTTCAACATTAGGGTTACTCAAGGGTTCTTTGGGAAGGGTGATGGTTCTATGTGGAACCCTAATGACTCAAATAATCCTTTGAGCACATCAATTGTTCTTTACAGCTCTTTTAGCGATAATTAAAATGTATGGGAGGTGGCTCAGTATAATATTCTGGGGTGTGGTTTGCGCACAGCTCTTTTTGTGCAACCATGAGTGAGAGTGTCATTACAGTTCATCTAATGTGTTGTGTTATGCCATTACATATTATATATGACTATGTCCAGTGATTGTGTCTTGTGAAAAACTCATGCATAGCCTTCAGTCAATTGAGAACAGTTGACTAAATCAGTCAGTGGTTCTCAATTCTCTTCTCAGGGGACCCCCAGATGTTCCAGAGGTAGCTCACTTGTCTCAACTTGTCAATTAACACAATAATAACACCTATGGAATTCTATCAATATAATTTGGCTGACCAGAATAAAAAACCCTGTATGGTTTTTCAAAAGGATCTACAAAGAACCTTTCAGATTGAGAAATGTTATATAAAACCTTTTTTAATGGTTGTTTATAGAACCTTAGGAAAGGGTTCTTTGCAGCACCATACATGTTCCATTTAGAACCTTATGAGCATGGTTCTTTATTGAACCTTCAAAAAAGCATTCTATATAGCACCAAAAAGGGTTCCGCTGTAGTTACAAGCCAAAGAACCCCTATTGGGTACTATTTAGAACCATTATTTTAGTGTGTAGACAAAGGGACAGGGGGGACAGGGGAGACGCAGAGATAGAGCTGATACTGTCTGGTCTGGCCAAGGTGTGTCTCGAGGAACATGCTGTGTTCTGCTGCTGGTGCTACAGCCACTCCCTGCTAGAGCCATGGGGAATCCAGAGGATCTACGGGTCTTTGAAACCTCATCTGCTGTGTCTCGGCTGAACAGGCACATGGCGTTGTGTCAGGAAGAAGCACCTCCGCTATTCTAGGAATAGAGAAAGGAGGGTGGGCAGAGGAAGGTCAGCTAAGCCTAAGGAGATACACTGTTCTTTTCATCCTCCAGCTAGGTTGTTTTCTACAGGGATTCCTCCTCCTCATGGCCATTTGAAACCCCCCAGCAGACCGCCTGAATGTTTCTCCCATTGCTGTTGGGGAACCTATAGACCACAGCCCTCCTTGCAGAAAGGGTCTCCCAACTTCGGCTCTGGGGTTAAGACGCTACCACCATCACTGTGAGAGAGGAGACAGGGTGCCAGGAACCAGGCTATTAGGCCAAATGGACCCCCGTTCTCCTATTGGATGGGTTCCTCAAAACACCTACCTTTCCCCCAGACAACAGGCAAGAGTCTAGCACATCTGTCTTCCTGTCTCTGAGAGCAGGTCTATACTACAGAGACTGGCTTTATTCACTAACCTCAGGAACACAACAGAGGATACGGGTTAACTGGATTTAACTTATATTTTTACAAACACTCCTGTCCCTTTAACTCACTACTGGGCCCACATGATGAGGAAACCATTGGGTCAATGTTACGAGTGGTTATTTTATGGAAGGAAGTCCAGCCACTTCAGTGAGGAGTGCGTGTGGAGTTGAAACACAGAGACACGAACATGCATTAGCCAAGCTGCTGACAAGGTGATCATAGTCTAGAGTAGTTTATAGATGGACAGCAATAACCCATGAGCTCATGGCCGGCTCACGCAATAGAACAGACATCATCCATGTACACGGATTAGTGCATGGATGAAACCTCACAGAGCCCAGAAAGATTTCTCTTGGCCAGGTTCTCAGCCCTCTCACATCCCTCACACACTGAGAATTGAGGATGGCCTCCATGACCATTAGGACCAGAATCCAAGTTTAAACAGCGCCATTAGTGTTATTTTTCTGCCCGAGGGCTTGTTGGCAGATTGCTCCAGTGATTAGAACAAGTTAAGTATTAAGAGTTTAAGGAGTGTCACACACAAGGTTTCACAATGAGCTGTTGTGTGTGGATTTGGAGCCAGCCAAGAGGGCAGCTGTGTTGGAGAGGAAGAGGGAAGCCTTGACAGATCATATCCTGGGATTAGAGAGTAAAATAAGCAGTCTGTTTTCCCTCCACATCTCCGCCTAAGACCACAAAAGATTGTGTATATTTGATTTGGCCGCAGTTTATTAAACTGATATTAAGAGGGAAGATTTTAGTTCGATTTGAGGTATGTGGTTTCTAAGGATTAAAGGATTTACATTAATTCAGTAATACCATGCCACCCAGGAGTTACAATCCTACTGGGTGTAAATACAGTACATCTGAAATACAATTGTAGTTCTGTTGATCCATGCTAAATGAGTGGAGAGCTTGCAATTAGCATAACATTTGAAAGGTGAGAGGGGTCACTTTAAAACATGTAAAGGCAATCCAACCTGGTCTAGCACTATCCACACTCTGGCCAGCTGGGGCTCACAATGAGTGGACTGGTTTCTGTTGGTGGTGTGAATGTGGTCCCTCAGCACTTCACTATTTACCATTACACTCAAAAAACTGTGGAGGTTATGAAGTGTTAATAGAACCCGATCCAACACACATACACACACGCACCATATATACAGTACATACACATGAATACATAAAGACTGACATGATTTGAAAGAAAGCAGAAACATATAAAAACACACATAGAGAGCTTGGTTCAAGGGTTCAGTGAGCCACATCCCAGTGAACAGTCATACTTGGCTCCAGTGTAGAGCTGCCCCTTTCCTCAGCCCAGCCATCTCCTGTGATGACATGCAGGATACCAGTGTCTCTCCCAAAGGAAACTCTGGCTTCTTTTAAGTTTGACTGGGAGTTATTGAGCCCCGTTGATTTAGGTTTCCAAGATTTGGGGTTCAGTTACATGCTGAGATAAAGGAATCACTCACCCCTAGTTCCTGGTACATTTAATATGCACTTCAAAAATATTTTATGTGTGTCAATAAAATATACTATGACTACATGTATGGGTGATATCAGGTTCATATCGCTATTCTTTCGACTGCTTTTACATATAAAATATTCTCCATTCACCATGTGTTCCTTTGAACCCGCCTGCATTTTTTTTACCCATGTCCTGAAGAGTCTATAAACCTATCATTTTTACAGAAAAATCACACTATGGTTGACCATTGACTCAGCACAACCTCATGAGTGTGCTTGAAAAAATATATATACATTAGTTTGATGACTCTCCTCTTCTGATTCTCACCTCATTGACCTGCTGCTTGTCCAGGTGGAAGATCTGTCCAGAACTGGTGGCAGCGATCTCCTCATAGGCTCTGTACCCAGGCTGAGAGCGGTCTCCACAGTCCCCAGTCAGCACAAACACAACCTGGGTGCACACAGAGGACAGCAGTGGATGGTTATTACTACTGAACTTTCATGAGATTACTGTAATCATACATTACAATCACACTCTAATTTGGGTTTTTTGGTAACCCAGTGCTGGGTAAATATTGGAAGGAACACATGCTGGGTTATTTTGACCGAGCCAGTTGGACTGCGTGATTACCCAAACATGGGTTAATTTAACCATCATTTGGGTATTTATTACTTTCATGCTGGATTGACCTAGCAGCTTGTAATCCTTAGGTAATTTTCAGGAGGCTTAGCTTACTGTGGGTGTGGCTTTCTGATATATCTTATTGGCCACCCATGATAGTAAATGCAATTCCTGTTCATCATGTTAATGTTATATACTGCAAATGTATTTTAAAAAATTGGGCGTTTTTCACATTCTACTACAATATTATCATAAGGTATGCCACCTTATTGCACCCCAACAATGGGATTTACATAGGCTTTTATGGAACTCATACACTTCTGTAAGAGACTGTATGTTATTTATTCTATTTTATTCCATGATATTGTTGTTACAAAATAGATTTGTGTTGACTGTGATTAAGGCATGGGAAAATAAGAACATCTGCTAGGCTAAATTAACAAACTAGGCATGCATAGCTCACCGCATGATCCTCAAACCAAAGCCTGGCCAAACTCATGTATCTAAAAGTGAATTCAAAGGCACTGTACTTCTAAGTAATTCGTTTTATTTTATACAGCCGTAATGCAACATTTATAGGCATGTTGTTGAAGTGCTGTTGTTGATGTGTTGTTGAAATGCTGAGTGTTCCTGCCAGCCTGTAGCGTGTCACAAATGTTTCACCATTTATTTCTTAAATGGCAGGCTATAGCCTTGAAATAATAATAATAATATAGCCTAAATAATTAATTTTAGTTCCTTCTTAAGCTACCTGGCTTGTTCCTGACTGATTTAGAGTTAGTATGTTGTTTAATAGCCTGTTGAAATGTTGAATGTCAATTGATAGTGACAAAGTCACACATTACTTCCCAAGTAAAGTACATTTTTTGTCTCCTTGGCTATATAATCATAGAGGCTAACCAAATATATCCCATATGCATTGGAGTCTTGTCTTTCCCTGGCATTTTACAGCTTGTTTCTAGCATAAAGCATTAAGGACTAAAACGTTATTATAGATCACTTTATATAATCAGGTCCATTACATTTTGTTTTTCAACATCTTAAGCTAACAAGGTTTAGGCCTATGCTTTTAGCCATTTTCTTTAACAAAGGCCACAATACCCTCACATTCTCCCTCAATTTGAGCCCTGGTTTTAACTTAACACACCAATCTCTTCACTGACACTGAGCTATTTAAGGAGTGCATGGTGACTGAAGGAATTGGCTGACAAAATCTATGGATAGTAGACTATAATTTCATCTGTCAAACAGGTAGGCATACCTCTTATTTATTGAATAGGAAGAAATAGCCTCCAGCCCTCTTGTTGTTAGTAGCCTAAAGTCAAATTAAAATGAAGACTGTTTAAATGAATTAGGCCTTCTCAAATTAGCCTACTTTCAGCACCCATTCGCTGTCTATCTCCACAGTTGCCGCTTCATAGTAATGCAAGTTATATAAATTACTTGAATATGGCTTATTGTGAGGTCAATAACTGATAAATAGCTTCATTATGGGAAACGAAACATCAATAAAATCAATTATAGCAGTAGCAAGCTTACATCCAGTCCTCCTTCTCATCTTCGCGCTCTCCTTTTTAAACTGAACAGGAAATCAGTAGGCCTAGAATCACGCACAGAATAGATATAGCATTTTTTGGAAAAGAAAAAAATATTTTCTGAAGAAGCCTTTGACTCACCTCCTGAAGTGCCACCTTACACAGCACAGTCATTGGTTGGGCAGCACAAAATAGTTTACATCAGCAAGAGCAGGGCAGGCCAGGGCTCAGGAATGGGAACACCTATCCATTGCAGTGTGTAATGCAGTGTAGCCTAGCTTTATATACACCATCCCAGCAGCGCAAAAACTCGGGAAGGAAGTACATTTTCTTAGAAATATAACTTTGCCCTGTGCTTCTCTGAGCATGCTCTTCGTACAGGCCTATAGCCTATAGTATAAGCTATGGATCATTTTATTGTGACCACACTATGCACACTTGATATTGCACGCCGAGCAGAGAATGAGGGATAAGGGGTATCATCGGGCACACATGAGATACTATAATAAGCAACTAATTCTCAAACCCTGACCAATATGACATTTGATCGATTACAAATGACATGACCCTCCCCTGGACTAAACAAAAAAATACTAAATCCTTCCCCTGACTGAAATGTAAAAAGCATGACCCTCCCCCATTTTCATAACTGTGTACATTTCGACAGCTCCCTAAGCCTCATAGAAGCTATACATGTGTCAACGTTCAACCTTAACATATGATAATTATACAACAGAACACATGAACAGGAATTACATTTACTCTCACAGGTGACTGAAAATAACTATCTGAAAGCCACACCCCTACTAAACTACACCTCCAGTCTTCTGATCTGACCTGCTGGGTCATATCTCAATAACCCAGCACCAATAACCCAGCACCAATAACCCAGCACCAATAACCCAGCACCAATAACCCAGCATCAACAACCAAACCTTGCTCTTATTAATCCTTAAGAGTCTATTAATGCACCAGTGCATCAATCTAAGTAACATAATAAAAAAATCCCCATCAAAATACGTCAGTTTAAGCTAGCATCTGCAGTGGAAGGTGGAAGGTGGCCGAGCTACAGCGGTGTTTGTCGGACTACGAGACATCCCCAAAAACTCTATGGAAAGACGAACACGAACACGATGGTGTCCCGGGACTCGTCTGATGGTAACTCATAAAAATGAATGGAATTATGGAGGTAGTTTTGTGGCAACAAAAATAAGGGGTTAAATATGTGTACAAAAAACAAAAATATTTCCTGAGCTTTCTTGTATCTCCCAGATATACAGTACCAGTCAAAGGGTTGGACACACCTACTCATTCCAGGGTTTTTCTTTATTTGTTCTATTTTCTACATTGTAGAATAATAGTGAAGACATCAAAACTATGAAATAACACATATGGAATCATGTAGTAACCAAAAAAGTTATAAACAAATCAAAATATATTTTATATTTGAGATATAGCCACCCTTTGCCTTGATGACAGCTTTGCACACTCTTGGCATTCTCTCAATCAGCTTCACCTGGAATGCTTTTCCAACAGTCCTCTGTAGCTCAGCTGGTAGAGCACGGCGCTTGTAACGCCAAGGTAGTGGGTTCGATCCCCGGGACCACCCATACACAAAAATGTATGCACGCACGACTGTAAGTTCCCACATATGCTGAGCACTTGTTGGCTGCTTTTCCTTCACTCTGCGGTCCAACTCATCCCAAACCATCTCAATTGGGTTGAGGTCGGATGATTGTGGAGGCCAGGTCATCTGATGCAGTACTCCATCACTCTCCTTCTTGGTCAAATAGCCCTTACACAGCCTGGAGGTGTGTTGGGTCATTGTCCTGTTGGAAAACAAATGATAGTCCCACTAAGCGCAAACCAGATGGGATGGCGTATCGCTGTAGAATAATGTGGTAGCCATGCTGGTTAAGTGTGCCTTGAATTCTAAATAAATCACAGACAGTGTCACAAGCAAAGCACCCCCACACCTCCTCCTCCATGCTTAACGGTGGGAACCACACATGCGGAGATCATCCGTTCACCTACTCTGTGTCTCACAAAGACACGGCGGTTGGAACCAAAAATCTCAAATCTGGACTCATCAGACCAAAGGACAGATTTCCACCGGTCTAATGTCCATTGCTCGTGTTTCTTGGCCCAAGCAAGTCTCTTCTTCTTATTGGTGTCCTTTAGTAGTGGTTTCTTTGCAGCAATTTGACCATGAAGGCCTGATTCATGCAGTCTCCTCTGAACAGTTGATGTTGAGATGTGTCTGTTACTTGAACTCTGTGAAACATTTATTTGGGCTGCAATTTCTGAGGCTGGAAACTCTAATGAACTTATCCTCTGCAACAGAGGTAACTCTGGGTCTTCCTTTCCTGTGGCGGTCCTCATGAGAGCCAGTTTCATCATAGCGCTTGATGGTTTTTGCGACAGCACTTAAAGAAATGTTAAAAGTTCTTGAAATTTTCCGGATTGATTGACCTTCATGTCTTAAAGTAATGATGGACTGTTGTTTCTCTTTGCTTATTTGAGCTGTTCTTGCCATAATATGGACTTGGTCTTTTACCAAATAGGGCTATCTTCTGTATACCAATCCTACCTTGTCACAACACAACTGATTGGCTCAAACGCATTAAGAAGGAAAGAAATTCCACAAATTAACTTTTAAAAAGGCACACCTGTTAATTGAAATACATTCCAGGTGACTACCTCATGAAGCTGGTTGAGAGAATGCCAAGAGTGTGCGAAGCTGTCATCAAGGCAAAGGGTGACTACTTTGAAGAATATCAAATATGAAATATATTTTGATTTGTTTAACACTTTTTTGGTTACTACATGATTCCATGTGTGTTATATCATAGTTCTGATTTCTTCACTATTATTCTACAATGTAGAAAATAGTAAAAAATTAAGAAAAAACATGGAATTAGTGGGTGTGTCCAAACTTTTGACTGGTACTGTAGGACAGACACTTCAAAACCTTATTCCTTATGATAAAATGTTTTACTGTCTTTTCAGCCATTTCTTAATGTGTTATTGAATGCGTTTCTATGGACTAGACTTTTAAAGGTTAAAGAAAACAACCCAACTAAGTGACCCAACGCCTACAACCCAGCAGTTGGGTCAACCAAACAACCCAGCATTTTCTTGACTGCAATCATTACCTGTGACTGTCGGAGCTGCACCAGCTGCAGCACGTCCCGTTTGAGGCGGTAGTCTTTGGCCCTGGCGTCAGTGAACACGTAGATGAAGGAGCCTGGTAGGGACACCTCCAGGGCCTTCTTTATGGCTCCTATACTCATCTCTGGACAGTCTCCACCTCCCTGAGAGAAGACAACACACAGACATTGATCCAACGCCATCAGTGAGGGCCTCTATAAGAACAGGAAATGCATCACTATGCATAGTCTAAAGACCTGTGCTGTATAGCCTAACCATAATCCTATTTAGTGTAGAAACCTATACTATACTGTATTGACTGTACGTAGAGACTATGAGTGTCATTTTTAAGTAGTCTGCATATCTACACTACCAGTCAAAGGTTTGGACACACCTACTCATTCAAGGGTTTTTCTTTATTTTTTACAATTTTCTACATTATAGAATAATAGTGAAGACATCAAAACTATGAAATAACACATATGGAATCATGTAGTAACCAAAAAAGTGTTAAACAAATCAAAATATATTTTATATTTAAGATTCTTCGAAGTAGCCACCCTTTGCCTTGATGACAGCTTTGCACACTTGGCATTCTCTCAACCAGCTTCATGAGGTAGTCACCTAGAAATCTTTTCCAACAGTTTTGAAGGAGTTCCCACATATGCTGAGCACTTGTTGGCTGCTTTTCCTTCACTCTGCGGTCCAACTCATCCCAAACCATCTCAATTGGGTTGAGGTCATATGATTGTGGAGGCCAGGTCATCTGATGCAGCACTCCATCACTCTCCTTCTTGGACAAATATCCCTTACACAGCCCACTAAGCGCAAACCAGATGGCATGGCATATCGCTGCAGAATGCTGTGTTAGCCATGCTGGTTAAGTGTGCCTTGAATTCTAAATAAATCACTGACAGTGTCACCAGCAAAGCAACCCCATACCATCACACCTCCTCCTCCATGCTTCATGGTGGGAACCACACATGCGGAGATCATCCGTTCACCTACTCTGCGTCTCACAAAGACACGGGGGTTGGAACCAAAAATCTCAAATTTGGACTCATCAGACCAAAGGACAGATTTCCACCGGTCTAATGTCCATTGCTTGTATTTCTTGGCCCAAGCAAGTCTCTTCTTATCATTGGTGTCCTTTAGGAGTGGTTTCTTTGCAGCAATTTGACCATGATGGCCTGATTCACGCAGTCTCCTCTGAACAGTTGATGTTGAGATGTGTCTGTTACTTGAACTCTGTGAAGCATTTATTTGGGCTGCAATCTGAGGTGCAGTTAATTGCCGATTTCTGAGGCTGGTAACTCGAATGAACTTATCCTCTGCAGCAGAGGTAACTCTGGGTCTTTTTTTCCTGTGGTGGTCCTTATGAGAGCCAGTTTCATCATAGCGCTTGATGGTTTTTACAACTGCACTTGAAGAAACTTTCAAAGTTCTTGAAATGTTCCGTATTAACTGACCTCGTTTCTCTTTGCTTATTTGAGCTGTTCTTGCCAGAATATGAACTTAGTATTTTACCAAATAGGGCTATCTTCTGTATACCAACCCTACCTTGTCACAACACAACTGATTGGCTCAAACACATTAAGAAGGAAAGAAGGCAAAAGGTGGCAACTTTGAAGAATCTCAAATATACTATATATTTTGATTTGTTCAACACTTTTCTGGTTACTACATGATTCCATATGTGTTATTTCATAGTAAAAATAAAGAAAAACCCTTGAATGAGGAGGTGTGTCCAAACTTTTGACTGGTACTGTACATATCCTGTATAGCCTATATCCATCCTGGTCTACAGATTGATATAAAGTACAGTATGTACAGCCTATCATATGGAGTCTGGCGGATGTTCTGGCAGAGATGGTACACACTTGGACAAACAGCTCCTGCAGATCCTGCTGGAACTTCTTTGGGTCAGTGGTGATGGACACAGGGCCAATGTCTAGAAGAAAACATACTGTGGATGTTATTAACATTATACATGACGAATGGCTGGATAATCAAAGTACAATCAATCAATACTGAATATGAAAGGAAAAAAGGTAAGTCAGTTGCACTGAAAAATGATAGGGTGCTTGATTATCTACTATGAAAACTGCAGGTCTTTCCTATTTAGTTTTTTAGCTCTTGTGACATAATCAAAATGAACATATTGGGAAAAGGACGTTGTAGTTGCCACATACAGTAATTCAAGTCCTCAGTCATCCATGATTTCTGGAGTTAATAGCAAAATGGAGGCACTACACTCCAAATTTTAACAGCAGTTCATGCTGCTCAAATAAAATAAAATAAAAACTGTATTTGTCACATGCGCCGAATACAACTGGTGTAGACGTTACCGTGAAAGGCTTGCTTACAAGCCCTTCCCAACAATGCAGAGTTTATAAATAAAAATTAAATACTAACACAAGAGGAATAAAATAAAACACACAAGAATGGAGCTATATACAGGGAGTACCATTTATGGGCGCCGAGTGGCGCAGTGGTCTAAGGCACTGCATCACAGTGCTAGCTGTGCCACTAGAGATCCTGGTTCAAATCCAGGCTCTGTCGTAGCCGGCCGCGACCGGGAGACCCATGGGGCGGCGCACAATTGGCCCAGGGTAGGAGAGGGAATGGCCAGCAGGGATGTAGCTCAATTGGTAGAGCATGGCGTTTGCAACGCCAGGGTTGTGGGTTTGATTCCCACGGGGGGCCAGTATGAAAAAAATAATGTATGCACTCACTAACTGTAAGTCGCTCTGGATAAGAGCGTCTGCTAAATGACTAAAATGTAAATGTACCAGTACCATGTCAATGTGCAGAGATTTGAGGTAGGAATTGTACATGAAGGCATGGTAAAGTGACTAGGCATCAGGATAGATAATAATAAGAGTCAAATAAAGAACAGAGTAGCAGCAGCAAATGATGATTGTGAGTGTGTGTTTGTGTTGTGTGTGAGTGTATACAGTGTAGGGTCAGTGCAAGATAGAATCATTGCAGATAGTTCGGGTACCATTAATTGATTATTTAGCAGTTTTATGGCTTGGGGGTAGAAGCTGTCTTGGTCTGAGAGCCGATGCTCCGGTACCATTTGCCGGTTGTGTCGTGCTTAAGAACAGCCCGTAGCCATGGAATATTGGCCATATACCACACCCCCTCGTACCTTATTGCTTAAATATAGCATGTCTGTGGAGGTATTGTGCCATCTCTTCAAAATGCCCATGATGACTGAGTAATCATTAGTTGTGTTTAGTGCTGAAGTCAGCACTCTCTGTTGGGTGACCTGAACCCTTCTCATACTGCAGTAGACCTCAATGTGACAAATAACAGCCTGCTAAGATCTGACACTTATTTGGAATCCTTCAGGGGCTGATCGATGGAGCAGTAAACATTAACCAACACACAGAGAATATATTGTGTGTCATATAGAATAGCTTGCCATATAGAACAGTATTTCACTCTAGTGTGAGGGAGAGGCAAGTAGGTTGGGGTGGGGGCAGTGTGTGTGTGTGTGTGTTTGTGTGTGTGCTTCAAGCTTTGCCATCACATTGCTTACCAAATATAACTATTAAACCTTGATAATACATGGACATGTCAGAATGTCAGACTGTCAGACTGTCAGACTGCCTGGTGAGTATTTCTTTATCCCTCTCTCTCCCTCTGTCTTTTTCTTGTCAGGCTTTTTAAGGCTTTGTCCCCACTTCAGTCATAAGAGTCCATACAACATGGACATAGTCACGCCTCTTTGTCACCCAGTTTCTTTGCAATCTCAGGAGGCTTACAATGTCCCCAAGGGCACACTACATTAAACACAGATAGAATGTGTGGCGTTAGTGTAGCTAGCTGAGCACGCCATCCCCTTCCCAAACTCCAGCCCTTCCACCCAGGGTTGGTTACTGGGGTTGGTAGGCTTTCCGGAGGGGTGGATGGGGGTGATTGGGGTAATTACACACAAGCAGACAGCCTCCCCCATTAGGGCACTCTCATTTATCAAGCTCCAGCTTTCCCATTGAGGTTGAGTGGAAGAGGGATGCTTGGGGACTCATTCTATACTTGTATTTGTGGCCAAAGCATAAATTGAAGAAAAATAAAACAGTAAAAAAAAAAAACCTTAAATTTGTATCTCAAACAGAAGTTTTAAAAATGCTTGCTATTTCCTCATAGAGGATGATGTCATCCTCCTGAGGAGGTTGAGCTGGCCCATCACTCATATTGTAATTAATTATGTCATATTTCATAGAAATCTGGAAACACAGGACAGTTACTTTTATGTTTGATCTGATTGAGGCCTTATTGTTTAATGTCAATTGTTTAATGTAAATAATGTAGGCCTATTGTCATTTGTCTTTTTCAAAAATGCTAAATGTCTTACTCTTGTAATAAATAATTAGGGTTCTGCAACTTTTCTTCATTTTTTTTTTTACCTGGGTCATGAAATGGGACGAGGACAAAGTTTTTGATGGGTCTGGTCCTCCGGTTGAGGGTCTTTTCCAGGATCCGAGAGGCGCCCTCTATCACCTGTTTGAGGTCGTCGTACATTGAGCCAGTAACATCGAACACAAATGCCAGGGTTGAAGCGCTGTCACTGTCCATGGAATCAAAGTGTTCCTGGCCACCCTCAACTCCCAGGTCGGTCAGGACTTTGTGCCCGCAAATAAAGAGCGCCAAGACAAGGCACTTCAACATAATACCGGTCATTCTCAATTTACTGCATCTGTGTTTGATTTCAGAAATGTAACAGACCAGTTAAAACACTAACACATAAAAAATAAAGTTTTGGCGCATCCCCCCAAAAACGTATCTATAGAAATCGAATTATTGCCAAAAAACAACAAAACAAAAAATATTTGGAAAATGTTGTGCCTCAACTGAAATAGTCTCCATGCAGATCTAGACCAGATGGTGTAGCACGTTATTTCGTCCCGAGTAACATCCATGCACAAAAGTTTGGATGGACTGAAGAAAGCAGCTCCCCTCGAGAAATGGTAGTGTATGCTGAGCGCTCCGAACGGGGGCAGGGATGGGTGTTAAAAAGGTCCTGAGTAGGAACAAGCCCTTTTTTTTTGTGTAACTTGACCCGGCTATGACTTCCAGCCCCAACCCCATCCACATTCTCCTGGCCGGGTACTCATGACTGGATCCGGTTAACCTTAGAGATGCAATTGTGCTCAACTTTTAAGCAATTTTACAGTGGAGAATAATTGTTTTCACGACTCATCATTGTCGAAATGGCTTGGGCTTTATTATAACAGCAGTGTATATATTCAGCTGGCATACCACGCACCCTGCATTCTCCCAAAAATACATTAAAAAATATCTAATAATATAAACAGGGAGTTGGTCAACCACGGTTTGTCAGTCCTGTGATAAGATATTGTGTAAAATGTTGAATTTGAAGAATTTATCTGCACAAACGTTTGTTAGCTTGCTAGCCATCCAGAGGAATGATTCCATTAATTTTACAAATTAATATGCCAACATTCCATTCAAACAATGCAGTCAATCCACAGACATACACTGGCTGAAATCAGTAGATGATAGGATTTAGACAAGTTGTAAATGCAACAAGCACTGATATTGTATCATATGATAGCACTCTCAGCTTTCCAAGAAAACAAAACATTTAGACATCTATGGTCTGTTTACATATATTTTAGAGGCTATATATACAGAAAATGTGTATAAAACCTGTATAAACTGTATTCAGGATTATTTGACAATATTGTAGGTTAACAATAAATCAATGACACAATTTCTGATACATCACATGCCTTTGTTTTATTTTCCTGCATAAGTAAAATCAAGAGTATGGCTCTTTTGCCATTGATTCCAATTAGACTGGTTTGGATTTCTCCCTGACCAATATGGCTGCCATTGTACATTTACATTTATATTATTTAGCAGACACTCTTATCCAGAGCGACTTACAGGAGCAATTAGGGTTAAGTGCCTTGCTCAAGGGCACATCGACAGATTTTTCACCTAGTCGGCTCGGGGATTAGAACCAGCGACCTTTCGGTTACTGGCACAACGCTCTTAACCACTAAGCTACCTGCCGCCCATTGTCACCACATTCTGGAAATCTGAAGGTTTATGACATAGCCCCTCTAGTAATAGGATCTCTATGGTCACTCCCCCCTCCCCAGGTCAGATATGAACACATCATAAGCCACGTAAATGTTTTTTTTAGAATTACAGGAAATTAGCTGTAAAACTGCAATCTTTTCTCTCAGCAGCATGGCAAAATGTGTAGAATAGCAGGAAATTGGCCTTAAAAATTATAAATTCTTTCAGCCTCATTCCAAAATGTGTAGAATAGTATGAGATTAGCTACTGTGTAAAACTGCATATTTTCCTCTCTGCCCCATGGCAATATGTGTAGAATTGCAGGAAATTAGCTTTAAAGTGCCTAATTCTCGCAGCCTCATTGCAAAATGTGTAGAATAGCATGAGATTAGTTATAAAACTGAAAATGTTTATCTTTGCCACATGGCAAAATGTGTAGAATTGTAGGAAGTTACCGAAGTAACCGAAATATATATACAGTACCAGTCAAAAGTTTGGACACACCTAGTCATTCAAGGGTTTTTCTTTATTTGTACTATTTTCTACTTTGCAGAATAGTAGTAAAGACATCAAAACTATGAAATACAACATATGGAATCATGTAATAACCAAAAAAGTGTTAAACAAATCTCCATCACTCTCCTCGGTCAAATAGCCCTTCCACAGCCTGGAGGTGTGTTTTGGGTCATTGTCCTGTTGAAAAACAAATGATAGTCCCACTAAGCGCAAACCAGATGGGATGGCGTATCGCTGCAGAATGCTGTGGTAGCCATGCTAGTTAAGTATGCCTTGAATTCTAAATAAATCACAGACAGTGTCACCAGCAAAGCACCCCCACACCATCACACCTCCTCCTCCATGCTTCACGGTGGGAACCACACATGCGGAGATCATCCGTTCACCTACTCTGCGTCTCAAAGACACGGCGGCTGGAACCAAAAATCTTAAATCTGGACTCATCAGACCAAAGGACAGATTTCCACGGGTCTAATGTCCATTGTTTGTGTTTCTTGGCCCAAGCAAGTCTCTTCTTATTATTGGTGTCCTTTAGGAGTGGTTTCTTTGCAGCAATTCGACCATGAAAGCCTGATTCACGTAGTCTCCTCTGAACAGTTGATGCTGAGATGTGTCTGTTACTTGAATTCTGTGAGGTGCAATCTGAGGTGCAGTTAATTGCCCATTTCTGAGGCTGGTAACTCTAATGAACTTATCCTCTGCAGCAGAGGTAACTCTGGGTCTTCCTCCTGTGGCGGACCTCATGAAAGCGAGTTTCATCATAGCGCTTGATGGTTTTTGCGACTGCACTTGAAGAAACGTTCAAAGTTCTTGAAATGTTCCTTATTAACTGACCTTCATGTCTTAAAGTAATGAGGGACTGTCGTTTCTCTTCGCTTATTTGAGCTGTTCTTGCCAGAATATGGACTTGGTCTTTTACCAAATAGGACTATCTTCTGTATATCACCCCTACCTTGTCGCAACACAACTGATTGGCTCAAACACATTAATAAGGAAATTCCACAAATTAACTTTTAACAAGTCACACATGTTAATTGAAATGCATTCCAGGTGACTACCTCATGAAGCTGGTTGAGAGAATGCAAAGCTGTCATAAAGGCAAAGGGTGGCTACTTTGAAGAATCTGAAATCATAATTTTTAATTTATTTGTTTAACACTATTTTGGTTGCTACATGATTCCATATGTGTTATTTTGTAGTTTTGATGTCTTTACTTACTATTATTCTACAATGTACAAAATATTGAAAGCAAAGAAAAACCCTGGAATGAGTAGATGTGTCCAAACCTTTGATTGATACTGTATATATACACTACCAGTCAAAGGTTTGGACAAACCTATTAATTCAAGGGTTTTTCTTTATTTTTACAATTTTTTAGTAAAAGACACCATTTAGGAAACAAATTGAGTTTAGAGAGTTTTGAAGTTGAAGTTACAAAAACAGAATTTCAATCACACAAAATGTAAAGGCAGCCACTTAAAAGGTCCACTATGCAGAAATCGCCCCGCCATTTCCTTGTTGCAAAAATTCTCATAGTTCGCCTAATTTCAGTTTATGTGACAAAACAAGCAAGTACGAACGGGAAGCATAGAAATAGCGCACATAGAACAGATCTACCGCTTCTTAGACAGATCTATAACTCAAATATCTATGTGAATTTGTCGGGTCGCCCAAAAAGTTACATATTGCAGCTTTAAAATGCATTTTACTCAGTGCTCTGTGTTGTTAAATGTAAATGACAGCACAGGGGTAAATTATCTTTATCACTTGAATAAGGCTAAATCAGTGAAGCTTACAAATACCTAATGTTCAGACTGAAATGACCGAGACTGAAGACGAAAGGCATCATCACATGCTGGGATTTATGGCTTCTGTTGAACACACAGGACAGACACAAAGAGGACAGACTCAAACAGAAAGCCTGCAAAAAGCTTTACAACAAGAATAGCTGAAGCCTTATGTATACACAGGGTGGAGTAAGACGCCCTCAAAGGAAATAATGAGCCTCAATTGAGATATGTCAACTGTGAGGAATTACACTGTGTTGGTTGCTTGATCATTTCATTCAGGATGTAGTGCTGATGGGAAACGGAACATACATCCAACACAATAGGAGGCACATAATACAAACATAATAAATTAAGCCTTACAAATGAAAGCCCCTCCCCGACCACATTCTCCCCAAATAAAATGATAAAAGAAAACGAAGGAAGCGGTTTGTGCAGGAAGCAGGATGTAAAAAAGCATTCCATTGATTAAAACTGATTTAAAAAAAGATTAAGCTTAATTTCATGTGATTGAACAGCACTCCAACAAATGCAGCAAAGCAACACATAATAACAAGGCTATTTATAATATATCCTATATACATGGGTTTATAAATAAGTTGATCTCCCTCAACACTCTCAAAAACAATCAGTGCCTGCTGATGTCTCCCGCTGTAGTCTTTCAGGTAGCCATGTGACAGCACACCACTATGAATCTGTTGAGTGCCGTTCACAGTTCACACACACCTCAAGGGGTATCCTCCAGTATAGTCCACAGGGAAAAACAACTTCCTTGCTTGTATGTATAAGTTCAGTGTATATTCCCCTCTTGTCCTTTTTTATTTAAACATTTTTTATATCAGAAGGCTCAGAGTTGTTTTCAATGCTTAGAGTGCAGATGAATATGTGCAATTGACGACAGTATTACACAAGTCCTTGCCCTTCTCCTCACTCCATGTCTCCTTCTGGATGGTGCATGGAGGGATGTTGATGCTTGTAGATGCTTTTTTCTCATAGCAGGTGTGATGGGAATCTGGGAATCTGTAATAATAATCGCCATTGAGTTCAATGTGGCAATGAAATCAGACATGGACACAAACAGTGCAAGATCCTATTGACATAAGGGACACTGAACTAACAAGTACATGCAGTGCTACTTTAAACCCAAGCTGTCCCATGTATGTGTCTATATTGAGCTCAAACACACTCTATCACATGTTGAGCAGGACGTCAGCTGCAATTGGCAATAATGGGCTGTGGAATACATTTGACAGAGGGGAGGAGAGACCAGCTAACTGCCCTCTCTCCTCTCTGAGCACTGCATGGCTTTTTGATTGCCAGCAATCAGCAGAGGGCACTTGAATAATGCATAAGGACAAACTGTGGTCTGACAATGGCTGCTCTGCATTGTTTTCAGACCATGGTGAGTCTCTGACGTCTATACTATACTGTCCTTCGTAAACGGTAGTATTCTCAATAACAGACGTTGTCATCCTCAAACAGATCAATTGACCACACAATTCTTAGTTTATCTTATTATAAAACATGATTTTGATTATATGATACAGTATGTACAACCTTATGACATTTCCACCACTGTGGTATTTCATTCAATGCTGCATGATCACTGCTCCACTCACCTTTAAACACTTTAAGCCCTATACAAGCCCATCGTATAGTGACAGTGCCTGCACAATGGAGGGGTCTGCCTTGGAACCCTCCTGAAACTCCTGCAGGGTCAACTTGCCATCAGCATTCTGGAATAAGAACACAGGAGAAGATACAGTACAACGGAACAGCATCTCTATCGCAGATCAGGCCGCTTTTACTCTATTTTACCAGCAGGGGGCAAAAGTGTTTCTCAAACAAATCATGATTAATATACCAGGGCCTTTTCTTCACGGCTTGGCTGATCTAGTTCAGTGCACTTGAATGGTCAGCTGACTTCCCTCCACCCATACAAATGACTGAGCACTGCGGCTGTGCTCTGCAGCCAGTCCTATCGGCTGATCCTGGCACTGGGTGTGGAACTGAAAACACGCCCAAGCAAGCTCCATCTCATCTTTCACTGAGCCAAGGACGAGGAGGGCCTGAGTGGGCATTAGCACTGGGCTGTGGTGGTGGAGGGGGTATATGTGGTGTTTATAGACTGCGGGAATTGTTAGTGATGCTGGGATGGCTACGGCTACGAGGTCTAAACTCTACACAGCCCGTCTCACTGCACTACAGCACAGGGACACAGTAGGAACACAATACACATGGTATTTTTCTGTGGAGTTGCTAGTCAGCCCATTACAATAGTACTGCCACTGACATAATTATATCTTAACCCATGGTGGTGGTTTTGGGTTACTACAGTGTTTTATTTGTGGAATAGAGATATACCTTGTCCATCATGGAAAAAATACGGTCCACTCTCTTCTCAGGTGTATTCTCTTCTTCTGGTAACTCTACAGTGTTCCCCTGGAACACAAAGGCAAATACATTATCTTGCAATATTTCAGGTCAATGTAAAATACTGTATGTGAATTCTACCATTAGCCTTTTTGACACTGGAACATTTTGATATTGTATAACTTACCACCATCAGATATATGGCATCTACGATGTTTAACATCTCATCTCGTGTGACGTAGCCATCGTTATCAAGATCATACAATTTGAAAGCCCCTAAAGACAGCAAAAAAACAGATTGTGAAGGCCCAGTACTGACTGTAAATAAAGTTGTTTTGGGATTGTGTACAGGTAGATGGGGATGGATGAATGTATGTAGTCTTGACTTTTTACTAATGTATTAAAAATGAGTGGCTATATTGGTGGAGTGGGATGAGGGTTTTGAGTGGCAGAACCATTTCTCCCAAATATTTCTAAAGGTGATCCAAACCCAGGGCCCACACCGTAAGCAACACCATTGAATTTAGTGCACTACAATACTTAACAATCTCTTATTTGTATTCTTCTGTGAGCATGTCAATCTTTTTGTTCTGTTCATGCATAACAACACAATCACAAATAGTCAGGTCCTGTCACTGAAATGTCAAAGTGCACTGCCTGATGTGAAGGGGTCATCTCTCCTTACATCTGAGCTTCTCATCCAGTGTCCCCCGCGAAGTCACCGACAGGGCCTGTATGAACTCGGAGAACTCTATTTGTCCGTCCTATTTAATGAGAGAGAGAGAGAGAGAGAGAGAGAGAGAGAGAGAGAGAGAGAGAGAGAGAGAGAGAGAGAGAGAGAGAGAGAGAGAGAGAGAGAGAGAGAGAGAGAGAGAGAGAGAGAGAGAGAGGGGGGGGGGGGGGCTTGGACACAAGACAAATATCTTCTTTCACACTAACTCCCCAAAACACTTTGGTCTATTGCTGAAAAGTGGGGCAGACATGTGCACCATGTCTGCTGCTATTCTGCTCTGCACCTGGCTCACCCCGAGGCTAAAACATGTCACCGCTGGTCATTAGCAAGATGGATGCATGCTGCCAGATACACTATATATACAAAAGTATGTGGACACCCCTTCAAATGAGTGGATTCGGCTATTTCAGCCACACCCGTTGCTTACAGGTGTATAAAATAGAACACACAGCCACACAATCTCCATAGACAAACATTGGCAGTAGAATGGCCTTACTGAAGAGCTCAGTGACTTTCAACGTGGCACCGTCATATGATGCCACCTTTCCAACAAGTCCGTTTCTGCCCTGCTAGAGCTCCCTCGGTCAACTGTAAGTGCTGTTATTGTGAAGTGGAAACATCTAGGAGCAACAACGGCTCAGCTGCGAAGTTGTAGGCCACACAAGCTCACAGAACGGGACCGCCGAGTGCTGAAGCACGTAGCGTGTAAAAATCGTCTGTCCTCAGTTGCAACATTCACTACCGAGTTCCAAACTGCCTCTGGAAGCAACGTCAGCACAATAACTGTTCGTCGGGAGCTTCATGAAATGGGTTTCCATGGCCGAGCAGCTGCGCACAAGCCTAAGATCACCATGCGCAATGCCATGCGTCAGCTGGAGTGGTGTAAAGCTCGCCGCCATTAGACTCTGGAGCAGTGGAAACACGTTCCAGTGAAGGGAAATCTTAAAGCTACAGCATACAATTACATTCTAGATGATTCTGTGCTTCCAACTTTGTGGCAACAGTTTGGGGAAGGCCCTTTCCTGTTTCAGCATGACAATGCCCCATGCACAAAGCGAGGTCCATACAGAAATGGTTTGTCGAGATCGGTGTGGAAGAACTTGACTGGCCTGCACAGAGCCCTGACCTCAACCCCATCGAACACCTTTGGGATGAATTGGAATGCCGACTGGGAGCCAGGCCTAAACCCCCAACATCAGTGCCCGACCTCACTAATGCTCTTGTGGCTAAATGGAAGCAAGTCCCTGCAGCAATGTTCCAACATATACCGGAAAGCTTTCCCAGAAGAGTGGAGGCTGTTATAGCAACAAAGGGGGGACCAACTCCATATTAATGCCCATGATTTTGGAATGAGATTTTTGATGAGCAGGTGTCCACATACTGTTGGTCATGTAGTGTATTTTGAAAGTTATTACACATTCATAGAACCATTGTATATTAGAGCCAAATAAGTTTCACAGTTTTCACATCGATTATACATCTTAGATGGACTTCACAGGTGTTTCCCATGGATCTATCATCGCATTTGCAATACGTGCAATTCTACGTATTAAAAAAAACGTTCCAGTGGCACCGACTCACCCAATGATGAAGATATTGAATAGCGGTGAGACATGACCGATGCACTCGTGCCAATAGCCGTATCTCAAGATACTTTGTAAAACAGTGCTGTTCGCTCAATATAGTTCATAAGATCTTTTGGGAGCCTAACTACAGACGGATGAAAGTATACTCTTTGCAACAGAAACCATTTGCTTTTCCAAACGTTGTTTTTCCCGCAATTTTATTTTGAAATATTACGAAACAATCAGCTTTTTGATATTTGACAAATATTTGACAAATTGCGGCAAGCATCCCGACTGTATGCGCTTGTGATTACACACAATCCACAGCTATGCCTGCTACTACATGATAGTGAGAAGAGGGGAACAAAATGTTTGTTTTCAAGGATGCTTCATGAGAACTGTGTTTGGAAGGTTAAAATACCAGTAGACCTTTTCTGATTTGATTTTCATTAGATTACATCCTAGGTTAGACGCCCCAGACCTGACCCAGGCCTGCTAAAGGAGACCAGGGAGCTGAGACCCAACAACAGCATTTTACAGCCTCTCAGACTGATTCTATCTCCAAAAACAGACATTGAACTGAGAAATTACACTGATTACAAAAACTATTAGAACCAATGCCTTCTCTCTAACTACAGGGTGCTTAACACAAATGAAACTATTAAGACCAATGCACTCTCTCTAACTACAGGGTGCTTAACACAAATTAAGCCCATAAATAAACATCAGAACTGGTGTGTGGCTATGGACACATGGGGTCATCGACCAGCCTGTGAGGGCTGCTCTTAACAACACAACAGATTGCCTTGATAACTATAATAGGATGCTGCGTTATGAATTATTAATACTGATAACATAATGCCAGGCTGTGCTAGCATGTTTCATTAATGTTTGGGGATCCTCTCAAAGCCTACAAACCATGGGGATGAAACAAGAATTGCAATGCTTTGTTGTGAATCACAAAAACCTTTGTTCAAAGTCCATTTCCCTTTTATTTCCAGGCACCTCTGACATGTGCTTTGTCAACCCGTCTCACCTCTGATTGACCCCACAGAAGGCACCCTTTCCGCGCTCAGATTCCACCTCTGATTAGAGACCGTTACACAGTGCCATGACCCTCCAGGCACCACAGAGACTGGAAACTGTTAGATCATCACAGAGTTATCTCACCCATATACCAGAAACAGCATCCTAAACCTTTTTACTATACAGTATGGAAGCATTTTCTCCCCAAACATGGCAGTAACTGAAAATGTAATTAAAATCACAGAAAAAGCACATGTATTGTATGGAGGTACAAAGAATAAAAAATAAAAACCTTGTTTTCATCAAAGACGTTGAAGACAAAAGAAGCAAACTTGGTGGGGTCACCAAAAGGGAAGAACTGCTTGTAGATCTTCTGAAAGCCCACAGCATCCAGCTGACCACTTGGACAGTCCTTTATAAAGCCTTTGTACCTGCAGGAGATGATGGTGAGGATGATGAGAGAGAGGAAGGCAAAGAGAACACAAGAGAAAGTTAACATGATAAGGATATAATTAGCCTATTGAATATAATATGAAACTGTTCAATACCACAAAGCTTCAGACGCAGCTCTTCACAGGCAAGCAGCATTGATCTAGTTTAAAACAGCATGTTGTATAAAAAGGTTAAACCCAAAGCTATTTATCTTGCTAGCAGATAAGATAATGTATCTAATCCATTAAAAGAGGCAGAGGGAGTTTAATTCAAATCAAATTACTTTCTTGTCTTGTCTTTTGATAATGTGCATAAATGATAAATCAATCTGTGAGCTTCTAGCCTTTGGAGATGATACGTCCAGAATGACATAACATCACAGTTATTTATAGAACCATGTTTCATATGCAATTTCAAGCCCCGTCACTTAAAGGTAGACAGTCTCGTTGTACAACTCAATAAAGAAACAGTGTTATCAGAGTTGAATAACAAACATTTAATGGGACTGTACAGAGAGGGAGACGGAGAGGGAGATTCGAAGAAGGAATCAGAGATGAGTAGGCTAGTTTAAGGAGATAAGTGTATATTTCTCTCTCCATCACTCTCTGGTAAAAACATGAGGGTACTAATCAGTCTGGAGGACTAAAATGTGCATCCACATGATGTCTGAACCAGTGTTAGACAGTGATGTTCAGAGGTAGACAGGTATTTTGTGAGTTCCCATAACTTCCCATGTCTCTATGTGATTTACCACAAACACAGACTGGTCCTGATGAGGATCTGCTGTAATGAAGGCCAGACTGAGAGGAATGAAGAATGAAGCCCAGGACAGATCCTCCCTACACTCACTCCTTCCTTTGGCTCCTCACTCTGAAACTCATACTTTTAATCTGCCTCACAGATAAAACACACTCCTGCATGGCCTAGAATAGGACAGATAGACACAGTGAATCTCTGAAGATGGGCTGAGAAAATTTTGAAGAGAAGGCTATAATCCTCCTATTTGCATATCTGGATGTGGAGATATGCAGAGGAAATGAAAGCCCATTGAAGAACAATGAGGAATCAAGTCTAATTGCCGTTCAGCAGGCAGGTAATACAAAGCACATCATAATCCCAATATGACTCATTTCAAGTGAGATAGATTTAGTCTGACTCATTTCTGAAATTCCCATTGTCTTTGTGAGAGGGAAATCTTTTCAGTAGATTCATTGCGGGACTTATGCAAAAACAGGCTAGTGCAAAAACACACAGGCCTTTAGATTCAATCATTTGCTTAGTAACCATTGACTACTAATTGGGCAGGATGATCCCTATCTAACTAAATGTGAAGCAGCTCTCTCTAGTTTGATGTGGCTCTGGCTAATTCAGTAGCATATGTGCAGTTGTGCATGGACATGTACAGTAGCCTAGCTCCCAGGCCTTTCAGGATAATTGTGCTTACTCACATGAAAATAGCCTAAACCAGTAGACCAGTGACTTTATGGCATAGTTAGTGAGGCAACCTGGGGATATACTGTACATGACTGGCAGCTTTCTACCAACAGGCTGTAATCTGTCATCATGGTGGATGGCTATAAACAGTGTTGTGGACAAGGCATTTTAGCTATTTTCCCTTGTTGTTGTCCAGTTAGCAGGGATACCTGGCTATGTCCCTGTGTTATTGATTGCAGGTGAGCACTAAGCATGCTAATGACATTTCCCCCTGAATACATTAGCATTGATCAATATGGAGGAGACATTTAACAGCACCAGGCAACCTGACCCTAGGCAACACAGTGACTAGGATCTGGTTTCAATGATGGACTCTTTTGGCATAGAGTAACTACGTCACTGCCTACATCACTTCTTTATTCGCTTGAATAAAATACAAAATAGTAGCTAGCAAGATGGAGATCACTGAGGTTATTTTGAATGAGTGCATTTCGCAAGTGGCTAGTTTGCATCAACTACCTTAACTAAAACCACTGCAAAGGTTTTGCCTGCAAACTTTTTTTTTTTATCGCGGCATTCTGGCATGGCTGCCTCGGGATTTGTTGGGGGAGCCCCCAGATTTTTTTTTTCCTTCTTATCAACGTAGGCAGTGATGTAGTTCCTCTATGCCAAAAGAGTCCATAATTCAAACCTTTGTCAATGCGTTGCCTAGAGTCGGGTTTAATAGTATATTTATCTAACCCTGCTATTTATTCTATGTCTGTCAGTGGCTCCTCCACTACTTACACACCATCTGGCATTTCCCCTGTTTAAACTGCCTCTCATCCTTCACACTCAAGCATGGTGATTGCAGCTGATCTTTAAGTGAGGAGCCATGCAAAGTTTTATGTAAAAGAATGGATGGAAGGCTGACTGACTTGGCTGCAGTCCACAGCCAGGGGGTTATTCTAAGGAGACTGAAAATATTTGGCATTGGTCCTCAGATCCTCAAAAGGTTCTACAGCTGCACCATCGAGAGCATCCTGACTGGTTGCATCACTGCCTGGTATGGCAACTGCTCAGCCTCCGACCGCAAGGCACTACAGAGGGTAGTGCATACAGCCCAGTACATCACTGGGGCCAAGCTTCCTGCCATCCAGGACCTGTATACCAGGCGGTATCAGAGGAAGGCCCTAAAAATTGTCAAAGAGTCCAGCCACACTAGTCATAGACTGTTCTCACTGCTACCGCATGGCAAGCGGTACCGGAGCGCCAAGTCTAGGTCCAAGAGGCTTCTAAACATAAAAGTGTCTGCTAAATGGCATATTATTATTATTATTATTATTATTAAACAGCTTCTAACCCCAAGCCATAAGACTCCTGAACATCTAATAAAATGGCTACCCAGACTATTTGCATTGTATTGTAGTGTCAAAATTGACTACAAAGTGTAAAGAGGATAATTTTGGTAATAAAGTCAGTCTCGTCTAAAACGGAGTTTGGAACCTCAGTTCGTCACAACAAGTAAATGAAGGTTGGGTTTGGATTACAATTATTTAAACAAATCATGCCCTCTTTTGCCAAGCTCCACGTGCAAATCGCCCATCCGCTCACTTCGCTTCCCTTCATTGAATGGGGCTCCGTTGTTTCATTGCCCCAACGTGTTCAAAGGATCACAGACGTTTTAGACTGAAAAGCCCTATACGGATTGACTATGCAATGCATGCTTCCAGCAGGATGCACAGCCAAATGGTTTGCATGCCCTGCCGAAGGAGCCTATCAAGCGGAATAGGTGGTTGGAGTTCGTTGGTCCCAAGTGGTGGTGAGTATACCGGTAGCTAGGCCATAGACTGCTGATTATGTATCTGGTTATGTATATTTTGATAATCATTATCACTATCATCACTAGCTAGTTAGCCTACCTCAATACAACTCGGATTTGGCTTGGAAACGCGATAACATTTCAAAAGAAGGCAAATAATTAGTAGGAAAACATTTTGTCATGATTGTGATATCGCCAGATTGACTTTAGATGCAGTATAACTTTAGCCAGCTAACTAAGATTGAATGGACCACAATTTTTAAGCTAGCTAACATTAGCACTGTTAGCTATTTTTGACGAACTTTGCTAGTAACAGTAATGGCAACATTGCCATCACTCTAAAGTAAATTTGACGACGTCATAATATGGCAAAGTTGTTTCCTACTAATTATTTGCCTACTTTAGCAATGTCATCGTATTTCTATGTCACTCTAAGTTAGTGTAATTTAGATGAAACAGTCACATTAGCCTCCAAGGTGCAACCCATGACTATGGCACAAATACATATTGGATGGAGCTATGGTAGTACTAGCTAACTCATGTCTGACTACAACAGTGTACTAACTAGCAGCAACTAACTCAAACCAACCCAGGGCCATAGCAAAACATGTCACAGTTGGTTGCGAAGTGTATGGTGTCACCGGCCTGAATCTAATACTTTCTGGAGCCAGTCAGTCTACATCTGTAAAGCGCAGAAATAGCTTCCAAATAAGATTATGTTATTTTTCAAGCTATGTTTATAATTGAGGGATGATGACAATTGTTGACGCTGTTTTTCTGTTAGACAAAGTGCACAGTTGGGTGCCAGACTGATCACCTGGTCATGAACGGATGCCGGGACCTATAAGAGGGAGCAAAGGTGGGTATCATAACATGTCCAGCAATGTGATTGCAAGGGTTTAGCGACCTCCACAAATATTTTAATTCACTGTTTACTTGCTATTTTCACAGCTTGTCAGGCAAGACCTCAGAATAAAATTGTCATGCAACACAAGTACCCTTGTGACACCTCCTCCATTGTTTCATTTTTACATTTTACAGTTTAGTAATTTAGCATACTCTCTTATCCAGAGCAACTTACAGTTAGTGCATTCATCCTAAGACAGCTAGGTGGAACAACCACATATACCAGGCATAGTAAGTACACTTTTCCTCCATAAAGTAGTTATCAGCAAAGTCAGAGCTAGAAAGGGGGCAGTCAGATGCAAGTGTTGCTTCAGGAATTATATTGTATTTATTTATTTTGTTCGAGGTGAGGAGGGATATTATTTAAGATACACTTAGAAGAGGTACGGTTTCAGGTGCTTTCGGAAGATGGGCAGTGACTCTGCTGTCCTAGCTTCAGGGGGAAGCTGGTTCCACCATTGGGGTGCCAGGACAGAGAAGAGCTTGGATTGGGCTGAGCGGGAGCTGCCCTCCCATAGGGGTGGGAGGGCCAAGAGACCAGAGGTGGCAGAGCGAAGTGCTTGGGTTTGAGCATAGCCTGAAGGTAGGGAGGGGCAGTTCCTCTTGCTGCTCCGTAGGCAAGCGCCATGGTCTTGTAGTGGATGTGAGCTTCAACTGGAAGCCAGTGGGGTGTGCGGAGGAGCGGGGTGACATGGGAGAACTTGGGAAGGTTGAAAACCAGGCGGACTGCAGCGTTCTGGATAAGTTGCAGGGGTTTGATGGCACCAGAGGGGAGCCCAGTCAACAGCGAGTTGCAGTAGTCCAGATGGGAGATGACAAGCGCCTGGATTAGGACCTGCGCCGCTTCCTGTGTGATGTAGGGTCGTACTCTACTCTCAACTGTGGGACCTTATAAAGACAGATGTGTGCCTATCCAAATCATGTCTAATCAATTGAATGTACCACAGGTGGACTCCAATCAAGTTGTGGAAACATCTCAAGGATGATCAATGGAAACAGGACGCACCTGAGCTCAATTCCGAGTCTCATAGCAAAGGGTCTGAATACTTATGTAAATAAGGTATTTCTGTATTTTTATTTATTATTATTTTTAACCTGTTTTCACTTTGTCATTATTGGGTATTGTGTGTAGATTGATGAGGAAATGTTTTTATCTAATCAATTTTAGAATAAGGCTGGAACGTAACAAAATGTGGAAAAGATCTAGGGGTCTGAATAATTTCCAAATGCACTGTAGACAAACGCACAATCCATGTTACACTTCTACACTCCATTCCCCCTGGGGGCAGCAGCAACCTTGTCCGGGTGCTGAGCCTCGTGGGTAAGTACATCATGTGCCATCAATTAGAGTGATCGTCATTCAGTGTGCCAGATTGCAAGCCGTGAGATTGCTGGTTCTGTTTGGTGGCCACGAGGCAATTTGTTTGTTTTTGATTCTTTAGTTTGGGCATGCCTTTGATATTTTTCCTTTTGATACATATTTATGTTTTGTCACCATCTGAACAAATAGTAATCTGCTTGGACTTGCCGACCAAGAGGTCAAGACAGAGCTGGTCCTGGACCTAAAGTAAAGTTGCTGTCTAACTGGACACATATGCATCCAATACGGTCCGCAAATGCTGATTTCTCACATAAATGCACATATTCATTCAGGTTACAGACCATGTAACTAGTTCTAGAACCCCTAGACAACGTGAGTGCAACAATATCCGTAGGCTAGTGATTGGTTTCCTAACAGATGGGGGCTCGTCCAGGATAAATATTAACGCGTTGGCATTGTGGTGTTAGTCCGGCTGGTTAGAACTGGCATGGTATGGCTGTATTAAGACATAGACAAACACTATCCAGGTTACACTTCCACACTCCATTCCCCCAGGGGGCAGCAGCAACCTTGTCCAGGTGCTGAACCTTGTTGGTAAGCATATCAGATCCTTTGTAGCTCAGTCGGTAGAGCATGGTGCTTGTAATGCCAGGATAGGTGGTTTGATTCCCGGGACCACCCATACGTAAAATGTATGCATGCATGACTGTAATTCGCTTTGGATAAAAGAGTCTGCTAAATCGCATATACACTGAGTGTACAAAACATTAATAACACCTTGCTAATATTGACTTGCACCCCCCTTTTTGGCCTCAGAACAGCCTCAATTCATCGGGGCATGGACTCTACAAAGTGTTGAAAGCATTCCATAGAATGCTGGCCCATGTTGACTCCAATGCTTCCCACAGTTGTGTCAAGTTGGCTGGATGTCCTTTGGGTGGTGGACCATTCTTGATACACATGGGAAACTGTTGAGCGTGAAAAACCCAGCAGTGTTGCAGTTCTTGACACAAACCTGTATGCCTGCTACCATACCCCATTCAAAGGCTATTCAATATTTTGTCTTGCCCATTAACCCTCTGAATGGCACACATACACAATCCATTTCTCAATTGTCTCAAGGCTTAAAAATCCTTCTTTAACCTGTTTCCTCCCCTTCATCTACACTGATTGAAGTGGATTTAACAAGTGATATCAATAAGGGATCATAGCTTTTACCTGGATTCACCTGGTCAGTCTTTGTCATGGAAAGAGCAGGTGTTCATAATGTTTTGTACACTCAGTATATATTATATTTAATTGGGGTGATTGTTAGTTTTTATTTAATTTGTATTTATTTGTGTACCTGTTTGACATTTTACTGCATTGTTAGGAGCTAGTAACATAAGCATTTCGCTGCTCCCACTATAACATCTGTGTCACGCCTACTCCCGCTCCCCCTCTCCAGCGCTCGAAGTCGCCGGTCTACTAACACTCGGTCCTGGCAACCATCATTACGCACACCTTCTCCCCATTATTACACACACCTGGACTTCATGCCTCTCAATATGGAAGCAGCAGAAGATAAAACCATCTTCCAGACGGTCAATGAACAGGGTAATCTACTCCACCAACAGGTCCTCCGCGTACTCCACCGCCTCGACACCACCAGCGAGGCTCTCCATACCCCTATCAGAGGGCCTCCTACCATGGGTCGTCACAGTGAGCCAGCCTCCCCAGCCGTCCACCCAGGTCAGCGATGCCTGACTTTCCCTTCCGGAGAAGTATGACGGCACTCCATCGAAATGCCGTGGCTTCCTACTCCAGTGTTCCCTCTATTTCGCCCATCAGACGGGAGCCCCCACCACAAGAGGTCCAAGGTTGCCACGGTCATTTCCCTGCTGACCGGGCGGGAGTTGGAGTGGGCTACGGCCGTCTGGGAGAGAGGAGAGGAGAGGAGGAGCTGGGTTCCTATGAGAGGTTCATGGCTCTGTTCAGGGTGGTCTTTGACCACTCTCCAGAGAGCAGAGAGGGAGGTGAGCGACTTCTCCAACTCCAGCAGGGTGCCCAGAAAGCTGCGGGGTACACCTTCACCTTTCATACTGTGGCAGCCTCCAGCGGATGGAATGAGCCGGCTCTCAGCACTCTCTTCCGAAGAGGACTGCACAAAGAGGTCCAGACGGAGTTGGCGTGTCGGGATGACAACCTATCCTTGGACGCACTCATCACGATGGCCATCCATCTGGATAACCTTCTTCGGGAGCGCCGATGCCCACCTTGCCACTCGCCTCCCTCCTTTGGCTGTCCTGAGGCAGAACCTGAACCCATGGAGATAGGGGCCACACACCTCTCCACGGTAGAGCGGCGTTGCCGGAGACAGCTGGGGCTCTGTCCATATTGCGACCAGGAGGGGCACCAGCTTCAGTGGTGTCCGGTGCGTTCCAACCCGAGGGTCCACTAGGACAGACGGGCGGCCCCGTCATCTTCCCTCTCCCAGGGTAGGCGTGAGTATTCCATTATCATCATTTTCCGCCAAACCCTTTCTGGTTTCCATTTCACTGGCTGGCTGTCCCTCAGGTGTTGTCTCTACGGCTCTAGTGGACTCTGGTGCCGTGGGGAATTTCATCGACCAGGCCCTCGTTTCCTCCCTGAACATAACCTCACACCCGCTCTCCTCTCCTTTTCCGGTCCAAGCCCTGGATAAGTAACCATTGGGATCCGGCACAATCACACACATCAAAGCACCTCTCACCCTCACTGTGGGACCCATGCACCAGGAAAGCCTTCACCAATAAACTTTTATTTGATTTCATCCTCAACAATATCACCAATCCCTGACTCTGTAGGAAATCTGTGACATGGCTGGTCTGAGAGGTGTCTGTGTTCATGTAGGCCTATTTGGTCACAAAGCCAGTAGGTTAAGTGCAGTCTGAGAGTAGAGGGAGGCCAGAGCAATACATGGTAATACGGCTACCCTCTCTGAAACACATTTGAGGTGCAATCTGGTGATACACCCACAATCTCATGGAGGGATTGCTATGAGCTACAGTAACACAAAAGAGTGTAGAATGCTCTTTGCACCTTGCGATTTGTTTTGTTATCAGAAGTCCCTCTTGAAAATAGCCCCAGAAGGCTTGGGAGGCGCAGGGATTAGATCACAGAGGTGTTTGTATCAGTGTTATCAGACAGGCTCCAAAGTCACTCTGTCTCACTATTATCTGGCTTCAAAGACATTCTATTTTCAGAACTCATCTGTCTTCAAGGTAATGTGTGAGACATTAACTTTGCAGTAGAACTATACTATCTAGCCTACTTAAATACTTTTCCCATGGATTTCACCTCAGAAGCAATATATGTGTATCGCGGATCTATCAAATTGAGGATTTAATCAGAGGGCTATATAAAGTGAAATGCTCCCTCTGTAGAAAGTCCTTAATAACCAGCTGCAGAGTTGGAGCATCAGTCAGACATGAGTCAACAACTCAGGAAGCTCCTGGCCACCAGCCCAGCCAGCTCCCAGCCAGCTCTCAGCCAGCTCTCAGCCAGCTCACACCCCAGTCCCTGGGCTCAGCCCCCAGAGCAGCAGACCTGCTCTCCAGGTTCAGATCAGTCACAGTGACCCTGCAGGCTGCAGCCAGCCTTCAGCTGGCCCCTGGAATTACATTTTTTTACATTTTAGTCATTTAGCAGACACTCTTATCCAGAGTGACTTACAGTTAGTGAGTGCATACATTTTCATACTGGCCCCCCGTGGGAATTGAACCCACAACCCTGGCGTTGCAAAAGTCATGCTCTACCAACAGAGCTACACGGGGGCATTAACACAAGAACATCTGCCAAATGGAGTAAACAGCACATGTTGCAGGTGACTCTGTCAATCTCACCCACATTGGCAGCTACAGTTCTGAGAGTCTATTTGAGGACTAGGGGCAATGCATAGATTAGAAGAATCTGAGTTTTGGGAGAAGAGAGGGGTAAAAAAAAAAAAAGAGTAGAGCAGGACAAGGAGATTTGGAGGGTCATTTAAAATGATGTACTTACCACTGTTGCACCTCTTTCTCTGTAACTGTAAGAAAAAAAGAGACAGTTTTTAGTAAGATACAATAAACGAATGTACTATGTATCGGACCATTAAGATGACTTGGCAAATCCATTGGCAGTTGAAAATCACAGATTCCCATGACTGTACAGGTTGGACTGACAGTGTATCTGGCTCCACAGCATATTATTAATAATGCTGTCTATTTTCTAAATTTTGTTTAAATCATGATTGTCCTGAGCACTGGGGTTTCACAGCATCTATTTGTAACCACCCTGAGGAATAAAGTGTAATTGAATTCCGTACATATTGTTAACAAACCGACTGATTCATCACACCTGAAGCTATGGAATTCACTATTCTGCTGCATTTTTCCGAAGGACTTCCACATCATTATTATTTCAAAGGTCAACTTAGCACATAGAGAGAGAGAGAGAGAGAGAGAGAGAGAGAGAGAGAGAGAGAGAGAGAGAGAGAGAGAGAGAGAGAGAGAGAGAAAGAGAGAGAGAGAGGTCAGCAGGAAGGTGAGTGGCTTGGGTAACGAGACATGTTATCATGCCCACACAAGCAGCGTTTTTGTCACGATCGTCGAACAGAGAGGACCAAGGCGCAGCGTGGAATGCGAACATACTTTTATTTTTAATGATCACACGAACAAAACAACAAAACGATACGTGACGTCCTTGGCAAAAGACACTAACCAAACACGGAACAAGATCCCACAAACACTGTGGAAAAACAGGCTACCTAAGTATGGTTCCCAATCAGAGACAACAAGCAACAGCTGATTCACGTTGCCTCTGATTGAGAACCACACCGGCCAACATAGAAACAAATGAACTAGGTAAACAACCTAGCACACAAAACACATAGAAACAACCCACCCTGGCTCAACATAACAGAGTCCCAGAGCCAGGGCGTGACAGTACCCCCCCCCAAAGGCGCGGTTCCGGCTCCGGGCTTGACCCCCACCCTCCAACAAACCCCCCATAGCGCCCCTGGTCCGGTCTGGCCCTGCTGGCTGGATCTGGACTGGACATCGGTGGAGCGGATCGCTCAGGCTCCGATGTGGAGCAGCTAACCGGTACCTGACCAGGCACCGGTGACCCAGGCACGGGCTGTGCCGGACTGACGACGCGCACCACAGGCTTGGTGCGGGGAGCAGGGACGGGCCGAACCGGGCTGACGAAGCGCACCACAGGCTTGGTGCGCGGAGCAGGAATGGGCCGGACCGGGCTGACGACGCGCACCATTGGCTTGGTGCGGGGAGCAGGAACAGGCCGGGCCGGGCTGGCGACGCGCACCATTGGCTTGGTGCGGGGAGCAGGAACAGGCCAGGCCGGGCTGGCGACGCGCACCATAGGCTTGGTGCGGGGAGCAGGAAAAGGCCGGGCCGGGCTGGCGACGCGCACCATAGGCTTGGTGCGGGGAGCAGGAACAGGCCGGGCCGGGCTGGCGACGCGCACCATAGGCTTGGTGCGGGGAGCAGGAACAGGCCGGGCCGGGCTGGCGACGCGCATCACAGGCTCGGTGCGAGGGACAGGAACAAGCCGGACCGTACTGGGAGGTGTTGGGTTTGCACCAGACGTAGCGTTTTCCTTGATGGCCAAAAAGCTCAATTTTAGTCTCATCTGACCAGAGTACCATATGTTTGGGGAGTCTCCCACATGCCTTTTGGCGAACACCAAACATTTGTTTCCTTATTTTTTTCTTTAAGCAATGTCTTTTTTTCTGGCCACTCTTCCGTAAAGCCCAGCTCTGTGGAGTGTACGGCTTAAGTGGTCCTGTGGACAGATACTCCAATCTCTGCTGTGGACCTTTGCAGCTCCTTCAGGGTTATCTTTGGTCTCTTTGTTGCCTCTCTGATTAATGCCCTCCTTGCCTGGTCCGTGAGTTTTGGTGGGCAGCCCTCTCTTGGCAGGTTTGTTGTGGTGCCATATTCTTTCCATTTTTTAATAATGGATTTAATGGTGCTCCGTGGGATGTTAAAAGTTTCTGATCTTTTTTTATAACCCAACCCCGATCTCCACAACTTTGTCCCTGACCTGTTTGGAGAGCTCTTTGGTCATTGTGGTGCCCCTTGCTTAGTGGTGATGCAGACTCTGGGGCCGTTCAGAACAGGTGTATATACTGAGATCTCATGACACTTAGATTGCACAGGTGGACTTTATTTAACTAATTATGTGACTTCTGAAGGTAATTGGTTGCACCAGATCTTATTTAGGGACTTCATAGCAAATGGGGTGAATACATATGCACGCACCACTTTTCTGTTATTTATTTTGTAGAATTTTTTTGAAACAAGTTATTTTTTTCATTTTGTGTATGTCCATTACATGAAATCCAAATTAAAATCCATTTAAATTACAGGTTGTAATGCAACAAAATAGGAAAAACGCCAAGGGGGATGAATACTTTTGCAAGGCACTGTAAGTGTAACGTAAACGAACAAGAAATTAGTCTGAACAGAGTGCAGAGATTAAGCATTTTTGGGGGAGGAATTTGGAGAACCATCAACCAGCATGAGAAAAAAATCATCATTCATTCTAACATCCAGACGCTGTCTATGAGTCAGTGCTGCGTCACTGTGTCCATTACAGAAATAATGGTCACATCCCGATAATAGTGAAGCTGTTCTATATACAAGATATACCATGGATTGAAGAGTCTAGATTTAGTACAAGACCAGTCTAGACCTTGTTCAATGCTCTATAAATAATGTAGTGACAGCCAACCTGTCTACCAGCTTACAAGAATATTCAAGCAAGGTAAAACAGTGATATTAATTTTGCAGCCACCAGCCGGGTGATTATCATGAAACCAGAAACCAAGCGCCATGCTCTACCAACTGAGCTACAGGGGATCCGGATTAAATTCTTGGGTCATTTTATACAATTTCATTGTAGAAAAACCTAACATGTTTGAATAAAACACAAAATATGTTGCTTTAGTTTTTCCATAAATCATAAAAATGGTATACTAGTTGACGTTTACATTCAACTATAATATTTATTACGTAAAAACATAGTGTCTGTGGACGTGTCTCAGTACCGTAACACTTTTTCAAGTTCCTGTAAAAACTCCAAACAGTTTTGAAATAAAATTTTATTCACCCATGATGCATCATCTAGAGGAGTAGTCCTTAGGTGAGCACAAGTTAATTTATTCACTTATATGCCTTCAGAATGAGGTTCTTTTTCTCAAATACCCCCCTTTACCCCCACTTGGCCTTCTCATTACCGTAATGGCTAAAAAGGTCAAATTTGAGAAAAGTCAGAGAACCATTAACGTACCAACATGGTGTCATTTACATTTACATTTACATCATTTAGCAGACGCTCTTATCCAGAGTGTCATGAATGGGCTTTAGTGATGAGGTCAATTGATTGCTGACTCATAATAATCTGTCTCCTAATATTTGCAGATTGAGTTTAGGGCGTCTCATTACCGAAACACACATTTCTCATTACCACACAACTTTTAGGTCCATTTCGGTAATGAGAACCTTAATTTGGGTGTGCTGTGCTGGTAACTTTATTAATTTACTAGGACCACTCCTTAAACTGGAAGATCCTGAACAGTCATTCTGAAAAGTACTTTTTCTCTCATGGCTAACTTAAAAAAAAGGGGGGGTTTCTTTTGAAAGCAAAGTGGTTTAAATCCCAAAGTTAATCCGAGAAAAATTTTTTTGGGGGAAAATTTTTGGGGTTTTTAAACCCCCTTTCTTTTTTAAAATTTTTGGTTTTAAAAAGGGGGTTTTAGGGGGAAGAAGATCAACTTTTTTTTTTTATATCCCCTTCATTTTTTTTTTGGGTTTTATTTTTTTGATTTTAAAAAATTTTTCTTTTTTAAAATTTTGGTTGGGGGGGGGTTTTTTAAAAATTCCCCAAACCTTCCCCCTTTTTGGGCCTTTTAAAAGTTTTGGTTTTGGGGGGGCCCCGGGGGTTAAAATGAAAGAAAACTTTAATTTTTTCCCAAAGGGGGATTTTTTTAAAATTTTTTGGATTTTTTAATTTTTAAAATTTTTTTTGGGGGGGAAAAATAAAAAATTTTTTTTTTTAAAAAATTTTTGGGTTTTTTTTTTTTAAATTTTTAAAAAATTTTTTTTCCTTTTTTCCCAAAAAAAAAAAAAAAAAAAAATTTTGAAAGGCCAAGGGAAAAAACCCCAAAAAGGGGTAAAAAAAAAAAGAAATTTTTAAACATAAAGGAAAAAATTTTTTTAAACCTTAAGCAAAGAAAAATTCATTTTACCCCCAAAAGGTCCTTTAAAATCCTTAAAAAATTGGCCCTTTAAAAAAGGAAAAAATTTTTGGGAAAAATAGAAAAACCCCCTCAAAATTTAAATTTACAAAAAATTTGGCCCCCCAAGCGCGTCAAAAAAAGAGGGCCCTAAAGGGAGGAATTTTGGTTTTTATAAAAAGCCCAAAAAAAAAAAATTTTTTTGGTTTTTCCCCAAAAATTTTTTTCCCAAAAAAAAAATTTTTAATAAAAAACAATGTGTTTTTTCCCAAAATTTTAAAAAAAAAAACTTAAAAAAATTTTAAAAAATTTAAAAAATTTTCTTAGGAAATACAAATTTTTTTTAATTCTTAAAAAACCCCCAAAGTTTAAAAAATTTTTCCCAAAATAAATAAATTAAGGGTTTAGTTCGGGCCTTTTTTAAAAGCCCCTTAAAATTTTTTTTTTAAAAAAATTTTTTTTTTAAAAATTTTCAAATTGGGTTTTAAAAAAAATTAAAATTTTGGTCTTTAAAATTTTAATTTTTGGGGTTTAAATTTGGGGGGGGAAAAAATTTTTAATAAAAAAGTTTTTTTTAGAAACCCAAAAAATTTTAAAAAATTTTTGGCATAATAAATTTTTTGGGTTTTTCCCAAAATTTTTTTGAAAAAAACCCCCCTTTCAAAAAAAAAAATTTTTTAAAAAAATTTTTTTTTAAAAAGAATTGGGGGTTATAAATTATTTAAATTTTTCCAAAAAAATTGTTTTTTTTTAAAAGAAACAATAAAAACCTTTTAAAATTTAAAAAACGTTTTCTGGAAAAAAACCCCGGGTTTTTAAAATAAAAAAAAATTTTTAAAAAAAATTTTTTAAAAGGGGTTTAAAAAAAGGGGAAAATTTTTTTTTTTTTGGGAACTGGGGAAAGAAAATTTAACAAAAAAAGAAAAATTTCGGCAAAAATTTTTTTGGTCCAAACCCCCCAAAAAAATTTTTTTAAAGGGAAAGGGGGAAAAAATTTTGGGAAACATTTCCAAAAACTTCCCAAAAAAATTTTAAAAAATTTTTAAAAAAAAAGGGGAATAAAAATTTCCAAAGGGGGGGGGGGGAAAGGGGAATTTACTTTTCGGGAAAAACCTAAAAAAGGGGTAAACCCAATGGAGGGGCCCCTTTTTTGGGGGGGGGGGGGGAGAAGGGGGGGAACCAAAAAACTTAAAAAGGGGGGCAGGTGAAAAAAAAAGACCCCCCCGGGGGGGGGGGGCGATCCCCCCAAAAGGGCAAAACCTGAAAAAGCAAAAAGGGGACACCCAATCCGGAACGTCCCCCCCGACGGGGCCCACCCGGGCGCCGCCCCCGGGAGGGACGGCAAGGACGCCCAGGGGGGCAGTCCCCCGGTAAAAACCCCCGGAGGGACAATGTCCCTGGGGGGGCCCCCTTCCTTTTTTTTTCCCCTAAACCCCCAAAATTCCCCCCCCCCCCCGAATATAAACGGAACCCGGGGGCCCCCCCGGGGGGGGGGGGCGGGGGACCCGGCCCCCTTTAGGGACCCCTTTTCCCCCCGGGAGGGACCAGGAAAGGGGAAGTGGCATTAAGGGCCGGGAAAAAAAAAAGTTAAATTTCCCCAAATTAATGGAAAACCCCCACCCACTTCCCGGGGGAGCCGGGGCATTTTTTGGGCAAAAGGGGCCGTTTTGTGAAACCCCCGGACCCCCAGGGGGCCTCCCCCCCGGGGGCCCCCCTTGTGGGGCCCGTTCGGTTTTCCCCGCCCCGCCCAAATTCCCCGGGGGGCCATCCCCCCCCAAAGGTGCCCCCTTTAAAAGACCCCAAAAAGGGGAAAATTTTGAAGGGCGAAGGATTTTGGGCTATTTGCCCGGGGAATTTTCCCCCCCCCCCCCCCCCAATAGGACCTCAGAAACCTACCCACATCCTGGTTCACTCTCTCCACCTGCCCATTACTCTCGGGGCGAAACCCTGAGGTAAGGCTAATCGAGACCCCCAGACGTTCCATAAACGCCCTCCAGACTCTAGAGGTGAACTGGGGACCCCGATCAGACACTATATCCTCAGGTACCCCGTAGTGCCGAAGACGTGTGTAAACAGGGCGTCAGCAGTTTGTAGGCTGTAGGGAGACCTGGCATAGGAATGAGACGGCAGGCCTTTGAAAACCGATCCACAACGACCAAGATCGTCGTATTCCCCGGGAGGGGGGAAGGTCCGTGACGAAATCCACTGAGAGGTGAGACCACGGTCGTTGTGGAACAGGTAGGGGTTGTAATTTCCCCCTGGGTAGGTGTCTAGGCGCCTTACACTGAGCGCACACCGAGCAGGAGGAAACATAAACCCTCACGTCCTTAGCCAAAGTGGGCCACCAGTACTTTCCACTAAGGCAGTGCACTGTCCGTCCAATACCAGGATGGCCAGAGGAAGGTGACATGTGAGCCCAATATAGTAATCGATCACGAACCTCGAGCGGCACGTACTTCTGACCCTCTGGACACTGTGGGGGAGTAGGATCGGTACGTAACGCCCGCTCGATGTCCGCATCAACCTCCCTATACCACCGGTGCCACCAGACAAGACTCCGGAAGTATGGGAGTAGGCTCAATGGACCTCTGCTCTGTGTCATATAGTCGGGACAGGGCGTCTGCCTTAGCGTTCTGTGACCCCTGGTCTATAGGTGAGCGTAAATACAAATTGGGTGAAAAACATAGCCCACCTAGCCTGGCGAGGGTTCAGCCTCCTCGCCGCCCGGATGTACTCCAGGTTACGATGGTCAGTCAAAATGAGAAAAGGGTGTTTAGCCCCCTCAAGCCAATGCCTCCACACCTTCAGGGCTTGCCACAGCTAACAGCTCCCTGTCCCCCACATCATAATTGCGCTCCGCCGGACTGAGCTTCTTAGAAAAGAAAGCACAGGGGCGGAGTTTAGGTGGCATACCTGAGCGCTGAGACAGTACAGCACCGATCCCAGCCTCGGACGCATCCACCTCAACTTGGAACGCCAAAGAGGGATCCGGATGTGCCAGCACCGGATCGAGGTAAACAGGTCCTTCAGATGCCTAAAAGCCCTATCCGCCTCAGCCGGCCACTGCAGACGCACCGGACCCCCCTTTAGCAGGGAGGTAATGGGAGCTGCTACCTGCCCAAAGCCCCGGATAAACCTCCGGTAGTAATTGGCAAAACCCAAGAACCGCTGCACTTCCTTCACCGTGGAGGGAGTCGGCCAATTGTGCACGGCTGAAACACGGTCAATCTCCATCTCCATCCCTGACGCGGACAACCGGTGTCCCAGGAAGGAGATGGACTCCTGGAAGAACAGACATTTCTCTACCTTTGCATACAGGTCATGCTCCAACAGTCTACCAAGCACCCGACGAACCAGGGACACATGCTCTGCGCGGGTAATGGAGTATATTAGAATGTCATCAATATACACCACTACACCCTGTCCATGCTAGTCCCGGAAAATCTCATCCACAAACGATTGGAAGACTGAAGGAGCATTCATTAAACCGTATGGCATGACGAGGTACTCATTGTGACCCGAGGTGGTACTGAATGCTGTCTTCCACTCATCTCCCTCCCTAATGCGCACCAGGTTGTACGCGCTCCTGAGATCCAGTTTTGTGAAGAATCGCGCCCCGTGTAATGACTCCGTCATACTAGCAATCAGAGGGAGAGGATAGCTGTATTTGATGGTGATCTGATTGAGACCACGGTAGTCAATACACGGGCGTAAACCCCCATATTTCTTCTTCACAAAAAATAAACTTGAGGACGCAGGGGAAGTGGACGGCCGTATGTATCCCTGTCTCAGCGATTCGGCGACATATGTTTCCATAGCCGCCGTCTCCGCCTGAGACAGAGGATACACATGGCTACGGGGAAGCGCAGCGCCTACTTGGAGGTTTATCGCACAATCCCCCTGTCGATGGGGTGGTAATTGAGTCGCCTTCCTTTTACAGAAGGCGAGAGCCAAATCGGCATATTCAGGTGGAATGTGCATGGTGGGAACTTGGTTCGGACTTTCCACCGTCGTGGCCCCTACGGAAACACCCACACACCTCCCGACACACTGATCAGACCATCCGTTGAGAGCCCTCTGTTGCCATGAAATGTTGGGGTCATGAGACGTCAACCAATCAAATACAACCGAATTATCTCCTCATGGCCCTCCTGCGTTTTCATCATGAGCGGCGCCGTGACCTCCCTAATCAACCCAGACCCCAAAGGGCGACTATCTAGGTCATGGATAGGGAAGGGCACATCCACTGGAACTATAGGAATCCCTAACTTATGGGTGAAATGGCGATCGATAAAATTTCCAGCTGCACCTGAATCGACTAGCGCCTTATGATGGGAATGAGGAGAAACCTCGGGAAACACAACTCTAATACACATATACGCAACAGGGAGCTCTGGGTGAGTTGGGCACCTACTCACCTGGAATGACTCATCAGTGCGCGGCCTACTGACTCGATTCCGAGGAGACCCTCCCCAGCACCGACCAGCAGTGTGTCCTCTGCGGCCACAGTTGGTGCAGGGGACGGCCTCTCTCCTGGTCTCTCTCCTAGTACTAGCACCTCCGAGCTCCATAGGGGTCGGCTCGGAAGGGCTGGGGGATGGAATGGACGGCCCCGAGTCCGGACGTCCGCGGGTAGCCAACAGGGTGTCCAGGCGAATCAACATGTCCACCAGTTGATCAAAGTTTAGGTTGGTGTCCCTGCAGGCCAATTCCCGACGCACGTCCTCCCTCAGGCTACATCTGTAGTGGTCGATGAGGGCCCTCTCATTCCATCCCGCGTTGGCAGCCAGCGTCCGGAAGTCCAGTGCGAACTCCTGCGCGCTCCTCCTCCCCTGTCGGAGGTGGATTAGACGTTCACCCGCCGCCTTACCCTCTGGTGGATGATCGAATACTGCCCTGAAGCGGCGGGTGAACTCCGCATAGTTGACTGTAGCGGCGTCTATTCCCCCCCACTCTGCGTTGGCCCACTCCAGTGCCTTGCCGGACAGACAGGAGATGAGGGCGGACACGCTCTCGTATCCCGAGGGCGCCGGGTGGATGGTTGCCAGGTAGAGTTCTAACCTGGAGCAGGAAACCCTGACACCCGGCAGCTGTGCCATCATAAGCCCTCGGGAGCGAGAGCTGAATCCCACTGGACCCCGGAGATGAAGCGATGGGCATAGCTGATGGTGGTGGTATCGTCGGAGGAGGATTAACGTATGACCAACTTCTTCTCTCCCATCGCTCCACGGTTTTCACCACCTATTCCATGGCGGTGCCGAGAGCCTGGATCATAGCCGCTTGTTGTTCTTCACGCTCTTCTATTGATCCAGCTGGCACCGCCGCTCCTGCCTACTCCATGTCTAAAGGTGCGTAATTCTGTCACAGCGACGTGTATGCGGTAGGCGAAGTCAAGAGCAGGACACCGAGCTACTGGCAGAAACTTTACTGGATGCAGTGCAAATACAAAGTACAAAGGCAACCTCAATCAGAGAGGAAATAATATGACCCGCACACATGGGCAACTGCCGCAAAGACCAAAACAATTACGCACAATACACAATGAGAAACCGAGGGTTATAAAGGGAACACAATAAAACATAATGGGAAACAGGTGTAAACAATAAAGACCAAACAAGACAAACACCGAAACATCGATCGGCAGCAGCTAGTACTCCGGGGACGATGAACGCCAAAGCCTGCCCGAGCAAGGAGGAGGAGCAGCCTCGGCTGAATCCGTGACATCCATTTTGACATGTGTACCTGTTTTCACACTTACCTATACTGTTGTTTGATATCACCAGTTTGTGGTCCATATCTCACGTATTTAGATACTTTATAGGCATATTGTGTTATGCCGTTTGCCCATAGGATCCCATTCAGCCCAGAAATACATTTAAAATACCTTACAACCAAAAATATCCACATCCTAATATAACAATCACACCAATATTACCTGTAAAGACCTTGGATAAATTCTAAAAATAAAATGTGTCCACTTTTGACTTTTCAAAATACATGCATGTAATTACAGTACTTAGTACAAGGTTATTTTTGTAAATTGCATTAAGATCAGGGATTTGAGTATTGTGTAAGTCATTTGTGATTAACAATGACACACTTTGATGATATGTTTGGTTACTGAATCTCTGAGATGGGTTAGCTGACAATGTCACGGAAACGATGTGTGCACTTCCATGGGGCAGAAGTCAACGTGTTGTTGTGATTCTGGATGGCAAGATTGCTAGCAAGAATTACAAGAAACTGCCATGTAGGAAATCGTAAGTGGCTCATTTCAGCTCATTTCATCTTCTTCTTGATACCATGTCTTGTTTTGAGGTGTTTTGACTGATTTCATGTCAATGCTAATATGGCTCAAATTCACTAGCTAGCTAACCAACAACTGTAACAATGTATATGAGAAACAACAAGTGCTCATTGTGCAAATATATTTATGTTTTCAATAAACATTGGAGACGAAATATAGCTTACATGTTGTCAACAATCTATGCCAACCCAGTTTGTTTTGCCCCATAGTTGTGTACACGCGTTTTGTTGCTAAACAACCAACCTGTCTATAGAGATCAGTAGTTTTTCAATGGCAAACTATGCAACACTCTTTACCGAAACATGCAATCTCATCTCTGAAACCTGCTCATCATTACCGTAACGCACCAATATTTAGGAAATATCAGGAAGAAAAAAAACATATACAGTGCATTCGGAAAGTATTCAGACCCCTTCCCCTTTTCCACATTTTTTACGTTACAGTGTAAAATTGATTAGATAAATGTTTTCCATCATCAATCTACACACAATACCCAATAACGACAAAGCAAAAAGTGGTTTTTATAAATTTTTTCAAATGTTATAAAAAACAAAAATCAGATACCTTATTTACATAAGTATTCAGACCCTTTGCTATGAGACTCAAAATTGAGCTCAGGTGCATCCTGTTTCCATTGATCATCCTTGAGATGTTTCTACAACTTGATTGGAGTCTACCTGTGGTAAATTCAATTGATTGGACATGATTTGGAAAGGCACACACCTGTCTATATAAGGTCCCACAGTTGAGAGTGCATGTCAGAGTAAAAACCAAGCCATGAGGTCAAAGGATTGTATCGAGACACAGATCTGGGGAAGGGTACCAAAAAATTTCTGCAGCATTGAAGGTCCCCAAGAACACAGTGGCCTCCATCATTCTTAAATGGAAGAAGTTTGGAACCACCAAGACTCTTCCTAGTGCTGGCCAAACTGAGCAATCGGGGGAGAAGGGCCTTGGTCAGGGAGGTGACCAAGAACCTGATGGTCACTCTGACAGAGCTCCAGAGTTCCTCTGTGGAGATGGGAGAACCTTCCAGAAGGACAACCATCTCTGCAGCAATTCACTAATCAGGCCTTTATGGTAGAGTGGCCAGACGGAAGCCACTCCTCAGTAAAATGCACATGACTGTCCGCTTGGAGTTTGCCAAAAGGCACCTAAAGACTCTCAGACCATGAGAAACAAGATTTTCTGGTCTGATGAAACCAAGATTGAACTCTTTGGCCTGAATGCCAAGTGTCATGACTGGAGGAAACCTGGCACCATCCCTACGGTGAAGCATGGTGGTGGCAGCATCATGCTGTGGGGTTGTTTTTCAGCGGCAGGGACTGGGAGACTAGTCATGATTGAGGGAAAGATGAACAGAGCAAAGTACAGAGAGATCCTTGATGAAAACCTGCTCCAGAGCGCTCAGGACCTCAGACTGGGGCAAAGGTTCACCTTCCAACAGGACAACAACCCTAAGCACACAGCCAAGACAACACAGGAGTGAAATTCGGGACAAGTCTCTTAATGTCCTTGAGTGGCCCAGCCAGAGCCTGGACTTGAACCCGATCGAACATCTCTGAAGAGAGCTGAAAATAGCTGTGCAGCAACGCTCCCAATCCAACCTGACAGAGCTTGAGAGGATCTGCAGAGAAGAATGGGAGAAACTCCCCAAATACAGGTGTGCCAAGCTTGTAGCGTCATACCCAAGAAGACTCGAGGCTATAATCGCTGCCAAAGGTGCTTCAACAAAGTACTGAGTAAAGGGTCTGAATACTTTTGTAAAGTTGATATTTCCGTTTTTTTATTTGTAATACATTTGCTAAAATTTCTAAAAATCTGTTTTTGCTTTGTCATTATAGGGTAGATTGATGAGGGGGGGAAAAAATGTGAAAAAAGTCAAGGGGTCTGAATACTTTCCGAATGCACTGTACTTTACCAATTTTGGCTTAATGTGACTTTTGTTCTTTATCGAAATATGTCTACATAAATCAACAACAACAAAAAACATGTATACAAAAGTGATTATGACCAAAAAAAGGTTGTTTTACGCAATGAGATAAATTACGAAAGACATTTTTATTTTCAGTCATGTTTTTTCATTAGGGGAGCAATGTCAAAAATATTAGAAATTGATTTGTTTATTACTTTTTTGGACTTTGAAAACTGTTGCGGTAATAAAACATTTTGTGTTGGTAGTTGTGGAAATGGTTGTAAAATGCATCAAAAAACATAATTATTATTATTATTAAATAGAAAAGTACAGATCCTAATCTCAGTGATTCTAGAGGTAATTTCTGGAAAAATTACACTTGAGAATTTTTGGGTCAAGTGTCAGTTTTGTGAGAATGACCCAGCCAAGCTATTTGTTCTCTCTTAACAGACTAGTTACAATATTGTTATTAGCCTATTTACAACCAGAATCATTGTCCAGTATTGTGACTGACTGGTGCAGTTAGTATAAGATCAGTAAAGAGACATGATGCAACCAATTTCCACAGTGTTACACCCTAATCTGTTTCACCTGTCTTGTGATTGTCTTCAACCCCCACCAGGTGTCTCCCATTACCTCATGTGTATTTATACCTGCGTTTTCTGTTTGTCTGTTGCCAGTTCGTCTTGTCCCGTCAAGTCCTACCAGCATGTTCCCGTGTTTCCTGAACTCTAGTTTTTGCTTTTTCTAGTCTTCCCAGTTCTGACCTTTCTGCCTGTCCTGACCCTGATCCTGCCTGCCGTCCTGTACCTGCCTGACTCTGATTTGGATTACGACTCTTTGCCTGCCTTGACCTACCGATTGCCTGCCCCTTGTACTGTAATAAACTCTGAGACTCGTACTATCCACCTCCTGTGTCTGTATCTGGGTTTTAGCCTGAGCCATGATACTGAGGGTATAGCCTATGCCCACATGTACATCCCTGCTTCACTTTGCTTTGCTCAGCCCTTCACAGAGTATCATCATGTGACACAGTCATAAATTCCAGAGTCAATCTCACGACTGTCAGGCAAGCCAAGCCATGAAATTGGCCTCAAAAGTCAATGGCGTCAAAAAATCTAGGCAATTCACCATGGCTATGATTTAATCAAGTTTTATTACGTAACTCAGTTAAAGGCAATGGGCAGTAATACAATCAGCCTAGGAGGACGGATGAGAGCAGTGAGGCCAGGGCTAGCAGCTCAGCTCATTTAGCCCTGCAGGCCTGCTCACATCCAGCATGCACTATGTCAGTATCAACCGCTGAGCTGAGTCTGACGGCTAACAAAAACAGCTATTACATCCTTTTTTCTTTTTTAACCTTTATTTAACCAGGTAAGCCAGTTGAGTTCTCATTTACAACTGCGACCATTACATCCTCAAGTTATTTGACTGGGATTCCTCTTTCCATATGATATCAGACCAGTCATTTGGAAAACCATTTGGCTTGTTCAGTTTTAGGTACAGTAGGCTAAACTGTGGTCCCCTACATTAAAAGATGGGTATGTTTTAAGCCATAACATGCAATATGAAATGCTTGTTATATTGACAAATTGAAATAGCTAATAAAGAAAGAAGGCAAGCAGAGGAAGTATCTCTGCTTTCTGGCCTGCACAACCAAACGTGTAAGACTGGCATAATTATAGATAGGCTATTTGAAGTGTCAAAAGTGAATGTCTCAAACTTGACATTGGATCAAAGTGAGGTTGGCAATAAGAGTAACAACGTTGCTTATGAGATTTACTTGACTGGCTGTCAAAGTACCTTAGATGCAAAAAAAATAAACATCTCCAGAACTGCATCCTGAAATTTTGCTAACGCACAGATGGTGCTCCTCCTCTAATTTGGGTGTGTGCCTTGGACAGGACAGTAGGGTAAGCCAGCTTCTTTTAATATTTTATTATGGCACTGAAAACAGGCCTACAACTTCCTGAGCTCAAAATGGATCACTGAAAACAACTTCCAATGGGAAAGGAAGAAATTATATGATTTATAAGTCAGAGGAAGAATATTTAAGCCTCTCCACAGGAGAGGGATAAGAGGAATCAGAAAGAAATGAGGGGAGAAACGATAAGGGGTCTAAATTAGACGAGAGCGGGGTAAGGGAGTGGACATGCTGGGAGAAAAGGCTGGGTGCCCCTCTGTGCAAAGCTAAGCAGATGGGATCCTAATTATACTATTCTGTTCAAATAGGGCAATTAGGGGATGAGAGAGAGAGCGAGAGAGTGAGAGCGAGAGCGAGAGAGAGAGAGAGCTGAATAAAGTACAGTAGCAAACAGCCCATCCCAGCACGAAGCCCAATCTTCCTCACCACTTCAATCTCCTGCCACAGCAGCCTTTCCTGGTTGTGGTGAAGCCCACCGCGTGAACAGCACTGTCATTAGGCAGCCATTGGCTGTCAACTCCCACCCATCACCTGGCATGCTATGCTACAGGCTAACCACCACCCACTAGACTAGATACTGTGAGCACAACAAATAGAGAACGTTTCAACTCTAGTCTTCTAAATGCTGAAAGAACAAAAAGCAATATTTATTTATATGCAAAATGGACGGCTATGTGGATACGTGGATACGTTCATTCTGTGATTAGAGATCCTAATTAACATAATTGTGATTATCTTGTTATTGCTGCAAATGCCTCCAGTCCACTTTGCTTGACTTAGGCTAAGTGACCTACTGCCAACAATTAAAATAGTGTTCTTTCGCCTGCTACTTGAAGACCTTTGCCTAAATGTGCATACTTATGGAAATGTATGAAGGCGCCATCAAGCCCATATTTGCTAACTTTGGCAAAACACCAGCTTGATTGCTGATCCAAAGTCTTAACCCCATCTGCATATTCAGAGATCTCTCCTTCCCAGTGGAGGGTTTCAAAAGACCTGAACTAATCACAATTTGTGACACCATATAAATATTTATGCAAGCCAAAAATATGAAGCCTAGTCTATATCCACAGAGGAGCTGACATTTAAAGGCCCAGTGCAGTGAAAATTCTGTTTTTCCTGTGTTTTGTATCATATTGTAACAGCTGACTAAACTAACACTGTAAAAGAGTGGAAAATGTGATCAGTGTTATTTCCTGATAGTTGATCTGCACAATCTACACAGGACCTTCTAATCAGCATGAGCGGGAGTTTGGGCTTTCCATGGTGACATCACCATGCGGTAAATTGGTTAATAGACCAATAACAAAGAGAGTTCCAAACCTCTGCCAATAACAGCTAGTTTTCGGTTTTCCCCTCCCCACGCATTTTTTGCTAAAAAAGCTGTTTTTGCCCATTTTAATAGAAATCTGTAAGGTTACCCAGAAATTATTTGATATTGATATAAAAACGCCTGCATTGGGCCTTCAATTTGTTCTGTTGTTTCTGAGGATTAAGTGAAACAGAAGCGTAGATGTCTTATACAGGCTACATGGAAACCAGGTCATATGAGGCACACATTTAGTAGTATTTTATTCACTGTTGCTCATCATAAAATGCACTGGAAAATGCACCAGCACTAGATCAGTCTTGGTTCAGTGCTCTTATAGTTCTGTTACATAGTTATTAAATAGGCATTTATTATTATAGGTTATTTATTATTGCATGTTACAATAATTTTGTTATCCCCACATAACATATTAGCATTTTATACAATCCACGTCCTATCTCAGTCCAGTTGAAAAGAGAGAACATAAAAAGAGAAGGTCACTCACAGTAGGTCTTCCTGGTCAGTTCCTCCACCACCTCCTGCTTGAGCTTGCTGTTTGATTTTCCCATGGTGGGTACCTTTGTCCTCACTGCCTTGGGTTACTCCTCCAGCTCCACCTTGACACACACTGAACACCCCTCTCAGTCTACTCCTCAGTCCAGTCCTCACTGGTCAAACAGACGCAAATATGGGCCAGTTAAGGAAAGCGATGCAATTATACCACTGAAATAAGAGAACAGTAAACTCTGGCAGAGAATTGAACTCCATCCACCCACATCAGGCTTCTGTTCGGTGCAGTCCACTCTGGATGTGGCCAAGATGTGCCCAGACTTCAGCCCTCCAGGGCAGCCACTCCAACCCCAGGGGCTCAGCACTGAATAATGGGAGACTGTTGACTGAGTCTGAGTGCTCGCCTCCCCTTTCTTTAGAATGTTCAGTGGGCGAGAGTTGCGTTGTGATGCGTTGCTACCTTTGTCCTTGGTTACAGGAGTCACTCAGTCTCTGGGTTGTGTGTACACACTCCCTCACACTCCGCTCACTGTTCCTCTCACCCCTCCTTTTCCTCCTTTCTCTTCCTCCCACCCTCTTTTCCCACCACTGTCTCTGTGGCTCCGGGTAACTTATAATAGAATCCTCCCTCTTGACAGCTGAGATAAGGGGATGGGTAAACTAAAATACAATGAACAGGGCTCAGCCTCAGATGCACTCCGTTTTCAATTACACCCCAGGCTTGAACTCAGATCCCAGCAGGACTTCCTTCTGACACAGCAACAGAAAATACAAAGTCAAAAGGTTTTTGCGACTTAAACTGTAATTTAAAATGCAAAATACCGAAAATTAGAGAGAAAATAGAAATGTTCCAGTTCTTTGAATGAGGCTGTTTTCCCAGTGAGTTTACAGGCTGAGGGATTTACAGAATGACAGTTCTCTTTTCTCTTCCATTCTGACTCATAATTCTCCCTCCTTCCTGGCCTCACAGCGGCAAATGGAAGCCTTTTGATTTCCACCTCTCACAGCGGACAGGAGATGGATAATGGAATTTCTCTGTGTCACAGGCCTGAAATGGCATTCATAGATGCTTAACCTCAGTAGCTGGCTGAGTCTCAGTATAGCACAGGACAATACGGCACCTTTCCTCACTAAGCATTAGGGTCTATGCCTGTGTTTGTTCTGTTCTTGGCCAGGACTGTCTTCTCTGTGCATGTGACTGTGGTGACGGTAATCATCGTCTTGTGTTTGCTCAGCTCCATGGTCCCGGGTAACCCAGACGCTGTAAAAAAAAAAAAAAAACAGCAGTTGCAAGGTCAGGGCAGTGCCAGGAGGGCAAGATTACTGTGAACATCAGCAAGCCTTAATCTCTGGAATCTCACCCACTCCACAGTGTCAAATGCTGAGCATTTCTCAATGCTGAGTTCTCCTCAAGCATTCACAGACAATACTGAAATAGCAACTTGCTTGACTTTCACTGGGGTGAGAGAGAGATGCCCTGCTCCTGTATGCAGCCCTCACAATACAGGGCTGCGCTTGCAGTGCAGATGCAAAGTTTGGCAACAGAATGACAGAACAAACAGCACAAATCCTCATTCTGTTACCAAACTTTGCATCTGCACTGTTCTTCAAGTAAATGTGCTTTGGTAAAATGTTCAGTGGTCATTATTAAAAGTAGTCCATTGTGCATAGAGTTGTATGGTTTCTTTAACTTTGCAATCATTGTTTTTTGGTTTGACATAGCCTTCATTTTAATGTGAAAAATCTAAGTCTCAGTGTCACTCTGTTACCATGGAATTGCCCTACTACATAAATGAGATCAATAATACCCTCCTGTAGGTCATTCAATGTAGCATATAAATTATTCAAACCAATGTTTATTAAGACATTCTGCCAGGCTTAAAGAAAATAACATATCTAAATAAGATATAATAATTTTACTCCTCATTGCATTTTGGTTTGAGTTTACTACACCCACCAGGCTGGGTGATGTTTCTTACAACAAAATAAGAACTCAATAACGAAACAGTCAAATCTATTAAACTTATTGTGCTCTGTGCACCTTTCCAGATTGTGCAAAAGTAGGGTACCAGTAGCAGAGACGGTTTCAACGCTATTGCTTAGCAACACAAATAGTAATGTATCTGGCGACCGTGAAGGCTGAGCTCTTCGGTTTGTTACCTGTCATTCGGTTACTACTAAAGCTACTTTCACTATCCAAGGCAAATTATGACAAATAATACCCTTGTAACCGACAGACATGATGATAACTTTCTATTGAAACACTCACCTTCATTTTCAGGCAGGCATCCGGAATTGACTGTTTATGGACGAATTATCTGCTTTCTCCGCAAGGCTTCTGTAGTCTACAAGAGCGCGCTTTTCCTGCGGCTCTCTCCCACTGGCGTCGGCTAGATTCAGACGCGAATGACATCGCAGTCCCGAACCACAGAACAACATTTGCTATTAACCCTTTATTTCCTGTGCCATTTTCGATAGTCTGCCTTGAACTGTAAATCAGCGGTATTGTGAAATGATTCAAGATGAACAGCAATTATGTGTAATAGAATAGAACATGATAGATACTTTATTTTCCATTTGGTTAGAAACAGAAATTCGTTCTCTGCCTTTACTAACCAGCAGACATACACCAACATGGCACAGGGTCAGCAGCGGTGCAGTGCAGTTGGAGCAATTTTGGGGTTAAGTGCCTTGCTCAAAGGCACACCGGCAGTGGAGCTGGGATTCCTTTTAAATCGCATCACCTTGAGAGAGCCATCTCTAGTGGTGTGCTGTGATGTTCTGGATGAGGGACTTTGTCATTACAGTCAGCTGCATCATGCCCATAGGGGGCACTAGGGCACATGCCCCCTCAGATTTGTTATTTCTCAGATATTTACATTTTAGTCATTTAGCAGACGCTCTTATCCAGAGCGACTTAGTTAGTGAGTGCATACATTTTCATACATCAGATGTTGAATGTATTACTACATTGAATTTTTAAGCCCAAGTTTTATCATCATTGTTTACAAAAATATCTGTCAACGGTATTTTGCAGAGGGGGCACACTGACTGGACCAGGCAAAGAGCACCCTTGCACTTTTTTCAAATAATGCACAATTTCTTCCAGAAAACTGTTGAAATTAAAACATATTTTGGTATCCACATATTGTTTTGCAGTTGAACAAAACAAAACATTTGAATAATTTACTAAATGTTAGCTTTTAGGAGGAGGTCAGACAAGATTGTAGCCAAGCATGGACAATCTCAAGGCTACAAGTCCATCAGAGACCTTGATGTTCCCGTTTCCACCGTACATAATGTAATCAAGAAGTTAAAGGCCCATGCCAGAGAAAACCTGATGAAAGATTGCAGCGAAGGATTGTTTGAATGGTGGAGAAAGCTCCTCGATCAACTGCCACACAGATTCAAGCTGACCTTCAGACACAAGGTATGACAGTTTCAACTCGCCCCATCTGTCGCCAACTCAATGAAAGGGGGTTATATGGTAGGAAACCCAGGAGAACCCCACTGCTGAGAGAGAGACATAAGAAAGCGTGACTGCAATTAGCCAAAATACACCTGAACATGCCAAAATCCTTCTGGGAGAATGTCCTGTGGACAATTGAGACCAAATTAGAGCTTTTTGGTAAAGCTAAATAACACCTTCCCTACAGTCAAATATGGAGGAAGATCAGTGATGTTTTGGGGTTGCTTTGCTGCCTCTGGCACTGGGTGCCTTGAACGTGTGCATGGCATCATGAAATCAGGAGAATACCAAGGAATTTTGGAGCGCAATGTCGGACCCAGTGTCAGAAAGCTGGGTCTCTGTCGAAGGTCATGGGTCTTCCAGCAGGACAATGACACCAAACACACTTCAAAAAGCACCAAGGAATGGTTCAAGACAAAACGCTATACTGTTCTGAAGTGGCCAGCAAGGAGTCCAGATCTAGATCCCGTTGAAAACTTGTGGAGAGATCTGAAAACAGCAGTTGGGAGAAGGCACCCTTCAAATCTGGGAGAACTGGAGCAATTTGCACAAGAGGAGTGGGCCAAACCGCCAGTAAAGAGGTGCAGGAAGCTCATCGATGGCTATAGGAAGCGCTTGATTGCAGTTATTTTACCCAAAGGCTGTGCTACCAAATATGAAGTCTAGGGTGCATTTTGCAAATGCCATTTCTGTTTATTTTCTGATTTAAATGGATATTGTCACGTCTACGCCCACTCCCCCTCTCCGGCGCTCGACGTCACCGGTCTACTAACCACCGGTCCTGGCAACCCATCATTACGCACACCTGGCAACCTTCATTACGCACACCTGCGCCTCATCATTAGGCACACCTGGACTTAATCACTTCCCTGATTACTCCCCCTTTATCTAGCACTCCGTTGTTATCACCAATCAGGCAGTATTGTTTCTGTGGTCATGTTCAGACGTCACTCTTGTTTGTGTATTCACTCTATGTTCGTTCTTATTAAACTCACCGACTGCACCTGCTTCCTGACTCCCTGCGTCTTTGTTACAGATACATTAAGTTCTGAAATTAAAAACAAAGGTTCTGTACTATTAACAGTGAAATAAAGAATTGTGGAGACCAAATACTTTGGTCAATTTCAACTTATTTTTTGGGGAAAATTGTGAGTTACTTTAAAAAAGTGCAAGGGTGCCAATATTTTTGGCCACGACCGTATATACAGTACCAGTCAAAAGTTTGGAACCACCTACTCATTCAAGGGTTTTTCTTTATTTTTACTATTTTCTACATAGTAGAATAATAGTGAAGACATCAAAACTATGAAATAACACATATGGAATCATGTAGTAACCAAAAAAGTGTTAAACAAATCCAAAAATATTTTATATTTGAGATTCTTCAAAGTAGCCACCCTTTGCCTTGATGACAGCTTTGCACACGCTTGGCATTCTCTCAACCAGCTTCACCTGGAATGCTTTTCCAACAGTCTTGAAGGAGTTCCTGTCACGGGCTGAGGTGTAAGGTGTGTGGAAGTCAGGCGCAGGACACCGAAGCTAGTCCAACAAAGTTTACTGAAGTTTACCAATAGGCAAAAATACAGAGAA